GTTTCTTTTGTGCATTTGTACGCTGACCGGAGGAATGAATAAAAAATGATGGATGGAGAGAGTGAGGGTATATTACATTAATTATTTCCCCCTTTTCCATTTCTTCTTTTTTTTCCCTTTCCTTTCTATTATGTTTCTGTCTAGGTTCAATTTATTTATCTATTCATCCCTCGCTTCTATTCAAAGTATTGAAAATTTGGGAATCGGGGGCTGTTTTTTTCACATTTTGATTAGTATTAAATATAGGTCCATTACCACAAATCCAGACAGGGGGAAACGTTTGTTTACCTTCTTCCCATCCACCTCCCCTTCTCCCCTCGTTCTTTATATCTATTATATATATATTCATAATTCTTTCGTTTTATTCAATCTCCTTCAGATCCTATTCTCTATCCATGTACTAGTAGTACTACTAGTCAGTAAATTGTATCTCCGCTCCCTCTCGCCGTCCCCCCATCTCATACGAAGCCCCTTCATCGATCTAAAACCCTCAGGATGAGTCATGGTTAGGGTTGCCACATGAAATAAGTGTCGTTGAAAATGTTTATTTTACTGTGTACCGGTCGACATCAAAAACTCCGTTCGTTATAAAAGAGACTGCGGACAAGATTATGGATGACCTCTTCAGTCTACTTGATCTTATCTTGTATACGCTTTGTATTTAAATTGACGGCGACGCCATGATATATTCTCTCCGAAACGATCATTTAACCCTGCAATATTTTTCTATCTCGGCTAAGCTAAAAGAGAGTGTTTATTTCCTCCATGAGTTCCCAAAAATCACTTTTCCCCCCCCTTAACCCTGCGCCAGAAGTTTGTTTATATAGCTTGCATGAAAATATATATATCCTCCAGAAGATCAGAACAAAATTTATCGAATTTCCTCATAATGACATGATTTGATGTACAACTACTTACGTGCTGTCTCGGTTTAGGTAATTGGACAACCTCCCAGTCTCAAACACTGGGGTTGTCTGCGGCACTTCGAGATCGAAGGTGTCTACCGAGACCATGCTTGGCGACAAACCTTTCTCGCGCAGGAATGCTAGAGGGGGTAGCGTTACATCCGCTCTCGCATCTGGGGATCCTAACTCGCGTCTTGAGGCGTGGGATGAGGCATTTGCCTCCGGACGAACCGTAGGGTGCTGGTCAAACGCTTTCAGCTCGACAAGAGCCCTGTTGTCGAAGAATTCCGCCTCGAGATCGCCGTATTCATCCCTGTGATGAGCGGGTGACAGATAACCTGGAACGGACATTCTGCGCCGGAATCGAGAGGGGCGGAAAAAGCAGTCCAATACATGGGATTTCATAGTGTATACCCCTCTAACAAACGCGTACAGGCCCCAATAAGTCAAAAGCCACGCGAGTACTGCTAGGCAAATATGGAGGTCGGCAAGACGACGAAGGCTGGTGTGTAATTCCTCATATTTTCCCTCATCGAGTAATGCTTCAAACTCAGCTTGGCGCTCTCTTGCTTGCGAGGAAGGGCATGTGGCCATCCAAGCGGCGCCAATTGCAAAGGCGCATAAGAGTAGCTGGGTTCTGCTGTTGTCGATGTGGCAGCTGCGGTTGGGTGAGGTCCTTTTGGCGAAAAGGCAGCTAGCACAACCGATGATGGCAATTCCGACGAATGAGAACAATATAGCATGCGAGACGATGCACTGAGTATTGATGATATGGGGGAATTGCCGGTTGAGTTTGTCGAAGTCAAGCTCGTTGGAGACCCATTGGTAGCCAAGTAGCACAATAACCACAGCGTTCAGAAGTGCAAAGAGGACGCTCAACAGAGCCTCGGTACGGGGCATTTCAAACATGTGTCGGATGTAAAATAGCGAGCTTGCAAACATAAAGGCGGTTACCCAGAAAACCACGGGCCATAATATCAGCCACATGGTTGCGCTTCCTACTTTTGCGAGCATGTTAGTACCCACCTGGGCTCTCATAAGATGGGGAAGAACCTACCAGCGATGATTGAATTGGACATTTGAATCGCACCTTGCTTAAAGTTTCTCCCTTTTCCTTTCGTTTCTGTTGGATATCGGGAGGAGGTGCGACTCCCAGTTCTTAGTCAAGGCTCCTTTATAAAGACTGCAAGAATGAGTGAGTTGACAGAACTATGCGCGGGAAGAGCTGTCGAGATCTCGGTAGAGCTGCAGTGATGGAAAGAACTGGGTTGAGCAAAGATTGAAATGATCGTTCTTGACAGAAAAGTACTCGAGGTTCAATGGGGGTAAAAGAGAAGACGGAGCGAAGGAAAGAAGAGATAGAGACGCCGCAAATAAGGAGCTCAAGGCGCGAGCTTTACAATTTGAAGCATATTTTAACGTCATATTAAACAAGGTTCACACCCGTGAGAGGCGTAATAGACGCCTCGCCTTGACTATGGTTTCCATATTGGAAACCGTTGGAGAGTAAACCTTGCCGAAAAGCATCTTTTAAATGAATGACGACAAAAGCGTAGGCGGACGCTACTCAGGCGTACTTAGTCCTACTTGGGGGTATAGATGCCAGAGAAATGTCCATTTCGGGACCACATGATGTAGAGAGTGATTGGTCATAATATTGTAGGGACACATTGTAACAGCAACGTATCATCACCCGGCATATCATGGTGGTTCTCATCGCATATCGTGATTGCAATATCCCATATAAGTAGATCCTTGCAAGGTTCGGGGGAAATTTTGGAGGGATGTTTGCTGACTAACCCATTTGGACCTTGACATCATATCATGATCAAAAGGAAAGGAAGAAAGATACAAAATAAACAGACTGGTTGGTGATAAATCATATATAACCTGATTTCAGAAGAATGAAACTAGCATAATAATCTGATAGCACCCCTCCCCAACAAGTTTTAGTACCCTGAACAATGCAATACAATACACGATAACTGACATATCAAATTCGGTAATGCTAAGTTGAAAAGAGTGCATATCTTCCAGCATTTTTGAAAGAGAGACATGATTATATAAGGAAGAAGTGCATGTATTCCCCCATATTTCAGAAAGAGGAATACCCAAACAGAATAAATTGGTAGGGAGGATAAAATAGGCAGGCATGGATAGGAGAGCCGTGTACGTTGAAGATGAAGGCATTAAAACGATGCCAATAAGAATTCCCTATCGGTCAAATAGAGAAATGTACAAAAACTTGTTGTTTGATGGCAGGAACAGCAAATTGGTATAGAGTTGAGGGAATAGTCCTAGGGCTAGATAAAAGCATGCTCTGTGCCTTTCTCTGCTCCCCCCATCTGACGCCGTCTCTGACTCAAGAATATATCCACCATGCGTTTGCTACTAATTGTCGAATGAATATCTCCTAACTCTGGCAAGTTGCTCTTAGTAGGTACTCTGCTCCCCCTTAAGTTCTCATTGGTCACTCGGACATTGTCTCTCCTGTTGCGAACAGAGCTAAAATTGACTGTTGGTGCCAATTTTCTAGGATCGCTGAGTCGCCTGGTCGGGCTATCTTTCCCACTGTGATTGCGGAGCGAAATAGTGCTCTGGATAGCTTTGGGGAGTCTCGTGGGTGTAACTGGCAATGTGGCAAGGTCCAGGCATTCGGGCTTCTCATAAGCCAATAGAGAGGCGCTTGGGCTTCTTGACGCATTTCTCGGAAGCACAGCGTCGGTTGGAGTAGACCTCTCGGGATCAACGTCGGGGGCTATATGAACACTATGGGCGGATTCCGATCTGGCAACAACAGATGGGTTTTGAACGGCCGGGCGAGAAATGGAGATGGGTATATCAGGAGATAGGCGGAGAGGTCGTGAAAAATTATTTTGTGTAAATGACTTTAATTCTACTAGCGGCTGCCTTTGGTCAACACCAAGGGATGATGGTCCTTCAGGTGGCTCTGCAGTAATAGATTCATTTGTTTGGGGCATGGTGTACGATGCTTCAGGGTTTCCATCCTTCAACTCGCCATGAATTTCTGTCATTTCCCGGTAATGAGCGTTAGGGGACTTGACATATTGGACCTTTGCATAGTTCTCAGGGGTAGCATCCAAAAGGTCCATTTGAGAGCTCATCCATGATTTCCACTCGGCGCTACCCCTGATTTTGCTGTCGCTACAGGTATAGCCTCCGGAATCATTTGGCTTATACGGTAGTCTCTCACTGGCAAGGATAGTAACCGTACCTCGTTCATCGCTAGATTCCGAAAAACTCAAGTCTCTCCTGCTTCCAAAATGCCTTGGTGTATCCCCGCTGGTCGTCCTTGAATACACACTTGGAGAGACACAAGATCGCGCAATATCACCCGGCCGTGATACTATCACACTTTCGATATCATCGTCTGAGTCTATCGCGTGTTCATAGGAGGAAAATCGCGGTGGGACTAGCGGGTTCGGAATTTCGGATCGCTTTTGCCGGCTAGGTTGACAAAGTGACGATTTTGACCGATGGAGCGATTCCACTGAACGATAACGACTCATGTTTTCGTTACGCTGAGCAATTTCTTGGGGGGTAATAGCAAGTGCCTCTCTACGGTAGCTCGAGCCTACCGATATCTGGCTTCGTGAACTTGGAGATAGGCCCCGCGCTGGAGGTATCGCCCTGATGGTTCGCATAGACGCCTCGCTAGGTATATGCCGAATGGTGTTTGTTGGGCGATGTGAGTATATTGACGATGAAGGACTATATATCGATCCCCGTACAGTTCCTGCTCTTGAGGCCCTGTCGCCTTCATCCTGGCGGTGGGACTCGTCAATATGTCTGACTAAGGCAGAGTACACCCGCTGGCTGTCCACTGCATTAAAAGCATTATTACCGCTGCGTCCCGGATACAAAGGCTTCCGGAAGACTGAGTATCCATCGTTGTAATGGAAAGACAGCCGGGAAGGGGTGGAATCAGGTGGGACGCCGTTCTCTTGAATAATAGAAAGTCTATTTCTCTCAGATACAGCATCTCTAGTAGCCGTAATGTTGGTAGCGGTCGAATCTGTCCAACTGGTTGCGCGGGAGCTAAAAGTGCCAAAACTGTCCGAGCTCTTCATCGTCCTGATACTAGCTGGCCGATTGCCAATGCTCGCCGGTCCTGTATGGGGGTTAGAATTCTTCAATTGCCAAATACAGCGGATTCCGGGGTTAAAAACTTACCTCCAGATTCTGAACTGATATAATCACTAAATCCTAATACATGCTTGCGCTGCACCATGGGTGCATATCTTTCCTCTTGTGCCATCGAGCGTCCAAATATCCTCTTTAGGCCATTCTTGATCGACAATGAAAAGATCCTCGACTTTGAGTTTCGAAGGGTCTTACTTGGGTAAATTACACTGGGTTTTATAGGCTGAGTAGCGACGGGAGTTTCATTTTCAGCATCCCATCCGCTAGAAGATCTAAGGGATTTTCTAAAGGGCCTTGGTTGGTGCCGTCCTCTCCCACTAAGAATAGATGCCGACCCATCATTTCGCTTTGACTGCTGTAACTCCTGTAGATATTGCTCACGGGCTAACTGGATTGCTGCGTTCTGGCTGTCTGTACGCTTTTCGCTATCTGGCTTCTGGGCTATTTCCGCGGCAAAGAAAGACTTCGATCGTCGCAGTGTGGCCCGGGAAAGATGGCCCATTTCGGGGTTATCTGAGCAGGTAGAGGATCTAAACGGTGAATAGGACGAATCTGACGACTTCATCGCACGCTTCCGGGTTGAGAACATTGATTTAGCTTTACGGAGTTTCCGATAGGATGATGGCGCTGAAGCAATGCTATCTCCAATTCCAGACAACTCGTTTATGTTCGGGGTTAGCTCGTCAGCGGCAGCATGGAATGCGGGATCGTTTCTGGCAATTCCATTGCTGCATGGGGAAGCTATAGAGCTTGGGCATTGAATCAAAGGTCGTTCGTTCTGAGCACCAGTAGTATCACGATCACTAGGGGTGAAACGGATACTGCGGGCTTTGGAAGAGCGAAATGAAAACCCGTCCGCTTCGCTGCGGCCACCGTGTGACGCACTGCAAGACCCTCTTAAATCTAAAGAACTTCGTTGATTGGAGCGCTGCATAGCAATTGACGCAGCAGCCATTGCATGGTAATGGACGGCCTGAGGGTTTATAAGTTCTGGGATGGGAGGAATGTGACGGCGCGACTTAATAGATGAAGTAGATTTGGATCTCTTCAGAGAGTTAACAGCACTGCTGGATGCTCTGGATCTTGAAACCATACTCGATTGAAATTGGATATGAAATCTTGTTGTGCTTATACTATCTCTGTTTGTGCTGAGGCTAAAACCTGTATCACGATTGGGAAATAGAATTATGATGAAAGGAATATGCTTCTCAACCAAAAACAAACTCGGAGCACAGTGTTGTCTCGATTTCATGTTCGAGGCGGGGACGCATTTTTTGGCAACCTCAGGCGAGGAGCAGGAAAGTACAGTCTCTGACGGTGAGTAGCCATTTCCCTCCAAGGATCATGGGCTGCAGTCAATACATGTAAAACTGGCTGGACAAGCATTTGTCTGCAGTGATAGCAGCAGAGGCCGTTGAATCACCGAGGCTTCATCATCCAGGTCCGGTGAGATTGCATCAACGCGTCTATCCATCCCGTTCAGCTCTGTCATATAATACGCCCGAAGTTGGAGGTAAACAACCAAGCGTTTGGTAGGACAATATACACCTAGATAATCCATCATGTACAGGCAAGCAACTAACAGAACTAGAACGCGTTAGATCGGGTTGTTATCGAGCTTTTCGCGGAAGTTGATGGATGGTGATAGATGCTGGATATGGGATTGTTGAGTTGAGGTTGCTGATCCAATGCTGATCGGCACACGTGATCATTCTCAACGCAGGGCTGACATCTCAAGTTTGGAAGCCTTTGGCAACAACTTACGGAATGATTACAAAGGAGACTTGTACAGGATTACACAGTGCCAGCCTGGATACTACTGAGAGAAGCTAAATACCACTGCTGTTCTCGTCCTGGAACTCTAAGGAGTCGGACTTGGATCGATAATAGTTATATTGGCATTCAGCCCCCCGTATCTTGCCTGCTTTGGATCCCCCAACATGTGTGCTCCCACCGAATTTCCACGGATTGAATACTTGGATTAACGGGATCAATCGCTGGCTTCTCCTGAATCCTGCATTGAGCTGCCTTTATTAAATTTGAAGCGTTAACTCTAGATGGAAAATTCTACTAATTCTCCTCTCCTCCCACGTCCTCCCCCCCTCCCCCCTCCCCCGCCTGGCAATAGGACTAGTATTTGCAACCAAAAGAAGCAAATACTGGACTGACAGTATTCATCTGGGCGGCTTCGATTTGTTTCGTCGAACAAGAACGGACAGCAATGGCAAATAGATTCCTAGTCCCGCATGATATCCACACCTGACATCAAGACAGGAAATCGCTATTATTCAGACTACATACTCTTTTAATTCCCAGTTCAATAGGGTGAGTAGTGATGCAGCGTTCCCTCACATGCATAAAACGGTGGGCGGGGGATCTCAGGATACTATGACGACATTTCCAACCAACATCTTTGCCCAAGGCCAATAGCTCTTTTCTCACCGTACAATCAGCGGAACGTTGGAGCGGAATTGGGCATCCATGCAGCATAGCATGGGCCATGCCTGGAGATGCGGCAAAATGGAAGTCATTCTGACATAGTAATTCATCTAACCTGGGATAAAGTTTGAGTGCAAGATATGAGGATTTGAACATTTTCAAATAAGATACTCATAAGTCACCGAGAAGCTTAAAAACCTAGCGAATTAAAATCACGCCGCGAACGGCCACAGACTTACCAAAGCCGCCAGATATACCGTATTTCGCTGTGGAAGAAATCTGAATCGTTCCACAGATTGCTGAAGTGCGCGACAATCAAACTTCGGCAGAATCCTTGTTGAACACACTCGTTTTATTGTCCGATAACCCCGCCAACTTTTTCTCACTCCTCGTTTGGAACCCAACTACCCCTCCTTCCTCCGTGTCATATGGAGGCGACAACTAAACAGGTCATAGACTCTGACGCAATCATGCATATTCGACAACTATCACCCCGCGGCGGGGTGAAAGACGGGTAGAGAAGGTTCTGTCACTGGTAGTCCGCTCGCTGCGGATAGCCGTTGCAAATTTCATAGCCACAAGAAGTAAGATAATGCCAACCAACATTTAGCATATATCAATATATAAATTCTCAATAACCGAAAATTGCTTAATTAGTTTAATTGTTTTAACTTATTACAGCAAATAAATCAAAATATCGTAAAGTATTGGGTTTCCCGACTTATCTTTCCCCGTATTGCCCTTCCCGTCCCGCCTCGAGAAACCGAACCAAATTTCTGGTTTTTCCCTTTCCTTTTTTTCATTATTATGTGATCACTCTCCATCATAAGTGTTACGTGTTTGTTTGATATTACTATTTTTATCGTGAAATCACCCCCAACTCAACTCCAGACGCATTGCATGAATGGTGAGAGAATCATGACTAGCCGCAGCGACGCGTGTGTAGCGCATACGTATGCACAGAAAGATCCGATCAAGCAGGAAAACAAACGCATTTACAATGCTCAAATGAGAGCCCAGCAGGGATTTCGCTGACTGAACGGAGGCCGCCTCATTGACGAGAGATCATATTCTTTTGCTTTTGAAACCTCATATAGATGAGAAAGTGGATTCTTGGTTTGCGAGTTACGCGTGTTGACATACGTACTGCTCGGGAATTTTTGACAAGGGAGAGAGGTGGGGGATTGTGTACTCGTATGCTGCTATCCCAGCAGTGGATCTTATCAGGGCAGTCAAACAACTAGTTGGGAAGTGGAGATTTGGGAATAAAGCCATTGTTTAAAAATAGACATCTGGAGCATTTTCGTGTGGGTGTTCCTTGGCGTCTATATAGTAGAAATGTCGGTGTATATTAGAAGCTTAACTAGGGAAAAATAACGAACTCTGAAGGGAAACTAACAACTAATGTGTTGCCTTTTTGGGACTTTTTTTTTTTTTTTTTTTTTTTTGGAGAGGTGGTGTTTGAAATTGAGAAGAATTGTCACCAACTGTGACCAAGAAGTTACATTCAGGGCAAGCAGGAAAGACTTTTCGCCTTGCTTTCATCTGTCCCGCTTTTACCTCGGGTTCTCCGGAAACCTAAGTTGCAGAAACATGTATCGCAGTATACGATGCGGACTGTGAACGTATTTCAATCTAGAATGAACGATATGTTGGAGTTTGCCTGGGATATGCGCGCCATACATTGGGGGTTCTTCATATTGGTGGATCGAGGTAAAAGGCAAACTCCAAGCGATAAACACAAAAGATGGGCTGGAAAATATCTGGCTCGGAAGATAAATCATCCCATCCATAGAGGAAAAATTGTCATGTAAACGGGACTCCGCGCGACTTTGCTAACACGAGCATCTTCATCATGGTCGACGAGTCCAGATCTTGGTGGAACTTGCTAGAGTACGGTGAATGAGACCGTATGTGCCGGTGGCGCAGTTTTCAAAGAGGCTTTGATGATGAAGACGGGAGCCAGGTCGAGAGGTTAGTCTGACGCAATAATGGTGGAATTGGGGATGCTACCAGATGCCTGCTTTAAGATCGAACATGGTCGGCAAAAGAACCAGACCAGCAGTGACCACCGAGTTCATATGGGGCACGAGCCATAAGGTTCGCTTGAATGGCTGAATTCAAAGTTTATGCTTGACATATCTCTTGGTATGTCAGATCTTTTCGTATGTTTTGCTCTAGTTTTGGCTTGAAGGAAAATTTGCAGTTTTGGGTCGTCTTGACGAACTTTGAACTTTGAACAGCGAAGGAAATTGGGCAGCCAAGGAATATCTAGAACGATGTCCTCAAAACAAAGTAGAAAAGGGGATTGGCATGGGTAATCCCATGCTAATTGTGTATATGGATGCCTGAATGACTGTTGCTTGTTAAGTGGGTTATTCCATTCTCAAATTGCTTGTCAGCAACATGGGTAGCAGAATCATGGGCTTCCTTGGCGTGTTCTAGCACTTCTTTTAGAGCTCCATTGAACCAGCTGGCCTCCCCGCCAGCTGCTACTCACCGCTCAATGACGTCGATGGCTAATTAGAGCGACTCACTCTTTATTGTCCTTCCATAAGCTTCCTCGCTGTGTCAAATATGCAGAGGTTGGATAATTGGAATGATAATTATGGTCCAGAAAACCCAGAAGGCGAAAACCCACTTTGCCACAATTACGGCAGGTTAAATTGTCAAGATTTTTGGTGTCTGGTTACACCATGGCTGGAACAATTTGCAGTGGTAGTTAACTGTCGCAAAGTTGGCATAAACAAAATAACTATAAAAGACCTTCGGCATTTTTCGTCAATCACAGACAGCGGAACTAGATGAGATCTTCTCGATCTTCTCAAGGGAAGTGAGAAGAATGCTAGTAGGTATTTCCGGTATTGTATTGCTGGCCCCAGTGCATTTAGGCAATTCAAACGCGTAACATTACTGTCCTGAAGAGACAAAGGCTGGCTGAGGTTCTGGTCGCTTCGAATGGAATTCATCGTTGGGCTTTGTAGTCCAGGTCGAGCACGGCATTTGTTGGGCACGTGGCCGGTGGCCACCCCGACGTCCCCTGGCACCATCGTCGTTGTCATTCCCGCCTTTAGCTAGCTTGTATTGTCAACGGCGGTCGTATTCCTTCTCCTGCTGCGATATGGACTTGATTTTGAGACAAAAATAATCAACAAGGAGGCTAACGATGGTTAGGCAGACAGGCTTCTCGTAAACTTGAGCGTGTTCCTTATCCTCAGCCTGCTCCAATCACCCTTTCCCCCGAGGAGGCCTGCTTTGTCTCTCATCTGTTGTTAATGCAGGCGATGTCACCCGCAACTGTGCCCGGAAATCCCCACGGGTCTCAGTTGGGTAGCGGTGATGGTCACATGGTGCCTCATCAATTGCCATTGAAACAGGCTTGGCGGTGAGATCTCACAGCCAGTTCTTGCTGCAGCAGCGCGGACAAAGCAGCGTCGAACAAGCATCTCCAATGATATGCCATTGTCTGTGCTTAATTTGAAGCTCCTATGGCTGGATATGCTTGCAGGCTTGATAACAAAATAGCATACGGGGATTTACCAGTTAACGGGCCAATGTCCGACGCTCCATACCACAAAACTGCCCTACTTGTGTCCTTGACATCATAGGATATTTTTCCACATTGCGATTAATACTTCGAAGTGCGTCGCTTGTTAAGGGTTTGGCTCCTTCTAGTGGATAGCCGTAAGGAGTGAAGTACAGTACATTGAACATTATCTGACGACGAGTGAGAGTAGCTGAAATGGAGGTTTCAGAGCATCAAATATACTAGTATTATTCAATATACCTTCGCTAAATATTCCGAAATAGGTTGCTTGGGCCATGGTGATGTATGGAGAACCTCTTTGCTCTTTTCAACCCAGATTCCTTGGTGTCAAAGCATCGCCCGCTGGAATCCATCAACGGGCTGAGAAAAACAAAAGAAAAAAAGAAAAAAAAGAGAGAAAGAAAAAGCAAAGGTAAATCGAACTACTGCACCTTTAGTGTGTACGCCAACAAGACGCCAACGCTAAACTATGCAGTGGAGATAATCTGAAACCACACTACTACTGGTGAACCAGAGTGGGGGAAACAACAATAGGAGGCGAATGGTCAATTTTGTTCGGGAAATCAAAAAGAAAAAAGAAAGAAAAAAAGAAAAATAAGAATGAAAAGAAAAAGAAAAGAAAGCAGCATTGCATATACAACCTTGTCGTCGACTCGTCGCTAGACACAAATCGATCAGGCCTCATTATGATGTCATCAACACCTCACAACCCCTTCCCTGTCAGCAAATTCCGACATCCAACAAGAATAATGCCGCCCCTGATCCACCCATTTTACCAAGACAGCAAGCTCTGTATCAAGGTTCTGTCACAACCGACTCCAAACTTGATCTCGGGTGTTCCCCTAACTAACCATGGCCCATCCCGCTCCGCTCCCTTTCTTCCTCCCTCCCTCCCTTCCCCCCGCCCCCTTTTGCTTCCCATTCTCACCTCAACTATAACCCCTGGTATCACCACGCATAAAGACCCAGTAGCAGCATACCTGATCATGATCGACGTGGCTGACCCGGCGCCAATCATCCTCTCCCACCTACCCTTGGGCCTTTGGGCCTGTCGTTCCTTTGCTACCCAGACCACATGGCCAGTCAGTCAACATAGAAATAGGTGATTGGAAGGCCCGAGGCGATGGGGAGTTAAAGGCAAGAAGAACAGGGGATGTTTCAATATCTGAGCCGCAGCATCAAGATGGTGGGGCTCTGTTGTCATCGTACATGTACATTCCACGCTAACAAGTACGTTGTTTTCTATTGTGTTCCTTTCTTTTTTACCCACAAATGGGCTTGGATGGAATAAGTAAGTAAGGACTTCTTAGTGTGGCGCAGAGATCTTGAACCTGGTCATGTCATGATTGCTGTTGTTTGTTCTCCACAAGCACTTTCGTGGGCTGCGGAGGAACCGTTTATTCCTGTTCTTGCTTTCATGGTTCATTGTGAGCAACGTTGAGCAAAATAATACCAGAGCAACTTCTCCCCAAAAAAGAAAAAAGGAAAAAATTACTTATCGATCATCTTGCCCTGGCGCTTTTGAAACGTGTGGTTCGTGCAGAAAAAGATCTTCAAGCCCTGACGCTGGATTTTAAGGGGTATGATTCCCTGGTCTGTTGATTTGCATGATGTGCAGCGCCATATATGTCATTGTGGTCAATAACAATATGCGGACTTGATAATGTCTTCGAAAGAGGTACTTCTAAACTGAAAATACACTACAGAACATATGACAAACAGAGGGAGAGTAGCAGCTAAATCAGTGACGTAGCAGCCAGGCTCATTCCCAATCCTTTTCCAATAGCACGGAAAACTTCAGCAAAACAGGGTAAATAGCAACAGTCATTACCACAACCCTTGCACGGAGTTTAAAATATCACCACTATCATGGACAAAGTTGACAATAACAGCAACAGCAACAACAGAGAAGGCAAAAAAAAAAAAAAGAAAAGGAGAGAGAGAGATCAATCTCTCTCCCCATAGCCTCTTCTCTGCGTTCTTTTCTCCGGTACAGAGTAACCCGCTTGCTACCCTTCTCCCTTTCTAACCTTACATTGGCAAAAGTATCTACGCTGCCCAAAACCAGCGTCAGAGGGAACCCGGGAGAAGGCGAGAATGCCAAGGGCATGACTCCTTCAGGGGAAGAAAGGGGAGTCTAAACTAATCTATCCGCGACGTCGGAAATCCAACGGAGGTAAAGAAGTTAAAAAAATAAAAAATAAAAATTGGAGAAGAAAAAATCATTTTTGTATGATATTTGTATTGTATCTATTATCCTTTTTGGGTTGGGCGTTGGCGGGTTCATTCTTATTATTTACTTTTTGCCACCCCCTGATTTTACTATTTTTCATTTATCTCTGGAGTTTGGTTCCTGAATATTGCTATCCGGAAAAAAAATAAAAAATTATTAAATATGCGTGTTAGCACTAGGTCACAAAGATTCTTCAAAGTAACCTTCTGTTTCAGACTTGGATTCGGTTTTTTAGATTTCGACACTAGGCAAGGGGATGTGGGGTTTCTTTGCTTTTTCTCATTTCATCGTTGGGTCGGTTCTGTCTCTTTTCTTCTTTCTTTTCTTTTCTTTTTCTTTTTCATTTTCTTTTTTTCCCCCCTACCAAGACACGGCACTTGGATTATGTTGTCCTTTTTTTTTTTTTTTCAAAAGGATTGTTTGCAAGGAAATCATAAGCTAAAAATATAATCAGTTTCTTAGCCTAGCCTGAGGGAATCAAAATGTCTTATATATGTTGAAGTCAAGCTTAAGTTGAAAAAAAAAAGGCGGCACCAGGACATGAGAGTTCTGGTGGCCAGTGTGAAGAGAGTAACGAGCGAAAGTGAACATGAAACAGTTACATCAGAATGAGTAAAAAAAAAAAAGTATGGGGGATCAAAAGACTTTATAAAAAAAAACAGATAAACGCCGTCGCTTGAGTATTTTGTCAGTGTAGACAGACTTAAAGCAGAATACCTCCAAATGCGATGAAATACAAAACAGGTACGGTGTATGGGATGCGAGTCACGAGGTGAGGGGCCAGAGAAAGAAAGAACCTTGGAAAGGACAGGACAAAGGAAATGAAAGCCACACGTGGTACATTTGGGAATAAAAATGAATTTCAAAAACAAAAGAAAGAGAGAAGAGAGAAACGAGAAAAGAGACGGAAATAGGCCTGCCCTGAACAGTGTCTGCGGAATACAAAACCGGAAAGAGAATATATAAGGGGTAAAATGGGATGTAAGTTTGGAGAGGAAAAGGTTAAGTTAAACGAAATAATCGGAAAGGTTAGGTGTCTGCGAAATTTGTAGATTCCTGCACGTTCCACGTCTCTTTTTCTTGCTTCATTTTGTTTTCCGTACGATCATGTTTTTTGTTTAATGTCTCCTGGACTGTATTGCTTTGGGGGGTTTCTTTTTCTTTGATGTTCTTCATGTGTTATTGTTATTTTATTTTTATTTGGAGAGGGAGAAGGATTGATGGAAGCGTGTCGATCGGAAGAGGCAGACAAGAATGCGGTGTAAAAGCCAAGCATCGAGCTCAGCTTGATAGGTAGTTATTTTTCTTGTGGGAAATTCCTTTAGAATCGCTCCTCATCCTTGAGGTCCGCGGGTTTCTCAATGTCCCAGGCGCGTCTGTAGCTTGGTTGTCCGCGCAGGGGAGAGAAAGGAGAAGCCGAAGCTGGACGACGAAGGTTTGATGCCTGAAGGTGGTTGGACAAGTCAGCTTAAGCATATAGTGTTTTCAGAAGAAAAGCTTTGCTTTCACATACAACGCAGGTGGCGCATTTCCCTCCTGGGGTATTCACACGGCCCCGGCAGCCACGAGAGTAATTGGCGCAAGAGTACATTTTGAATAGGAGTTAAAGGTGGTACTTTCGGCCCAGGCGGAAAGGGAGGTTAAGCGGGCGGCCGGAGGACAGTCGCAATTGAGTTTGTTGGACGGCGGTCGGCAGGGGATGTATTTCAAGCCGATCAATTACAAGCGACAATACTAATATAGAAGGCCGACCCAAAGAGGAGGACGAGGTAGCTTTTTGCGAGTCGAAGATGGGCGAATTAGACTGGGGTTTGTTGAAGCAAAAGAATTTATCTATTGGGCCAACTAGGGCGAGAATGGAGGGTAATGGAGTGGCGAAGGACACAGGAAAGTAGATAAGTATAGAAGAGATGCGAAGACGGAGAAGGATTAAAGGAAAGTATGTAGTAGGCAAAGCTAGAAAGGAAGAGAGGCGGCGCAGAAGAAAAGAGCTATGTCAGGAGCAAAGAAGAGCAGCAATGCTAGCAAAGCCGAGTGGAAGGGGCTTCGGCTTTATATAGAGTTGAGGCGGAAATCGACCACTTCTGTGTATGGAAGGTATTTTTTCAGTTTTATTTTATTTTCATTTGCCGGTTATTCTGGGGCTGGTCTAACATTCGCATTCGCATTAGTATTATGATTATTCCCTCGCCATGCCCGCCCTTAGTTCTCGGGGGCTTGGGGGCCACCAGGCTGGCGTTGGTCAACCCAGTCTTGAGGGCCCCATTTTCAGGTCGACACTGCGCCTTGATTCCGATCTGTTTAGGGCCGTATTGGCTTTATTGGCCAGTGAGCGGGCTCTCTGATCAAACACACCCACTGGCTGTTAAGAGTTACTAATTCGTGCTGACCATAATCTGCCCCTCCAGCGAGTGCGAGCCATGAACCTGCGTGCGGCGGATTGATATTATAAATACGATCATTCGGCCGGGACAGAAGCTTGAAGCAAACGTTGAAGTTTCCCCGAAGCTGGCCCTTTCTTTGAATGGCTTTTGAGTTGTTTTTCCTGCCTGCGGAATTCCTCGACATCCGTGGATGTCCTGCACATACATACATCACCAGACCACATGATGAAGCATGCGCTCAGATAGACGGTGAGATGCCCTCACTCGCGTCCTCCGCCTCTTGTCGACCTTTCCCCGTGTTTTGATCCTCTTACAGTCGCCCGCATTGTTTCGGGTCGAGCCGCCTTGTTATGGTGGAAAGAAAACTGGTCTTCTTGCGCCCTGTTGCGGCTAAAGATAGTCCAGCAATCAATTCAACAAATTCTGGACCGAAATGTAATAACAAGAATAATAGAGATATCAATAATTGTAATAGCGAAACGCATGGCCAAACGCCTAGCCGACATGGGGATCTGTACTCCGTAGTGTCCAAACAAACTCCAAGACATCCTCGATCTGACATGCAAACCTTTTTCTGTCACTTTGGAGCCTGACCTAAGCTTTCCCCGGATCCACGCAGTTTGGCCCTTTGGGTCAGAACCATCTCACAATCCCACTCAGGGTGGTCACTTTTCCTGCCTGACACACGTCTTGTCAGTGCCTAAACGGAAAGGTTGATAATCTGACAAGAGCGGTGTCCAGCTGGATCCGGGACTATGGCCGACTCGGGGAGGTCGAGATCCTTCTTCTACGCTTTGATACCAAATAACCTTCCTGCTATAATGAATTAGTTGCGCCGTATTGCACTAGATGATTAACTGGCCAGCTTAAAATGAATCGATTTCGTGAACCCCCTGGAATTATTACACCTTCCTCCCGCGGGTGATAATACCATTATGCTGCTATCCCGCTCTGCCTTTCGAAACGAAGCTGTCAGCAACAGGACAAAGCTGTTCAAAATGAACCGAATTGCCTAGGCGGATCGTTCGGCAAAACAAGGCCCAAATGGGTCTGGATTTTAAGATTATGAGAAGGGTTTTTGCCGATTGCTCGACAAATTTGCCGTCCTGCCAACTTCTTCCCAGCACAGGATCGGATTGAAACAGGCAAATAAATATTCGCGGCCTTTTTTTCAGCATGAGCCGTCCAGTCAGTTCCGAAACATGTTGCCAGCCGTTAATGATCTTGGCTGATTTCCGGAATTGCAAGTAATCGACTTTACACCGGTGAGACGCTTCTGCATATCAGAGCTGTCGAAAAATCTATTGCCCTGGCTGAGCCTGATTCGACATTATACGCCTCTGTGATTCCCTTTTTCGTGTAATCAAACTTGCATCTCGGTTGTGGTCAATAATAGCCACATCCCGCGCAACGCAAACGCGGATCTCGTTTCAGTTGTTGATGATCAACTCCCTTTCGCTCTATTGGACTATCCCTGCTTTTTGGCGTTGGCCAATTTTCCATTCCATGCGACAGGGCATAGTTGTGGCAAATGACTTTCCCTGACACATCGACTTCAATATGTTGTAGTTATGCTTGCTGGCCAACTTTTTGGAGAAAAATCAAATCCGGAGCTATCATGGAGTTATCGAACGGCCCTATGAGTATGGGCGAAAAACGCGAACTAATTAAACCCAGCCAAAAGCAAAGCATGTCATGAACGCCACCATCAGAAGATGAAGGAGATCCTCTGATTTTTGGCTTCTCGTCAATTATGATCACATCAGCACACGTACATAGTTAACGTTAGTTAGAGTTAGTTACACATATTCCCCGAGCAACTGCAAGACATTTTGCTTTTTTGCGCAAACCTTGATGCAGACATATATTTCTTGTGCATGATCGCATCGATCAGAGCCTCCTGGCGTCGTGGAATCTGTTTATCATGATGATCTCCTGCATATCAATTGCACCCGCAGCTCGCGCCGCCCGAAAATCATATAACGGCTCCTGCTTCCAGAGTGCATGGACGAATGGGAGCCGATTGCCTTGCACAAAAATATTTTTCGCAATTGCTTACGCATACCATAGGAGAGTGGAATCCCCTGAGTTGTTCAACTATAAAGTAGCACGGCAGAGAGAAAGATGATTGATCGTTATCATGATGTGTGTGCAAAATTAAATGAAGGGAATTTCCTTTTGGCAGCCCAGTCTACATTCAAATCAAGTTATTTGCCTAACCCATTGTACGGTGCAGTCGGGCAGTACATGTGCATACATATGCGATCCCCTTCAAGGCTCACTTCAGCTACGTAGCATGCTATCTTGTCGCTGGTTTCGTGCTGAAAGCACAACACAACATCCAGTCCACAGCTGTCTCATCATTCGGCAACCAGTTCCAATCCATACATACAGAGACGGGATGTTAAAGGCTCCGCAGCTGCCTTCTGCCTCATCAAGACCTTGGATATGTTTCCGTATCTGTTACGCGGCATATTCTATATGCAAATGCTAACCAGCTTGCGCAAATCTGCCAGTCATTCACAGCAATGCCTCAGCTTGCTCTGTTGCTATCAACAGGGTTGGTTAAAATCCGATAAACACCACAACTCGCTTAGCGTTCCCAGCATCGAAAAAATGTCCGAAGATGGGATCGTAGAACAACTTAGCATAAAGTCTAGAACCAACTTAGTCGCAAAAAAATAGTTGGATTTTTCCCTCTCGTTTTGTTCAAAGCATCCGTTATCCCTGAAAGCCCAGAGTTCCATGCCAAAAAAAAATTTTTTCTTTTTTGCTTTTTCTTTAAACTAGTGATTCATAGTGGGGCGATGTATCTGGGGCACTGGGGGTTTTCGTCCATATTCTGGTTTCCACTCCTCATCCATGGATGCCGTGGGGGAATTTGGCGGGAAAGAAGCAAAGAAAGGATATACGAAGGAGCCCACTCTCCTGGGTAGGCAGCTTGATGGGGTGGGATGTTATAACATCCACAACTATCAATCAATCCAAAGCCTGGTATGTTTTACACGGAGACAATTCGTAGAGCTCAGTGACTCTCCTTACATTGAATTCTGAAGGGGTTTTTCCATTCCTTCCAACCCTATCACCAGTCTGCAGTCTGCAGGACACTGCTGAACAGATTGAGTGGGCTGAATCGGAGGACGAGAGTGGCTGAAGGCACTGCCGGTCTCTTGTGATTTTTAAGGTATCTCCGGCTTTGGATGGCTGGCGCCTGGTTATAGCTCCTTTTTTTTTCGCCCTACTAAAATCACGTCTTTTGGAATACGCTCTTTGAAGCCTTTGACACAGGTCCCACCCTCTCTGAATAAGGCTGAAGCCGCCCGAGGGCTCGGAGTGGAAAAAAATGTCGTATCGTGGTACAACTATACTGGCGGGAACAATCGCCTCCCGACCATAAATCCCACGGTGCCAACTTTTTTGACTTTCTGGATAATTTCGATACTGTTCTCTTCTTTTGTGTTTCCATTCTCGAACATGAATGGATGATGAAAATGACAGGGGTTGTATTATGCAAGTACACTGGCATCTTCGTTTACGGTTAAATTCGAAGCTAGGTTCTCCAAACACACCGTTAGCGGGTTTCAAAACCTTGGTCCATGGATAAGATTTTGGAACTGCTCAAAAAGTTGGGACCACACAGTTGGGCCGTTTATAGGTCATGCCAGCGGCGTGCCGTTTGAGTTATATTAATGACCTAGCTCTGGCGGGTCTATCAAAGTTCTAGAATACGCTCACGTTCTTCCTTTTTTGAATACGGTGCCCTAAACATCAGCTCAAGATGAGGTCCGAGAAGCACACCCATTCACCAATTGCTTTGGGCATGGTTTCATCAGAAAAAGTGATTTTATTTTATTTTTTTTTTTTAAAAAAAAGCCCTTGAGACCAATCTTGGAGAATATCGGAATCCAAACGGGGTGAGAGGAGATAATCAAGCACATATGGCCTCCATCCGTAGTGTTCCGGGTTCTGGAGTGGCATTGGCATTTTCCAGATCAACCGTCTTCGCCTCATGAATTTGACAGCCTGGTTTCAGGACCGGTGGATACAATAACCAAGCCAATGAAAACCACGAGATTATCATTCGTGTGCCGTAGCTCTCCCGTTCGACATTTCGAAGATGCGGTCGTGTTAGCCCAGTTGGAATTGTGGAGGACGGGATATACATCCACCATGGTTTTAAGTTCTGGGTCTTAAAGATATGACTCCTCCACACGAAAGTTGCTGGCGATCTGATATCATACCATCGCAGTTTCGTTCATGGTCAAGTGGGTCACCTACGTTTCATAATAAAACAGTGTCGCCGAACCCTCATCCTGCACGAAATAACTGCAGGGAAAAGTAAGCTCCGACTAAAATGAGGGCAGTGCTCAGAAGTAGCCCATTTCCTTGCCATGTAAGGCCTAGGTAGGCTACTACACCCACGATGACCTCCTTGCGCTTTGCAGCGAGTCTTTTGTTTTCCCAGTTTGGGTCAATTTCAAAAGGAGGTATGAAGACGGGGGGAGCCAATGTAGGCTTGAGAGGGACCGAGGCAGAAAGGGCAACAGCACGGTGGTCTGATGTTTGCAATATCGGTAACGCATCGTATCCCTGGGCCTCAATGCCACCATCTCCCGACGTTGTGGATGACGGAATCCCCCGATAGAGAACTCGATCGCACCAACTCGGCCAGCGCTTCTTCGCCCATGTCCATGCCCCAAATGATCCTAACGAAGCTTCCTGATGGGTTGGAACGACAATCTTATACGTGGGCAAAAACGTGATGGGTGCTTCAGACAAAGTGTACAACACCCCCTGCTCCTGGAGCTCCTTGGTCAATTGGTCTTTCGCAAGTAAATGCGAGAAGTGATGAGGACTGTCAATATCTTCCGTGGGTCGAGGGAACCTTTCATAGTCTTTTGGCCCCGGACGGGTTAATGATGTCCGATAATTCAAATCCCCAGCGACAAAAAGGTATGAGCTGGGACAATAAAGGCCAATTTCACCATTCGCATCAGACGATTGGGTTTGGAGAAGTGGAACATCCTCTTCATTTCTTTCGTCGTGAACCTGAGGATTCTCCCCACGGTCCACCTTCGAGAATACAAGTTTTTGGGCAATGTTCTTCCAATCTTCGTTCCTCCTGTCTACGGCCCACTCGTTTGGGGCAAGATGCACAGCAACGAAGGTTAGGTCAACCGTGCCTTCTCTAATGCGGTAGCTAATTTGTGCTGCAGCAGCTCCCTTATTCCCAATTTCCATTACTCCAACTCCAACTTCTGCGGTCTTGACCCAGGCAATATTCTCAGTGACATCTTCGCGCACAAAGACCATAACAGCAGTCGTTCCCGCATTTTTTGTTATGACATTCTCGTAGCGCTGTTCCCCAGCTGCAATGCTCACGGAACAACGAAAGGCATGGAAGTACGGATCTAGGAACGAGCCCCCGAGAAATGCGTAGGCGATCGGTGCAATTTCCTGTAGTGATAAGACAAGAATCTCGGGCAGCTCCCTGGACTGAGGCCATGTTTTGGGGAGGACTCTGAAGAGGTGGGCTGCGAATGAGTCGTGCTGGATCAAATTCCGGGCGCAATTAAAGGTAAGGACGTATACGCCCAGCGACGCCATTCTAGTTGACACTACGAAGCCTAGCAGTCAAACTAGTCCGGGTTATGTCGCTTCATAAGATTCGAATCGCGGTTTGACACCTTCCAAGGTTCACATCAAATCTGGCAATCACGTGGGAAATCTATAATTAGAGTCGAAACTTGGTGCGTATGGATTATATAGTAGAGATATAGGAATGGCCAGGATTTACATCTTTACCCCGAGGATTCGCTCACAGACCCACATTGCTGTGAGAGAATGCAGGCTGAGACCCGGTTCCTCGGTCTGGTTACCAGATTTGCAGCCCTTCCCTTCTTCGTCCAGTTCTCCCAAGGCTTGAAAAACAACAACTTGGTCTCTCATAAATGTGTCTAAACAACCTTTAGTCCCCCTTTTTGGGACGTCATTTGGCTCTTCGTCAGTCACAGTGGTAAATTCTTCCATCAAACCCGCTACACATTCATTTACCATCCCGTAGAGCAAAGTCTCGAGGTGTGCCTCGGCGTTTGGAAAACAGGATTCCTTATTCCTCTCTTTGGGTTGATATTCGGAGTATAACTGACTCCTGCCCAGTCGAAATCCTGTAGATGTATGGGCCACAAGAAGGATATAAATGTGCGATGGGTCGTAAGTTGGTTCTGTGGTGTGTATTCTCACAACCGGTGTTTCATCCGCTGATGGTTGCTTGGTTGCTACGGCATTATTATCAGAGAACACCCTTAGAGATCTGGTTACCGATTTCATTATAGCATCCTCTAAAAAAGAACGAATTGACTGAAGCGAGGGAGAGTCATATAACCCTCTACCCTCTGACGACGAAGGTTCTAGTCCTTCAGATTCTCCCACATCAAATTCCGATTCAACAAATGTAGTTCTTTTGGGGGGTTCGTTCTCAGGATGGCTCGTAAAGTGCTGTCGGTGTTTTCTGTTCTTGTGAGATCGATGATGGGTCTTTTTGGAATGCCTTAATGCTGCAGTTTGGCGAAGAGTGGTGTCAGGCGCTAGGACTGTGATATCGACCCGGGTGATGTATCCAGGATCCAAATTTTCCAAACTGATGCGGGGATACCTAACAGGCAAAAAGCAGGAAGATTCTGTTTGTCCTGGGGGAACCCTCCTCACACTGGAGATAGCAAGAGGCTCAATTTCAAATGACACTGAACCAATCTGGACTGTGCCGGTACTCCACCCGCGGCGATTTAATTTAACAGAGAGACTTGGTAGGCCCAACTTTGCGAAGGTAGGAATGAGAACCTGAGATACGTAGTCATACGTCGGGGAAAATGATATATTTGTGCCGCCGGTGATGTTCAACTTGATCACTCTGCTAGCCGGTGTGACGCTCACGACCTCTCCTTTAGTGTGTAGGCGAGCACCGGCATACATGAGGTAGGGATATAAGGCCTGAAAGATGAGGAAGATAGAACCAGGAGTTGTAAGGCGGATGTTGTATTCGGATTGGATTGGAGATGTCAAAGGGATGGGATGCAACCGCGCCCTCACTTGCAGTACAGACGGTGACTCATCACCTCCCGTTCCACCATTCAATAATGCATTTTCAGTATCTCGGGGATAGAACGTAATTTCAGAGGATCCCACTGTAGCACCAACAATGCGCGCGCCACAAATTTCAGCGAGGAACTGTATAGCAGCTGTATGAGAGTGCCTCAAACCCCGAGGACCTTTCCTCTTCCCTCGTATGTTGCTGATTGTCACTGGTCTTCCCGTCAATGCAGAGAGAGTGAGCGCATTGCGGACGAGTTGCCCACCCCCTTCCAAATTGCTACCGTCCAAATGTAACATTTTTCACGCCTTCTCCCGATCTTGCTTGAATTCGGCTTGTAGTGGAAGGAGGCTTTGTTTTTCAGCACCTGTCGTTGCTAAGTTCCCTAGGATGTCTGGATTAATTTGGCCCCATATTGTAAGGAGATATCATCTCTGAAAGACTTGCAAAGGAAAGCTGGATCTTGAGATCTGACCAGGCTAATGTAGCGTGACTCATTGATGCCTGAGCAGGACGCGACAAAGCGTCGGAGTTGAAAATTGAAATTTCATGAATTAAAATCTAAATCTTTGTGTCAAACGCAGCTGACTGACAGAAACAAACTCAAAAAATTTTAAAATAGGATATACTCTACTAGTATTTAGGTGATTATGCTTCCTGCTCAACTTTTATTGAAATAATAAGTCATTCTCTGTTTGAGATTCTGAACTTGCTGGGCTCTGAGGTTAAAAAAAAATGAGTTACGATGAACTTTCCAAAGGAAAAACAAAAAATTCAAATAAGGTTATGTAGCTATTTGAACAAAAAATTCAAACTGATGATTGTGATCTTTGATATTTCAATGGTTGTGGTATGGTGAGCAAAAATATTAGCAAATAAAGTGCATAGAAATCATAAAAGCCGCGATTAGGAAACCACATGGAATTAAGAAAGGAGTTGGCATATCACTATCACACTGGGACAAAGCTGATAGGGGCTCCTAAAGTCCCAAATCGCTCAAGGGAGCCACATTGCCCAATCTAGTAGAGGTAACCCCAGATTTATCATTTTGGCACGTCCTGAAGATAGTATTAGAAGATCTGAAGTTGGTAGAAATTATGTTCAAAGAAGGCTACTTTCCTTTGGAGTGATTATAACTTGTATGGCGGTTGTATAAAGATAAGGAATGTAAAGGTCAACTGGTGTACAATATTTGAATTTACATTGGAGATGGAAAACTAGCGGATGAGGGCGTAGAGTCCAAGTTCATGAACTCATGCATCTGAGGTTGTCACGGAGTTGTCGAAACCTCTAACAAGTTTTTGTATGTCTGAAGTTAAGGATATACCGCTTGATGGTAGCGCAAAGAAGCGCATTAATATGGATCCAGGAGTAATACAAGCAGCCAAGATGTTTGAAGACGGAAGGCGGAAACAGGCTCATTTTGCATCCGCTGTGAAATACCCATGCTGGGAGAATTAAGAGGGGCTTCAGCTTCAGTAATAAAATACACTTAGAATTGTCATGCATGCATCTCTCTTCCGTAACAGCTATTAACTATTACCCTATCAAACGATGGAGGTTTCTGGCCAAGGTAATTCGAGTCCCCTATTCCCAGTCGAGTTGAGGAGAGATGGATATACCAGGGTCAAAGCAGGATATCATGTAATCATGATATTATTGAGATTTTCTATTTTTATTTAGTAGCAATTTCATAAAGAAGACACCGGACGCCAAACCAACGTCTGAAATAATGCGCCTCTTGGTGGTGCCATCACCGCCAGAGTGACAGTTCTCAATTTTTCTGATCAATCCGTTATCAGCCATATTTGCAGAGCTTGAGCCGCCAGGCAATCCAGGATATATTGTAATTGTAAAGGTGTTATAGGAGATGTAGATCAAATCAACAAATTGTCGTTTGTAGTCGCAAAACATCAAGCAATTTCAGATATGACATTACATTTGCTGCGTGGATCTCAACTCAAGCATTTATTCCTTTTCGAGCGCCGCTCACGGCCATCATAAATGAGGTTCCCTTCATCACCGACTCTTGCAATTTCCCACCTCTCATGCTCCATTGGCTCTTTCTTAACACCTAGATGCTGGACGTTCCACCCCTGAGTTACGAGTATATCTGCAATCATCCGTCGATGGCATCGCCACCAGACCGTCTCGCTGCACATGATTGCAAGATATCCCTCATTTGAAGTTTGCAGGTTCTCTGCAATGCCTTTTAATTCGGCCAAACCGTCCTTAAATAACTGGGTGCGCATATAGCCTGCGTAATTTCGGAACGCAGCGACACGGATTGTAGTATGCTCTTCAAGCTTCGGCTGTTTTGCATTGCGTCTGCCGCCCAGCAAAGGTCCGAACCACAAATAGCTGATATGGGCAGAATCCAACTCTGAAGAGCTCTCGAGGGTATCACGGTTGAATTGGGGATTTGTGAATGACCGTGGAATAGAGCGGATATCTAGAAGTTTGGTGACATGGGCAGATTGGAGGAGCTCGATAAGCTCAGGAAGGGTGCGCGTTCCGTGGCCGATAGTAAATACCGTCGGATGGACTAGCGATGGTAGGGATGGCCGCTCAAAATCATGATGCTTCCGAAGAGATTGGAGTCTGCTGCTGCTTCGGACTTTTGAATCCTTTTTTTGTTCAGCTGGATGGGCATTATGTCTCTCTTTTGCAGGAGACGCCCTCAGTTTCGTTTGAATTTTGACCATGTTCCCTGGCAAGATTGCCGATATCTAAATGGTTGGAATCCTGTTTTAAGAGTAAATGGTTTGGCTCTGACAGTGAGGCCAGAAAATGTACAGCTTCGAGACGCCATATTTTGTGTAAATTAAAGCTACACCGACTCGCAGTGGAATGGCACCTTTCAGAAGAGGAGAGGGAAAAGGGAGTGAAATGGTTCTATGACAGATTGATAGAACATACATTCAATTGGCAGTCTCCAGGTCAGTGTGAGGTCCGCTTGGACCACCTGAATCAACCAGTAATGCCATCAACTTTGGAGGGGTTTAGGTTAGCCAAAGGTGTGCAAAAATTGGCGACCGTAGACTTAAGAACACTCACTCAACTCTCACTCCAGATATGGTAGGGGGGTCAAACGCGATATACAGAATCCGACGAGCCCTGCTTGGATCTCGCATGAACGCAGCCAAGATCCGGCCTATCGGGATAATAAGGTCTTGGGATTTTGAAAGTTTGGCCCTTAGATTGAGTAAAGGGCAGAAAAGGATTTACCCATCATGGAATCGAGCGGCATAACATACCCGTAGTCTTCAATAACCGATTGTGCTCGAATTGCGAGAAAAGAATGGCGACATCATATATACGTAGTCCCCCATGCCGAACAGGCCGAAACTGGCACTAAATCGCATCGAGCTAGTTGGAGGATCGGTCGTTGAGATAAGGTTCCGCTGGAAAGCCGCTAGGCCAGGGAAGGAAGGAGTCACGAGATTCGCTACTGGTTGTGGTTTGGTACCAGCATGGCGCTGGTGGTGATCGAGCTCTTTTGCCCCAGTGGCCTAACAGTTTCTCTCGAGTTCAGCTTGATCCAATGACCCAACCTTGGAACCGAGAAGATGGATGATTACACTTTCTAAATTCTGGACCCCAGATCACCCAGCCACCCCCATCTAAGCCAAGAACCAGGTGTAAGATATGAGAGTGCTGGTAGTATAGGAGATACGACAGACTGAGATTCTTTCAAACTGCAGCTGTGACGAGAGTGTTCTTAATGCCTCCGATTGTATCTGAATTCTTCAGAGCTATTTTCATATTTGCCTCTATTACCTATTGAATTCGCTGAAACTGTTGAGTTATTCGTGAATTCGAGTGTAAAATTGCGTTCTTTTAGAATTATGGTTACCTTTGGAATATCAATTGAGTGGCATTTGGTGGCGGATTTATGGCGCTGCTGACCTGTTCACCTGACAGTGTATATTCCTCAAATTGCAAGGGCCCCCTGTGACTCGTTTATGGTGATTGCCTTTTCCGTTAGAAGAGCAGTTCTGGATGCCATGCTGATTGAAAACAGGGGTGAGAACTCCGGATATCATCCTGCTGCTTTTCACTATAACTAGCAGCTAGATTATATTTTGTTGAGTATTGTAAGCCATTGGAGCTTCCTGCTGGCCAATATAATATGGAAGGGTTCATTTTCTTCTCATGTAACTTTTAACTGAGAATGTGTGAAGTCCACCCGGAACACCAAGCTCTGAAGGAGATGCGGGGTGTAACCAAAAGCAGAAATTCTGCCACGAAAGGGCATACGAAGATAAGGCAGGTTTTTTGATGATTGGCTATGGTGTCGTCTAAGGTAAGAGGTATGTAGATATGTTACATCATGTCGCGTGGGAGATGCATTGAACAGATCTTTTATAAATCATAGGATACAAAAAGGAAAAAAGGGGTAATAGAGAAAATGAAATACGTCATCTTGAAAGGAAACTAGAGTTGTACGTATTCACAAACGGCCAGGGTAATAAAACGGGAAGTGAAAATATTTATAGAGCACCAAGCTCTTTAAGTTTGGAGATCATTCCATCAACATCTTCTACCTTGCCGCCTCCCTGCCGGGCGGGTGGTTCTATCGAAGGGGAGTTAGTTTTCATTCAATTTGGAACCCGATACGTAGAATAAACCTCAGACAGAAAGGAGAAACTACACATACCCGTAACCTTCAAAGTTTTCAGCCTCTTTGTATCCTCAACCTCATAATCTGCCAAAGTCTTCTTTTCCAACGGCTTCCGCTTTGCTTTCATAATGTTCGGCAAACTCGCATAGCGCGGCTCGTTCAACCGCAAATCTGTGGTAATCACCATGGGCAACTTGGCCCTGAGAGTCTCCACGCCGCCGTCAACCTCTCTCGTGACCTCTACGTTACCCGCATCATCTTTCACATCAACCTTGCTCGCTTGGGTTGCCTGTGGCCAGCCTAAGAGGCCGGCCAGCATCTGGCCCGTCTGTCCCTGGTCTCCATCAATAGCCTGTTTGCCTAAAAGCACCAGGTTGATATTTTCCTTTTGGACAACGTTCTTCAGCAGCTTGGCCACAGTCAATGGCTCCAGGCCTGCCTGGTCTGGTTTCTCGGGTACATCGACGTGGATTGATCGGTCTGCTCCCATGGCCATAGCGGTTCGGAGGGTGTCTGTGCATTTTGGCCCGCCGGCGGAGATAGCAAGGATGTCGGAAACAGACATGGGACCTTTGCGTTCGCGTAGGCGCACGGCTTCTTCTATGGAAAGCTCATCGAATGGATTGAGGGAGTGCTTGACACCGGCCGTTTCGACACCTGTTTGAGATTTGTTGATGCGGGGTTTTATCTGTATATATGAAATTAGGAGTGTGTTAGTGGTACAATCGCGCATGGGATGGCACTTGTGAGCGCGCGGCGGACAACAGCTCAATTCAGCTACAAAGGCAACAGGAACACATGAAAAAAAAGGTAATTCCCCTGAAACTAAAGAGAACAGAACGAGAGGAGGTAAAATCACATACGGCGAAGTCAATGACCCGCTTTACGGGCACAAGTATCCGAAGAGCAGCCATTGTGGGAAACTGTAAATCGCACAGGCAATCCAGAGGCCTTGATCTATCAATGAAGTGGTGGTTATCGAAATTCAGTCGGAGAAGGGCTCTGTGGTGGTGGTTGCGAGTTGTGTATCATGGTTCATGCTGAGCTTGTCGGCAACCGACGTTTGCCGGCGAGCTGACCAGGTTTAAGCACCACGTGATTTATCAAATCGCGGAACTTCGACGAGATGTTCCATATATACAAGTGCATGAAGAATAAACTGCATGCAATCTCTGACCAACTAACTGTTGCTTTCTCGCCGATTACCCCAGATGTTATTGTAGCCAAGCCCACACGCCAGAACGAATTGTATCACCCAAATAGTCAAAATTGTTCTAAAAATCCGGGTATATTTTTTAAACAAGGTCAATATGATTTGAATGTTCTTTCCCCCACCTCATTATTCGCTGCACCTCACCAAGTCTCCTGCTTATATCGTCCCACTTTTTCCATGTCCATCAAATACTTCTCTGCCTCCTCCCGACTGTACTTCTTCCTCTCACCAGACTCGTTTTCCTGGCCAAGCTCCTGAAAGCCTTCGATAAGCGCTTCCCGAATCGCTTGGGGCATTTTACCTGATGACCCACAAATATAGACTGTGCCACCCAAATCATGCAGTATTCTAGAAATCAATCTAGCATGCTCACGAATGCGGTCCTGCACATATATTTTTTGTTTCTGGTCTCTTGAGAACGCCGTCAATACCGTAAGATCCAGCACATCTTTCAACGCCTCCCATTCCTCTTCAAAAAAGAAATCTGCTCTCCTATTCCTCCCGCCATACAGCAGGATAATAGGGCCTATGGGTACTGGTACGTCAAGGCCATGTTTCTCTCGATATGTGGTAGCCATGGAGGCTTTTTCCCATAGTATTGAGCGCAGTGGCGCGACACCCGTGCCAGGCCCGATCAGAACTGTAGGTTCCAAGAACTGTCTCATTGAGGAAGTCAGTCCACCTTTTTGCACTTGGACTTTCAATGTGCTACCAGGACGAAGCACCGCAAGGTAGCGCGTACATACGCCCTGACGAATCTTTTTAATTACTGTCTGGTATTTGACGATGGCGACGAGGAGGTCAAAGCGAGTGCCAGAATTTGTTGGACTGTCACCGGGTAAGCTTCTAAGGGTTTTCAATTTCCCACCGCTGGCAAGACTGAATTGCCGTCCGCGGAGGGTAGGAAATACTGTACAAACGTTTTGCCAAGGGATCTTCACGGATTCAAATTCGTGCAGAACTTCGAGGATGGACCGACGGGGTCTCGAGGTGTAGTCGTAAAACTCGTCTATGTATTCTGGATTTGCAAACTCCAGGAGTCTCTCCTTATGCATGGGGTCCTCAGTGTAGTGGGCAATATTGGAAAAGAAGGATCGTCGTGGTATTGCCATTATGTCTAAATAGTCCGTGAGTAGAATTCTGAGGGTAAAGCCGGGCGATTTCAACAGAAATGGGATCTCGGGAGAGGGTGCGTTATTGGCTGACGCGTATGTAGCATTGGGCACAAAACACAAGGGGGTGTCTGCGTCACTCTCCCAGCCCATCATGCATATCAGGGAGTTGACATCACTGTCGAAATTCCTGGGAGTTACGCACAGGATATCGCCTGGCACATATCGAATTGGCTCGGAAATCTTTAGAATAAGGTGACGGACGTCTTGCCAATGGGTTTGTGGTGTGAGTCGGTCATTCGCCACTAATGTTGCAGAGATAGTATTCGGGATGGGTCGTAGGTCGTTGGAGAAGTTCGAAGGGATGCTGGGAGATCCTTGTCCTCTAGGTTGAGCTTCCGATAGCGCTGCGCTCGGATACATAATAGCGCCTTCTATTGATTTGGAATCTTGGTGCGCCAGTACCCATTTCGGTGGTAACTGGACGTCATCCGGTAAAGGATGTCGGTCAGGCGCAAGTGGAAATTTCTTCAATAGATTGTTCCTTAGATCTATCGACCACGGGATGAAGGTGCCTTCGAGGCTAAGATTGCCCTGTCAGTACGGAGAAGCCGAAGTTGAGAGTATTCAGGAATGTATACCCCTCCTGATGCTGTTCATCTGCTTCACCGCATGGGCACAGCTCAATGGCACCAAGCTGCAACAGTCTTTTGTAAAGTTTTCGAGACGCCCAGTTGAACCTAATATCCCCCACCAGAGTAATTAGTAATTTGATACGTAAATAACGAGAACCTTTCAATCATACTTTGGGTACGAACTATCCCCCAATCCAAACAGCGCAAAGTTCACCCCGCAGAGAAATGTTGGCGGAAGTTTCTTTAGAAGCAATGACCTCCAGAATGATCGAGCGTTGGCAGGGATATCGCCCTGTCCAGTCGTTGAGATAGCGAATATCGTCACGTCATAGTCATTTAGAGATTCCTATACCAAAAGTGAGCTTCGATTCCCCTAAATTCCGGTATGCGCCATCATCGCACAGGTAGAATGGCGTTTAGTTCGCAAACATGCGCCAAGAAGTGCAGCCGCTCCGCCAGGCGTCCAAGCTCCTCGGCAACATCCTGGGAATTTCCTGTTTCTGAACCGTAGAGAATTATAGCTGTTCGAGCGGAGGCATGGCCCGAGTTGTTGGAGTTGGCACAAGCCATTGATGCTGCATTACGAGGTTGATTTGATAATGGATTTGATCAACGCGGAAGTCGGAGATCCTGAAAATTAGCCGAACAAAAAAAGAGACACTGAGGTCATCACCTGAAAGTATATTAACTACTACTACGAAGTCGCACTTCAAAAGTCCGTTCCCACACTCGTAAGTTTGGCGGTAATAATTTTTCAAGTTGCTGTTGCCTATGCTTATTGATGCCTATTTTTTCAGGGGGTTCAGTAGGTGATTGCTCGCATCTATAACTAACCCTTACACATTGTTTCAATGCAGGAGTCTATTAGTTTTCCACGATCTGAAATATAAATCCAAGGTAATTTACTAGGGGGCGAACGAACTTTTGAAGTACGCCTCCGTATAGACGGCCATTTTCTAGTAGTAGATAAACTATACAATTGTTTTTCTTTCTTTTAAAAATGTTTTTATTCAGAATCAAATGTGACTGCAACAATTACGTGATAGGCAATCCGTTTCAAATTCTACCTACGAATGGATTTATAATATGCCTGACCATGTTTGTGGATGACTACCTTTATTTATTTATTCATACACCGCCTAACTCATGTAGTATGCGGGAAATCTATATTACATGAAAGGAAAACCATGTGGCTGGTGCCACTGGATTAAAAACCTCTTCTCAGCCAATTGCTTCAGCTTCAGTTTCTATTCCATCCAGTTACCGAGGATCAGCCAGTGCTGTCCTTGAGAAAAAAGAAAACAGCTCCAGCACTCCCATTCATATCCCCCTTTCATATCCCTCCCTTCCCTTGCTTGTTGTGCACGCCCTGCCTGTGTCTATGCCTGTTGCGTCCCGCCCCTTAACAAATGCGCTCCAAGCATCCCAGTGCATGTCATAAATCTTAGGCTTTATATTTTTCAAGAGTTTGAGCCAGCGTGAATTGCTGTAGAATACCCTGTTGAAGCCAGCAGTCTGTTAACAGCTTAATACCCTCTCTAGTATCAAGGAGCCATCTTCTGTTGATTCTGCCATGGTGGCTCAGTACCTCTCTGCAGTTGCTGTAGCGATCACAGTGCACTATGACATGCCCCACAGTCTCCTGAGCATAGCCACATGGGCACTGTGGTGATGGGAATTCAGGCACCCTTCTTCAATGCCGGAATGCTGCCAGGCCTGTTTTCCCTGTGGGTAGCTGGATCACCAGTGAGCTTCTTGCTTTGCTTATTCCTCTGTGTAGATCCAGTATCTTCTTGTCAGGGGGGATGACTACCTTAAATATTTAGCACATTTAGTAAACATACTTTAACTATAATACATTTAAGACCTAAGTATAGAAATCAACAGAATGGATTCGCAACACATGGTATTTACCAGCGAGCATGGTTTGTCATATACCACAATACCTAGCCAACTAGATTCCGTGAAAGCAAAGAAATTGGGTATCAAATAGAAAAGACATAGGAAACGGGAACGCTATGCTCCCAATATGCAAGGAGAACTAGCACTCATTAATAAGTATCATTCTCCCCTTCTCCACCCCCGTCGTACCCATCTCCATCATCATCCCCGCCATCGAAATACTGTTCCGCGTTATAATCACCGCCCATATCCTCCTCATCGTCTTCGAAATCATCATCAACAATTCCCTCTTCCCCTTCATCTTCTTCCTCGTCCAACAAATCCTCATCGTCCACTCCAGCTCCCTGTTTGCGTTTTTCACCGGCCTCCGATCCTTCCTCATCTTCTTCATCAGCTGCTATTCTCTTCCGAGACGGGCCAACGTCCCCATCGCCATCTTCTTCATCCTCAAAGCCGCGCTTTTGGCCGCCTCGTAAAAGAGAACCAAGTCCATTGGCACCACCAGCTTGCAAACTGGCATATTTTGGGTCGAGGGTCGACCAAAGCTCTTTTGGGAAAAAGTTCATAACTGTAAAGACAAAAGAGTGATACACAGAGTTTGCATCAGCTTGCGTAATAAAATCCACCAAAAGCAAGGGAAGAAGAAAGTCAGGAAGAGCAAATAACCCCAATGCTGTATGGATTCATACGAGAAGAAAGGATATCAGATGTAAAGAGTACATACCATACTGTCTTCCTGAAAGTTTTGGTAACGTCCGAGTTTTCTTCAAATACCTCTGTCCATACGTCGCCATTCCTTGAAAAGGATCAAATTGAGCTTTTCTCGAAGCTGCTGCTCCTCCAATATGTGATAAAGGGGATGCGCTCAACACTGTATAATAGGGTCCGTCGTGTATCATCTCTCGTAACCGCCTGTAATAGTCAACCTGGCTGCGTTCCTCCTCTGTAAGCGGTTTTGCAATTGGAAATGAGTATTTCTAGAATAATAGGAATTAGCCGTTGCCACAAGTTTCTTTGTTTCATCACTGCTCGAAAGGTAGCCAGTGCAGAGAAGAATAATTCTAGAAACGGGAAAGTTGGAGGAGTGGAAATGACAGAAACTCATCATAACTCACTGGAAACAATGGCGTAGGTGCGTTATCCGGCTCTCCCCCAGCCTCCGTATCCCACGAGAACTCCGAACCAGGCAGCTTTTTGCCTCGGTTTGCACTAAAGCGTGACATATCCCTTCCCCTTTTTTACGTTGTCCAGGTTTCTCTATCCGTCGTCATGAGGTTTAAACCGGCAGGCACTTATCATTTCACAGAGCAGGGATTCTATGGAGAAACGACTCGCGATGGGAGCAAATTTTCACGAAGAGTGATCTTAAAACTCGAAAGAGAGAGTTTCTGGGGCGGAATACGTTAGAATTTTCTTTTTCCTCCGGAGGAAGTATCAATTAAATTGCTGCCTTTAACACCCATTGACATTGGTGCTTCTATTTTGTGAAAGGTGGGTGGCAGAAAAAATATATTGCATATTTTGACCGCTTTCGAAGACCCCCCATTTTCAGTCCAGACACAGGTTGGTTAGATTCCTTACGAGCAAGTATTCCGTAGTTGGACCGCTGTTCAGAGTGATATTTGCAGCTCAACGTTCCACCTCAAACCAATTTTCACAATGTTTTGTGGCAATTCGAGTTTTGGCATTCAAGATACTTTACATTCATCCCATCATTACAACCCAGCGCTCCGTAGATCAATCATTCGAAAAAAAGCCACAGGCACTAGCACTGCTCTGTAACGAATAGATCACTGGAAAATAACAACTACCTGTCCTGCCTTCGAATATTTTGACTTTTTTTGCTGATGCGGGTACTTGGAAAATCTAAAATGCGTATCATGGCATGCGTGTAACTCATCACAACTCCAGTGCATCTACCTGACCGCCAACTTGATTCGGAGGGCCCCACGGACCCTCTGCAACACGCTTATTAAGTGTTCGGATAATATCGTCAAACCCTTCAAACGGTTCTTCAACCTTCTTCACTTCGTTCTGGAGCGCAACAAGCGCATCGAACTTGGCTGTTGCAATTCTCCAGAGAGCATTCTCCGTGTCTCTAGCCCCACCGGCGACGAAATTATTGTATGTCTGTGGGGCTTTGAAAAGGTAGGGCAGTACCTCTGTTAGGGCTGGAGGTACAAAGAGTGCCCACAAACCAGAGGCTGGGAGCTTGCCTTGTGTTGACGGCCCAAGCTTGGAAATCTGGTCCTCGGTGGGGATACCAAATCGTTGGTTAGGAAGGGTTATTGAGCTATTCTTATTTGGAGGAATCACAACCCAATTTGCTGTCAGGACAGATTTTATGAACGCGATGGCTGCAAGGGCTGTGTCTTGCATGGCAACTATGTCAGCGGCAGCAACAACGTTGGCCCATAGACCTGGATTTTCATTCAAATATCGAAAATATAAGACACGAGAGGCTGCGGCCTCCGCTCGGGGACTTGTTGGATTTTGATCAAGTGGGTCTAAAAGCTCATTGGAAACGCCTTCAATGACTGGTGGTCCCTTAAATATTCTGCCCAGAGCGTCCAATGCATGACTATTTATAGGCTTAGAAGGTATCGACTGTACCGGGTTTATCCATCTGTCTCCTGCCTCTACGAGCATTACTCGGGGTAGAGAGGCAAGGATGTCAAGATCACCTGTCGGAACTGGGCCGTGAGCCCATTTAACAGGCTGGATGTCAAAAGCCTCTGATATCCGCGAAAGAATCTTATCCAAGAAAGATTGGGGTTGCTGAAGTAGATGATTTGGATATAGTATCGCATATTGAGAGATATAGCCCATAACTGGCCCCAAGAGAATCGGTGAGTATGCAGGGTCTAGGATTGAAGGGTCGACATAGTAATTCATTATCTTGGCGTGGAGGCCGCTTGAAATGAGGTATTCGAGGGAAGGGGAAGAAAATGGTGGATATGAATGACTCTGGACTTTAGAGCGCTGACGGAGTCCGGGAGCTTCAATTCGAAGCAGCTCACGGAGAAAATGGATATGGGTCATGTGCAAGAGTACGTCGTCGGGGTCGACCATTTGAGAGGCCGCAAAACTCAGCAAACTGGAGCATCCGAACTTAGATTCAATGTCAGGGAAATGTGACGCCGCTATTGCCTGCCAATCCATGGATCCCGCTTTGGTAATTAAATCCATTAGTCTGCTTTGAGCTACCGACTTGTCTCGCCTGCTGATATGCCCGGGCGGTTCTGAGTTGTCCAAACTGCAGATGGAAAACAAACGTTCGTACACATCTCTATCATTGAATACTCTCCTCCACATTAGCCCCTGGCCTCCTATCTTATTTTTCCTCTCCTTATCTGCGAAGACATCGCTTTCGTAGTCATGAACATAGTCGGCTTCTAGGAGAGCCCATAGAACATCAAAAGCAGATTGCGAGACCGCGGTTTCAGAGACCGTAAGCCAAAGCTCTACTAGGGCGATCACAAGAGCTGGGTTTCCAGAAATAATCGCTGTATCACCGCTTGAATTACTACCTTTTCTTAGCAGAGATAAAGTAAGGAGGTTGATGGGTGGAGATGGGGCTTTGATGCCAGCGAGCAAATTTAAGGGCGGGCGGATTGATTGGAGTTGGGTGAAAGACAGATATGAAACGGCTGTGGTAGCTAATTCCACTAAAGGAGACGGATCTTCACGCAATATAGGGAGGACCTGCGAAACTTGAGTGAGAATAGTAGAGAGAACGTTCTGGCTGGTATTGGCAATGAGTTCGACCTTGAGCTTGTCCAGGGTGGTGACATCGAGCGGGGTGGACGGATCCTGGATGACCTGATCAAGATGATTTTTCACAACATTAAAAGAAGAAGGAACCTCCATGGCTTCCTCTCGCCCTCATCGACGCGATACAAAGACGTCCAGGGGGCAACCTAGCGAGGTCATTGTGACAGATGTTGTCCGCCCGGAGTTGACGATCTGAGAATGGTTGCCCCACATGCAAATAGGCCAAACAAAGCAAACAAAGCAAACAGCACTGGTTCACTCCAAAGGCGCAAGCACCAAACAAGCTCTCCTAGAAACTGAGGATATACCCACAACTACTCCATAAATATATTATTCTCTGTCACTGGGGAGCGGCCAAATCAGAGCTCCCGAATGATGGCGGAGCTAAATCCTCTAATTTCCCTGAAATCGTCCGACTCGGGCCTCCAAATCCTACTTCATCCTCTCGTCCTCCTCAATATCTCAGATCACGTCACCCGACATTTTGCAAGACAGGAAAAGGGACCAATTGTCGGGGCGCTAATAGGACAGCAGAAGGGCCGGACCATTAGCCTTGAGCATGTATTTGAATGCAATGTTGTAACCGCCTCAAATGGAGACAGTGTACTTTCTGAGCCCTGGTTTGAAGAAAGACTACAACAATGTTCGGTCCACTCTGCACCTAGTCGTTGTTCAATAAGTGTTACTAACTGGTATATCATTTTCGGTATAGTTAGGGATGTCCATAAAGATCCTCCGTTAGACCTTGTTGGATGGTTCACCCTCACCCCGCCCACAGGTCCTACCGCTTCCCAATTGCCTATCCACGAACATATCCTCCAGAAATTTAACGAAACAGCAGTCCTGCTTGCATTTGATCCTTCCGGGCTTGAAAACAACACGTCCCACACCACAGGGAAACTCCCTCTTACAATTTACGAGTCGACATATGAGGAGGATAGCAATGCTGTTGACGGAGATAAATCGATGCAAGTGGACGGACAACAACCCAGCTTGACACTGCGGTTTCGAGAACTGCCGTATTATATAGAAACTGGGGAGGCAGAAATGATAAGTATCGATTTTGTTGCAAGAGGAGGAGGAAATGCTACTGCTATTGAGGCGAATAGTGCCACTCCACATCCCCTAGCAGTTGGCACTAAGAAACCCGTCGGCGACAAAGGCAGAGATGCATCGAAAAAGCTAGGGAAAACCCCTACTACAGAAGAGGTTTCTGCGCTTTCTAAGGAAGATGAAGACCGTAAGTAGACCCAATCAATTGGATACTAACAAAATTAACCAACTATATCACAGTGATCGCCAATCTAACCACCCGTCTTACTGCTGTCAAAACCCTCGAGTCACGCCTTCACCTCATAAAAGTTTATCTCTCCAGCATCTCCACCCAACAGACACCAAATACCCAAACACCATCCACACCCACCTCTTTCCCGCAGATCTCCCACTCCATTTTGCGCAACATCCGCTCCCTAATTTCTCACTTGTCCCTCCTAACTCCACAACAGTCCGATACATTCTCAACTGAATCCCTTGCGCAAGCCAACGATGTTGCCATGGTCGCGTTACTCGGTCAACTAGGCCAGAGTGTGCAGGAAATCCGCGAGTTGGGCAAAAAGTTTACAGTTGTTGATAGAGCTCGGCAACATGCTGAATCAGCGATGGTAATGAGTGGTACGCATTCGAGAATGGATGATTTCCTTCGCCAGCCGATTTGATGGAGAATAGAATAGTCCTTGTCTATGTCGAAAGGGGTGGCAGTTGGCAACATAGATACGATACCGTGCATATGTTTCTTTGATGATGCCAGAATGTTCATTTTCCTTTGTATCCACAAACCCCGACAGCGAATATCGTGTCAAGTTTATGTGTCCATGATGGTATCTAGATATCCTTCGTAACATACCAATGGTTTGATGATGTGTTTTGAATCGCTTCATTACTTAGAGTGCTGAGTGGTTGCTTTGCACGAATCCTATCAACAACCAAAGAAGCAGAAGACAATGTGGATGTGGAGTCAAAAAGTTGAAAGATGTTGGGGACCAAACTATCCGATATGTTTTCTCAATCCATATTCATCCAGCCTTACTAAGAAGACAAAACGCCGTGAGCAAAACAAATAATGCCATTCCTGCATTACTAAATGCCTTTCTTTTTCTCCATGTTGAATCTCGTCGACTCAAAATGACGGCCGGCAGTAGGGAATAGTATAAAGAAACAAAAATAAAATGGGAAAATAAAATAATACAAGAGGGAAGAAAATGGGGCCTATACAATTGCGAGGAGACATGATTGTTAAAATTCATGTCCATTTTCTATTCGTATGGCGTAAAAAGGTATTTCGAAGGGGCAAAAGATAACACTCCCAATGTTCCTATAACTATGATCCGAATCCGTCGTATCTCGCTGCAGTCGAATGTAGAGCGGTATGGAGGCTTGCTGATCCATCATTTGTTGATTGTAAAGCTTTGGCCCCTATCCCAAACCCGACCATCCCACTTATCGCCGCCAGCTATCTCTAAACTCTCCACGGTCCCTGAACCGAGCACCCCTACCACCTCTTCGGCGACCACGGCTTCCATATTCGGGGCCTCTGTCCACGAAATAATCTGTATCTTCGAAAGTGTATTTGCGCATCTCATCACCTCCTCGTCGAGACGGAGGCCTGGCACGGTCGAGGCTGGCAAATCGATCAAGGCGCTTCTCCGCGACTTTTTGTGGAACGGGGAGATAGTAAAGCTTCGGCTTTGCAGCGGTGGAAAGGAATCTGTCATCAAGGGCTTTAAAACCTTCACCCCCGTACCGTACTGGTGGGGCGGGTGGTGCAACAGGACGACTATCTCGATGTACAGGACCGTGTGTCGCACGTGGGCCCAACGGCGGCTCTCGACCTACGTTTTGATCGAGATCGCGATTATTGTGGGATGGGAATTGATTTGTGCGATTGGCTTCCCGGAGAGAAGCTGTAATGCCTCCCTCAATCTCGTCGTAGACCACCTCCCAGCGAGGTGCACCTCTCGCGCCACTACCAGATTCTTGCTCAACCGCAATCCATTCTTTGACTTTCTCCTCTGGAATGAAATCAACCCAGAGCGGCTTTCTTGTTCGCTCATCAGGCCAAATGGTCCCATGGAGCGCGGCACGTACCCTGGAGGCTGCGGAAACATTTGTAAAAGTAACAAATGAGTGTGTTTTAATGGAATCCAAAAAGAAATCGACAATTATATCAGGTTGCATTGATGACGCCGGTGGGGCTGCAAGGGTCACAAGATGCTTTTTGAGGTTTGCTGGCTGTAAAGGTCGCATGAAATTGCGTATATACAGGGATGTGGTAGCTGGGTGGAGGGCTGGGGGCACAATACGATCTGCGGCTTCTTCTCCTCCCAAGCCCTTAGGAGAAGGGGAGAGTTCCCGACCACCATTTGCGACCGGGAACAAACTCTTGAAGCGTGCATCGGCGGATGGGTGCTTGCTGAGATGGAGATCTTCCGGCCTCTCGATTCTGGATTCATCCAGGGGGACGGAGTGGGATTCAGCAGCCCTGTTATCTTCCTCGTTTGCCTCTTGGACGACGGTTGGTTCCGATTGGGGTGTTGGTTCCGGTTCCCGAAGTCCCGCTTCAGTATTTTCTAGGTTTGTACCTTGCATTTCAGCGTCTCGAGGTGCAGCAGCATCAACGATTGGCACAGCCGCAACCCCCTCCCCTGAAAGGATACCTGTGTCTGCTGGGATATTCTCCTTCGATAATACCCGCGGAAATCCATCCTCAGCTTTAGCCCTCTTCAGAACCGTAGTTGTAGGAGAAGGGGGTGGACTCTGGCTTCGCCTTTTTCTTTTCCTGGAGTCATCTATGGACTCCTCTCTCGAGTCGATTGTCTCCTCGGTAGGCGACACAGTTGCAGATTCCGGGTTGCGAGGAGCTGAGGGAACAGATGGAGCTGGCTCCTTTACGGCGTCCTGCAACTGCGCGGGTTCTTCAGCCTTGGACTCCTGAATTTGAGCCTGCGCTTCGGCGGTCGAGTCTTCGGTAATCGCTTCGGCTCGATTAATGTCTGCAATCTCTTCCTTATCTTTCATGGGCTCATCTTCAGTAGAACTGTGTGACAGCAGCTCTTGTGCACCGGCTGCAGGTAGTTCTTTCGATTTAGATTCAGTAGCCTCAGGACCAGGTTCCGACGCAACTGGTGGCTGGTGGTTGCCGGGGATTTCATCTTGGCGCAACTGTTCAGGTACCTCTCGGGCTTGTTTTTCAGGGGGATTGTTTGGTGAAGGAGGCTCCGCAGAGGGACCAGGTGGCGCTGCAGAGTCTGCTTGGAGTAATCGATCAATGAAATTCTGTTTAACCCTGAGACCCGTTTGGGGAATGCCGCGTCGCTTCAGTTCCGCCTTTAAGTCAGTAACCTTCCAGTTTTTGTAGTCCGCCATGGCGAAGAGTTGTGAAAAAGGAGCGATGTCGAGATTGGAGAAGATTGAAAGGTATGCAGTGGTTTCGCATAATGGCCATTAAACATCTAATGGGCCATGCTGGTAACTGTCAAGGATGCAGCGCGTTTTGCGGCGATCGTGTTGGTTCTTTGATGACGAGGCGACATAAAGAACCGGTCGTCGGAGAAATTTACTGAAAAAGGCAAAGGACATTGGATGATGTAATCTGGCGCTAGTGTCAATTTAGGAATAGGTAACAGGCTCAGGATCCCACCTCCAGAAAGAAATTATTCAATGCATTCATGGCTCTCAATTCATTTGGGATATTATTATTACAGGATATTTTTTAATGTATGCTCTAATAACAGAGAGCACATTGAAACCAAGCTGAATTTTTCAACAACGCCGGCTCTTAGAAACCGCTCACCTTTTTTATAAAAAGGCACATGAATATCGATACTAGTATCTCAAGAAATCAAAAACCAAAGAATTGAAAATATCATGAAATTATAAAAGAATAAGATGAAGATGAGGGATTAGGAAACGCAAGAAAACTAGATTCTAGCCAAAGATTATAAGCCACCGCTAATACAGAGGGTAAACATTGCTATCACCCCTTGGTTGCACCCTCAAAGCGGAACCATTTTAGTGAGTTGAGTCCTGGGTATCTGGATGTGCAACACCACTCCACGCTCCACCCCAGCCGGAAATCATAACGAACCAAGAGGGCGAACCGTACCAGACGGGGCTAACAGCTGATTGCTCTCTGTACGAGAGAGAATTGCCCTCCAAGACGACCAGCTTCGTTACTGGACAATTTCATTGGTGACATTTTCAGTTTCGCCGGGATCGTGTCCGCTATCTCTCCGTTACTTGGACTTGGACTTGGACTACGAATCACAAAGTCGTTGCGTTGACTGTTTGCGATGTTTTCCTCGACTTCTCCATGATTTTGCCGGCAATCCGTCCCTCGTAACAAGTGATTCTCAGGTTCCCGCATCTTGCTACTGCTTTTGACCTTGTTCTCTTCCTCATCATTATATTTTCCAGAGAGCCAGGCCTGTCTGACCACGTCTGGTGGTGGTATGGGCTTTCTCCCGGTGCGACTGACAATCTGTGCTTCCTCTTCGGGAGTTAAACAAACACCGCTCGGTAGAAGCGCAAATCGTCTATGTCGGTGAGAAGGTGGGTGCTCTATCCAACTCATCATATAAGATTCCGCACTGGTTTCTTCGAATGGCCCAAGCTAGGAAGTCAACTTTGGTTTGAAATAATGAGTTTCGAAAGAGTATAGCGAATTCAGGAAAAATCTTTATGCTCACGAGAGAAACGTCACTGTCTTCTTATATTCACCGAGTCACGGCCAATACCCGATCCAAGGCAAACGAGTAGCCAATGATGTCGTGCATATCACGCAATAGAGGCATCCATGGTTCTGTTGAGGGCGAAACGTGCCAATGTTAAATTGGCGGCGGCAAACTCAGTCCCCGAGTTGGAGCGTGATTCCTGACGTGTTTCTGTTTTCACTAATCCTTGGAACTAAAACCCTCAGGACTTCTCACGCGTGGTCGTTGCGCCAATTCTTTCCCTAATTAGTCGCTTGGGCGGTTGCCTCGTTCGTCGACTTCTGATTCACTATGACATCAGCCAAGCGAAGTTTAAATGCTATGAGCACGTTTTGTAGGCTTTTTGACTTTTAAGCTTAAACCATATTTTGACACTTCGACCTGGAAAAAAAAATATTGAGACCTTCAAATTTGAAACCTGGTACTGCGTGACTATGAATAATCATGATTCCAGCTAGCAGTAGCACGATGTTGTGGAGAATAAGTCCTTGCATATGCCAGAAATATAAATGGGAATCTCAAATACTGCTGCTCCAACGAATTCTGTCTTCATCGGAGAAGATATGGGGTGGTGCCAAGCTTTTGGCAACAAGCCCTTGATCAATCTTTTGGATATGTAACATAATTACCATATAATTTCTAGCCTGTGTAGGGACTTATTTTTTCCAGGAAACTATCGGGCCTTGATGTCCAACTTGACATCCCTGCCTTAGGCATCAAGGGTCTGGTGCACTGGGATGTAACACACTTACCATAAAAATTTCTGGTTGTGTGCAAGGACTTGGAATGCCGCACCTCCCGTATCATAATAACTGACAAAAATATCTTGTCCAGAGGTTTTGAAAATTGCCACCTGTGGACCCCTTTAACTTTCCCATAAACGGTAACCCCGGGTGAAATCTTAAAGCTTCAACCGCAGCTGGCACCTCCCTTTCATGTTTTCCTTCTGTGCAGTTCGTAAAACCCACCTCGGATCTCTTCCTGACACCTTGGTGATGCAGATGTACGACATGGCCAATGGGCGAGGAGGTGGAAAACAGGGGATCTCTGTGTTTGGGCCAATCCTACTATCCTACGCTCATCGTATTCTTCAGAAGTCCACCAGTCACTGTCTTCTAAAATGGCTGCATTTTCGTTCCCTTTTATTCAACGTGGCGGGCTTGCAGGTGAAAATATTGTCAGCCAACAACCCAAGTTTACACTTGCAGGTTGAGCAAATAGTGGATAATCGCGACATATCGGCAGGATACTGAAGGGTAGTTAGAGGGTCAAATAATGAACTCTAGGGAGTTTTTGGAACAATTAAGAAGGGTTCAAAAGGATCAATGCTTATGTAATTTATGTGATAATCCAGGGTTCAATGCACACACTACGCAGTACCGGTGGAGAAAGTATTGCACAGGCGAAAAATTTATGTAGTACAGTACATATCAGTTGGCAAGTCCCCTAAGTGAGGGTGGGTTTACTTGGGGCCTGCCAACCAAGCTTTAGGCCCTGGGCCACTAAACCCATACCCCAACTGTGACATTCATTGGTGGCAATTACAGGGTGTCACAACTAACTTCGATAACCAAGCTTTAAGCGCCATGACCCTAAGTCTTCTCGGGTCTTACCCGGATGTAACACAATTGCCATGTATATTTCAATGCTACCCCTATTTTTCCAACCCCTTTTTCATGAATTATAGTACTGTATAATTAATTTCATCTGGAATTTAACCTTTATGTGAGTGGACGTAGGCGAGTGCTTGATGATGAATACATTAATATACTACTTCTAACTATAAAAAAAAAAATTGAAATATAATATTCTCCATAGAAACTGCACTTCTATTACACTTTTGAATTCTTTGTGCGGTACAAAAACGAATATTAAGAGTATGTTACATATCTTTTTAACATTAAATTACATGAATGTACTGATTACAACTAACTGATCGTCACTAAGATACTCTTTACCATACCTTCAGCCCTCCGACGGTTGACAACCTGATCAAATAAGCTCAAACACACCCAGCGACTATCAGTTGCTCAGCAACCCATACTCTTCAGAGCTCATAGGCATCTGTGAGCCCTGTGGCATAACAGAACTGAAGAATCTATCCATCATACTGGAAGAACAATGATGGGGGAAAAAAAAGGAAAAGCTAACTTTCATTCAGTGAGCTTCGAATCGACGGGTTCGACATAAAACGCCACTGGATAGCAACACCGACAACAACCCCACTTGTGTTGAATAAAACTGTCAGCTTTTCTCCCTTCTAAATTGCGCTGCATATTTCGTGGATCTAATAATTAGTATTCAAGCTGGCCATGAGCGTCGAATTGGTTCCAGCGAACCCCTAGATAATGGATAATCGAGTTTACAACATCACTCTTGAGCCAGCCAAACACTTACCAGCATCGCCCTACTTATATTATCTCTTGACCCAGCGTATAATTTCAACGTAGTAGTACCTCATATCCGAAATGCAGAGGGTCGAGGAGTTTCTCTTGTGGTCTTGCCGGAGTACCACCTAACAGGTCTGGTACCTGATTGTCCCGCATTTGTCTCCCCTCGCTTCAAAAGCGTGGGGTTAAGAGGTTCCAAAAGCTTTGGGCATCAGCCTGGCACACTCGTCACGACGGATCCAAACTCACTGATCCGAAAACGGCACGTGAGATATCGAGACTTCCCTCGGTGGAGGCGACTTATTGAACTTGCATCTTTTATGTCACACACCGGCGAATTGCTGTGATTATATAAAAGTCAAACTACGGCTGCCGGAGCGTGGATATCTCTATCTCCTCCGGGACCTTTGCTAAGAGAAGACCAGCAACTCATGAACCGCAGGGCAGCAGCCGCTATAGTGTCATCAAAACACCCTTAGGCCAGGTGGGACTTGTGACTTTTCCGGAAGCGTTCCGTGCTGTGACCTGCCAGGGGGCACGGATAATAATCATACCCGGCTTTTGGTTGAACACAGAATACCAATCGAAGCACGTAAATGTAATGAAGATACTGAATGTACAGTACATTCATGAAAATACCTGCGCCATCGCATCCTGCAACGCTGGGAGTCTGTCGGAAGAAGGCTATATAGAGTTGAGCCAAGTGGCATTTCCATTTTGTGTTTTTCCGAGTAGTTTTGAGGTCCTGAGAATGGGATACGGATTGTGAAGGTTGATATGAATACCGTAGCCGTTGCTGAGAGGGCTTATGGGGTTAGGGTAGATATTGCGAAGCTTGGTTGGCATTACGGGGATGGACGTTTAAGAAGAGTGAAATAGTCGAATACCAGTCCCCTACATTCCCCTATATGGATTTGAAATATGCCTCAATGAACATTTTCAAACGCAACGGCCGGAAAAGCGTCACGCACGCTGAGTTGTGATAAACTAGTTACGACGAAACCATGGAATATATGACATGATATCGTCACTGTTGATGCCCTCATCATCGATGCTGTATTTGCCTGGTGAGCAAGTACGCGTGCACCAGTCACTTTTGCTGCGTAAGCATTCAGCAGATAGCCACCGCCACTCTGAAATACCACTAATCCCGTTGTTCAAATGCCATAACAGATCTCCATCTCCAATTCTTACCAAATAACCGGAGTACAAGGGAAATAAATGACACTGTTATAACGATAAATAAATGGGGCGTCTATGACCATCCCCAAGAGAAATATGGTTGAAGCCTGGGTCAATTGGATTCACGATGAAGAAACTCAGTAGCGTCTGAAGTTTCACAAGAATGGCGGCATTTCCACAGTTGAAGGGACCCTGCCTCATTGCTGATGATGAAACCACATCAGGACAGGGCTTTTTGGGGATTGCCGACAACTCTCCCCACAAGTTCTAACTTTCGCCGCCCACCAAGAACGGTTTTCCACGCAACAATCTAGAGTGCCAGTCGGTGGCGCAAATGCGAGTTTAGGCGGGCACCTCCGCTGGCTGCCGGGACCTGGACATGTGGAGAGGCTGGGTTTGCGCAATCATGTCAAGTTGAGTAGTAGTTCGAAAGCACCAGGAGATGAGCATATCCTTTTTTTTTTCCACAGAAATATCAACAGTAGCCACATGGTTCGAAGGCCCTAGCTTCCGCCATATTGGTCTCCTTGGGGCAGAAAATCATCCATGTCACTCATCTTTCCGTACTCATTGGACAGCATGACCAATGGGCCAATTTTTCTCCTGCTTGTTTCATGACAGCTGTGTGGAGCAGTTTGGTCCAGGGGTTGTGGGTGAGTTTTATGTTGGTGTTTCAGGACATACGAAACCAAAGCTAGTTTATAATGGCTTAGAGTTGACGTTGGATTGATAAACCGCAAAACCTTGTCGGTTATGGGCATAAAATATGGGGCCTGCGGGATAAACAAAATGAACACTCTCTCTGGATTTATCATGGCCATTGCTGCGAGTGCGAGACAAAGTTTTTGTCGTTTTGGATGCCTCTTACATCTCCCGGTGCACTGGTTGAAGGAAAATAAAGCTTCAAAGTCATTTCTCTCCGATCATATCCCACAGTGTCAATTACATCTTGACCAGCTCCTGTTTAGTTGTTCATTGTTGATCGGTGGCTTTCATGATCGGATGAAATTACTCGGAGCAGCCCTTGTTCATCCAAACGCCATTTAATATTGGTTACACAATCCCTGCGGATGTCACCATATTTGGCCCCTGGATTCTAACCCCTTGAAGCAATAATCTCACATATTTCTCAGCTTTCACACCAAGTTCTCTCTCATCTCTTGCGAGTGGACTTTCTCTCGACAGGACGATCATGCATCGGATCATACCAAGACATAACTGAACAGGTTTGCTGCCTCCCTGACGTCTGTGATTCTTGCTGTTTTCTTTCGTTTAGAGAATGCAAGGTTTGATATACCTTAATCGCTCATTCTATCAGGAATGAGGAGAGACTAGGTTTTCTTGAACCATATCAAGAAACAAAGGCTTCCGAGCTAAGCAACTTCTGCAAACCGAGCCCCTTGTGAAACTGTGTCGTCGATTGCCTGGGTGCATTCCATCATGATACGGCAACTTTCCAATTTCATTACTAATGTACGTTTCTTGTTCATTCTTGTTTGTCCCCTCTTAATCCTCGCTACACATCACTCCAGGCCCAATCTTCCTGTAGTAACATACTGTAGAAGCGAGCGCCTCAGAGAGCCCGTGAGGATGTAGAGGATCAGAACCGATATTATGACATCGGCAATCCAGTTGCTAGCTCAAGACCACGGTCGCCCTTGATCGATCGGCAATACCTAACTCCTGCGACAGAACGGCAGTTACAGAAAGCATGCCTCTTGCTTTCCAGGAAAATTGAATGTCCTGAAAGATGGACTGAATTTGATACTTGCGCTGACCCGGCGAGTGCGAATATCTCGGGTTCTCGCTTCCCCGACTTGAAGATCCCATCGTTTGCTATCCCGAATCATATCGCTTCAAGTGTTAATAATGAGGAACCCCATCTGTCAAATGAGAATGAGAATGGCACGTCAGATCTGGAGAACAAAAGCAAATTCGATGTGATCATAGACCTGGAAGAGAAACAAGAAATATCACATGACTGCTTCGTGGATGTGTTTGAGTACAAACAAGCGTCCTGGCTACTTGCTGATGAAGACGTGGGCAAGATATCGTTGCCCAAATATGAATCGAAATTCCGAAGTCCATCCGGCAGTGGGAAATACCCCTTTCGCGAAACTGTTACCAACCCGCTTGCAGAATATTGGGAGGATTCGATGTTCCAAAGAAACAAGACACCTCCATATAGTGTCTCATCTTCAAATGACATGGTGACGGATATTTGGACGATTGAGGGTACTCCGACTGAAACAGAGCAGATAGATACGTGGCTACGGAGTGCAATTCTACACGATCCTATCAATGAAGGATGTCACCCTATAACTTCCTCCAAAGAATGGAATATGTCGCCTCACGAATCCCAGGCAGAAGAATCCGACAGCCTTTCTAGCTTGTTGATGGAAAGCAACGAGTACCAAACAGAAACCCACACCGAACAAACATACATAATTGATACCGATTTACCCCCAATCTGGGATAATCAAGACGACGGAGATCTATTTATAAAACCTCTTCCTCATTCACAGTCATGGAACTCGCGATCGACTGGCGGGAAAACAATAATCGACGAAAACGGGCTGGAAAAAGAGATGAGTGCAGACGAGGAAAGACAACGTCGTTTGGACCTTCAACGTGCAGTCATGGAAAAAATGACTGGCAGACGTACCGTTCCGGCACCGATAGCAGATAGAGCTGCAGTGGCCCTTGGCTCAAATACCCCAATCCGGCCCATGTCGCCAACCTGTGCTGTGGTTGGGGCCAACGGGCAGCAATCAGACAAACCCGCAGATGCCAATTTGGACGAGCGGGCTCAACTTCTATGGGACCAGCAGACAAAGTATACGCTAGTGAGGAAATTGTCGAGCATGGCTCTCGGAAAAAAGAAGTCCATCCCAAAAGTGAATAACGTTCTTGGCTTCAGTGCTGTCGTGGAGACGAGGTAGCTGCTGAGGTCTAGTGTATCGAGGTGCTCCGAGGATGTTGTCCTCTTTCCTTGCTTATTTTGCCTGGATGAAACCAGGAAACAAACCCCCTTACCAGCCATCATCACCTTGGGCAGCATATTATCCTTTTGTTAGTTGTATATACCCCTGCATTGATTCTGCGGTGATATAATTTCATCTTCATCTTTTTGGCGAGCAATATTGTTCATAGACAGTTTTTCCTAGTATTGTTTTTTCACAACCTGTAACATACATACCAGGATTTTCCTGAAGTTGGGGCCATTTTTCGTCTACTCTTTCATCTGGCGAACTACACCAACGAATCCCTTGTCTCTCTACCCAGGAATTCATATTCTTATTTTTCGCACGACGTATTCTTGAACTATATTAGCATATTAATTCAACCCATCCAACTATCAGGCGAATTCCAACGCCTTTATGTTCCACCCATGCTTGTGCTGGGAAATACGCTTTCATCCTAGAAGCGGATGCCTTATTTTTGCAGTTTAACACACCTCAAATACAATATACCGCTTCAAGCAGGCCAAAACAAGACATTTCGTCAGTAGAATCGCCGCACAAGAAATACCATCCATCCCTACTTGGCAAGAAATAAGTAATTACGAAAGAAACGAGGGAAGATTGTACTTTTCGAAGACTAGAGCCAGTAGAGATGATCAAGGAAAATTATGATGTATCGCCGGAATATGCCAGTTGCAGGGGAACGGGGAAAACACACAGCACATGCGGATGGGGAGGATATTTAAAAGAGAGCAATATAACTCGAGATCCAATGCGTCAATAAACAATGAAAATTTGGTAATGTTCATATACCACTCTAATACCGCCAAAATGACTCTTGAGACGCAAACATAAAGTTTTCAATGACACCTATCCCTGACTCCGAAATAGGAACAGAAAATTGTGAGTGCTCGTATAGTAGGGAACGTGATAAAATGTAATGATACAAAACACAAAGAAAGAGGTTGGCAAGTAACTAAATAATCCAGTCGCTTGAAAACACAAAATCGATCAATGGCCGCGTCTGGGCCTTTTATTTTCAGCTCCATTTCTTGCGGAACCAGCAACGTTGGATCGGCCATCCATGCTGGGGACAGCGGGTCTTCCGCGTTTCCTGGGCCAAGTGCCTCCATTGTTGCTGTTGTTGCCTGTCCCACCACCACCACCACCATTACCTCCACGGCCGCTACCCACATCTCGACGCTCTCGATCTCGATCTCGATCGCGATCGTGGTCCCGGTCGCGGTCCCGCTCACGATCTCTATTGCGATCGTCACCTCGACCACCACTACTCCATCTGCGGCCTTCCTGATCGCTTGGAGGTGGTGGGGGAGGCGGTGGAGGTGGCAGCGGGGAAAGGTCAGAATTACCGACACGGTTGTGGCTGTCTTGGGGCCCCTCTTCACGTTCTCGCTTGTCCCTCCGCCTGGTAGCGGAGACAGGCTCTCTGTTTGCGCTCGAGTTCTGAGCAGCTCTTCGCGATGAGGATTCTCGTGAGTTGCGAGCTTGGTCCCTAGTGCTGGTTTCTGTTGCCCGACCTCTATCACGGTCACGATCCCCGTCTCGATGGCGTTCTCGATACTCATCCCGTTTAGCACTGGGCCTCGCACTTTCCTCTTCAACTCTACGACTGGAGTCGCGCTCCCGGTCCCGATCTCGGTATTGCCGGTCCTTGTCTCTTTGGCGTTCTCTCTCACGGTCCCGTTCACGATCTCTTTCCCGATCTGGAGTATGAGTACCACTGGAGTGATGAGGGGATCGTCGTGACTCTGTTGCTGCCTTCTCTATAATTTCAGCTCTCCGGCCAGCTCGAGTAAGTCCACGAGCTTCTTCTTGTGGTGGTGTCTGTCCGACGCCAGAGCGACCAGGGAAAAGCTCTGGCCTTGGCGTTCCTGAGGAAGGTGCGGAACCAGAATAATTGTCAGCCTTCCCTCCAACGGGAGTTTGTGGTCTGGTAGATTGAGGTGATGGAGCATTGATTGAATTGCTACCAGCGCGATTCGCACCCCTTCCCCTTATTGAAGTCCCCATCCCGGGTTTATCTGCTGCACCCCCAAATTGCTGAAGCATGCTACTCAAGCCTGCAAATCGTTTATCTGCCCGCCCCCTCTCTCCTGGAAATGAAGGTCCAGGTGCCCCTCGAGTGGTTGTCGGAGGGACAGAATGTTGATGGCCACCACTCCGAGGACCGGAAGGTGGTAAGGTTGATGGAGGCGAAGACGGTTGAGTTCCATCGTCCCCGGGAGCTTGTAGTGCTTTTAGGCGGTCAGGATGAATGCCGGACGTGTCAACATTGTCCAGGGGAACAGGCACAGATGACGAAGTTGAGGCGGACTGCTGATCCTGATGGGGAGGATTCCGCGTGGGTAGTCGGTGAGATGGTCCTGTGGGTGGCTGGCGGTCCGAAGCTTGTGGCGGAATTGGAAGAGGCTGCAACAACGGAGCGTTTCTCCCACCACGCTGGGAAGGATTTCTCCTTGGGCCTGACGGGATATCTTGAGGCCTCTCAAACTGCTCCTGCGAGCGTGAGGGAAATCTCGAATCTTGATTCAACCTGCCATAGGACGAGTCTGACGTTGGTGGCGGGTACGATGATCGCGAGTCTTGGCCATGACGGTTATCACCCGTTGCGGGATGAGTGGATCTGTCTCCTCTTGGCCCCGTTGGGAGATCCTCTGAGCGTGATAATGGGTGAGCATTAAGATTTGCAAGTTTCTTCTCTTCACGCTCATTTCGCTTCTCAGGTCTATTAGGTGGATTGGAATCTTCAACTGTGGTAGGGCTAGGAGGTTGCGAGCCACAGCTTCTTCTATCGTCCCGTTCAGGTCTTGGAGGCTCATGTCGCTGGTGAGATGGGGGTTCAGGGTAAGACAGGCGTGGAGGATGGTCTCGATCGTGAGATTCTGAAACATTAGAAGGTCGATATTGATGTATATCGCCATCTCTAAAAAGGCGCTCTGATTCATGCCGAGCTTGGAAGGCGTCTGCTTGGGGCATCCTCGCTCTGTTCGTCCTGTCAGGCCATTCCTGATCTCTTGGAGAGGCGTGCGGGTCTCTGTAGCTTGTACGTCCAAGATGATCTTCGGAGGGCCGCAGAGGAAAATCTCTCTCCATCCGAGGGCCATCAAGCCTATCTCTATCCCCAATCCGGTCATTTTGGCGAGCATGGCCTCGGGGATCGCTAGGGAAGGAATGCTCAAACAGCTTCTCGCGATCCGGTCCACCAAATCGTCCAAGGCGATCTGGGTGTCTGTTGTCTCGAGAATCTCTTCGTTCTTCTGGAATGCTGGGTGGCCTCATGGCAGTTCGCTCATCAGAATGTTTAAATGATCGAGGAGGTTCCGGTCGGTTAGGGAGAGGGCGGATGGGAGGTCCAGACTGAGAAAGATATCGATCTACATCCGGACGTTTTGGGATGCTTGGCGGGTGGGGTGTTTCAGAAGGTGATTTACCAACTACTCGTGACGGGGCAGGTGAGGATGAACCACGACCCGAACCAAGGGATTGTGTATCTGCTGGGGGCGCAAGAGTGGCCACGGGGGGGTGTGAAGGGAGTTGTGTAGAAGTCGTTGCAGACTCCGCAGGCTTCACTGGTTTCGCTGGCTGCGCTTCTTGTGTTGCCGCGTGAGTTTCACTCTGTTCTGTTCGCGCCGTTCTACTTGGAGCGGCGCGTTCTCCGGTGCTAGAGGTGTCAGGTATTTGTTGCAGTTGGGTGTCATCTTTTGTCAGTTCTTGTTTTGTGGCTGCATCGTTCATTCTAGCTTCTGACATTTTCGCGTCTTGAATCTCGCCATCTTCAACCTCTGATTTCCCGGGCCCTGAAGGCTTCGCACCATTTACCCTAAGTATCATCAGAAATAAGTCCCATTTCATCGGGAGGGGCAAAGTTTGTATCGACTCACGTGGTTGACGTCTCAGATGGTTTAAAGTCAGGAGCTGAAGCATTCAGTGGTTTGGGAGTAGTTGACGGGGGCTGCGGTGTCCGTACTTTGGCCTTGTCACCCGGTAATGATTCATTCTTCGGCGAATTAGCTCCGCCCTCCATAATTTTCGCAGGTAGACTCACAATCATGAACGCTTGTGGAAGTAACCACTTCTTTTCCCTTCTATTCAAATCCCCAATCAATGAAGCAGCTGGAATTTTGACATCGTCACGTGGATCCATGGTTTTCAGGTTGTTAACACAAGTATGCATGTCTCGGCCAATCCAGTTAACTGCAGGGAAATGTTGGACCACGGCCTTCAATACGCTGATGGCGTTGCGGATATGCATATATTCGCCTCCTGAAAGACAGGTCTTTAAGCAAGCGCCAAAAATGCGGTGCCACTTGTACAAAATTCGACGGAAGTTCTCATAGTCCAAAAAAGACTTCGGCTTTCCCTCTTGGTCCACAGCCATAGCGAATCCTGGGAGGTCCCTTTTAGCCCCGTACGCTTCCTTCTCGTAGACAGCCTTGTCGGCATGCCATCGAGTTAAATCACGTAGTATCTCGTTGAGGAAACGACCAAAATTGTCAGCTTCCTTAGATGTACAATGGAAAATTATTGCAGTCAAACGCTGCTCGCGAAACAATTGGTCAAGGAATCCCACCGTTCGGAAATTGGGTGTTCCTGAGGAGTGTAGGTATTTTAGCATCTTGAAACTGTAGAAAGCGTCAATAGGGGAGAGAAGTAGTCGAGGTAATAGACACTGTTCCATGACCGCAATGTTGAGGGCCTCATGTTTCCCTCTCAATCCAATAAACCACCGGTCCTTTTCTTTCTGTAATCTTGCACGATTTAAACCGTAACATCTAAGATGGGTCTTGTTCTCCGCTAGAATTCGGTCGTGGAGGTCGTTAATTTGTTTTTTCTCTTTCTCCTTTTTCAAAGTACCAGCAACGCTAACATCGGACCTGTCTTGGGAGATAGCCTGGATCCTTTTTTTGAGACGTTCCAGTTCCTCTTCGTAAGCGCGTTGAGGAACATGAATGTCATACAGTGACAGTTGCCAAAACGTTACAAAGAATGGAAGACCAACAACCTCCCATGTGCTTCTTGGCATTGTGATTTTGATTTTTTCCATAACGCTTTCGAGAACTGGATGCCATGGTAGGTTTTCTGCGGTAGATTTAGCTGGAAGTGGAGTATACGGAAGGTTTGACGGCGTCTCGTTCTGGCTATCATTGGAAATAGGGACAGATTCTTCAGTAGCCATGATCACATCTTCAGATGGATATTCTTTTTCCACAGCTTCGCCATCATCGACCATTGCCATATCTCCACCGGGACTCTTCGATGATGCGACAACAGGAGTAGCAGGTTCACTTTCCGTTTTCTTCGCAGCCTCCTCCCGTTTCTTCGCGTCGACTTCCGCAATCTGATGTGCAACACTAGCCCGGGTAATCCAGAATGCCACTTCGGGCTGCAATCCAAAGTCACCAATGAGGCTTGCAACGTCAGGCACGAAAGCGTCAAATTCCTCAACTGTGAAATTGCTCCTAAGTAGATCGATGTATTGAGTTAATACTCGATGGATCTCGTCAAAGATATTACCAAGTAGCTTTAGTTCATCATCAGCCTCGGATTCCTTGAATATACAGGTGGCCCGTTCCTGTGCAACAGTTATGAGAAGCTGTCCCGCAAGCTTTGAATCTGCCAAAGATTTCATAAGTCGCCGGGAGGTCATCTTTGATTCGTGGCGCTTATCAAGAAGTTGTAACATGGTCTGAGACTGTAGTAGTTCGCCGCCGGCCATAGCTTGAATTTGGGAGTCGTTAAAATTTGTGTCAGTCACGATTCCTGCCATCGAACTTATAAGTTGTTCTAGAATAACTAGATCGGTGGAGTTATTTTTTAGAAGCTGTTCGCCAACGTATTGAAGGACAGGAACAGGGTCCATGATGGTAGAATATCGTTTGAATACCCTACCGACAAAGGATGCAAGGGCATTGAGCCATTTGCTAGTTAGAAGCCCTCCCTCTTGAACCCGACTCCTTCCCTTCTGCCCAAGAGAGTTGATTAGTGACCAGGTAAGGATGTCATATCCTAAGTAGGTGAAATATCTTGCGCATTCCACTACAACTTCAATCAAGTTCTCATATGCTTCGATCTGGTTTATCGCGACGCTGATAACGATTCCCGGATTAGCGTACGCGATTTTTGCCAAGGTTCTAGCCATCGGCTTGATGTTGGTTTTGCTTAATCTTTTAAGAGCGTCCTTCGTTTCCGCTCGCGCTTGATCGAAGGCGGATTTGATATCAGGAAGTCGGGAAGTTTGGCCAGAATACCATTCAGCATAAATGGAATACCTCACCTCTCGCGGGAAGTGACTCAACAGTGCAAAAACTTCGTTTACAACTCCCGGATTCGCTCTCGTCAAACTCAAAGCAGGGACCAGGAGACGTTTGCAAAGATCTCGCCATCGAGTCCGATTTGAGTCCGACGGATCGCTAAGTAAACTTTCATTCCCAAGCCTGGCTAATTTTGTCAACAGTCCTGGATCCTGTCCGATTTTAACACCAGAAAGATTCAAAAATGATTCACACAAGGCGAATACATCATCTACTGTCTGGCAAATGGGTATATTATCAGTCCAATCGTCCCAGTAAAATCGATAATCTGTTCCATCGTTGGTATCTTCTCTATCTAGCAACGCCCAACGAAGGACACGTCGAGGGGGGCCATCAGCCAAACGGATATGTCCCTTTGGAAGGCTTGCTTGATCTGAACTGGCGATCTTCTTTTGATCCTTAATGTCATTCCTTGACGACATTGGTCGCGACAAACCACTGAGTTTGCTCAGAGAATAGTGTATTATACGGTGGATGTATTCTGGGAGCTCCGGATACGCATCTAATAGCCAAGGAAATCGACCAAGGATGTAAAGGGATTCCGGCAAGGCACCAATAGCAAGCAGGCTTTTCAATAGAAGCACTTTCTGGTCAGCTGGTTCGGGTAATGTGTCTTTGGTCTCATCGACTTTCGATTGAGGCGTCTTATCCGGATCCTGATCCTTAGCAGGTGTTGCTGCGCGAGTATCGGCCTCTCGAGGTCTGGGAGCCGGTACCGGCATGGTGTCATCACTCAAAGCACCAGCCATCATCAAAGCATTCATTGTGCCAGCGCCAGGCCTAGAGGCCAGTTCTCTTTGCTCTTTTTCTTTCATTTTCTCTTCTTTCAGCGAATCCATAGACTCATCGGGACGCCAAAGGTGAGGGTACAGATCTCGTAAAGATATAAAACCAACTTTGATAAGCAAAGCAGCTAGATAGATGAGATTATCGGGTAAGATGTCAAAGGAATTTCGAGCATTGGACGAGTAAAACCGTAACTTGAATCCCAGAAGTTGCGCTGCAACTCTATTTCCTTTTGGTGGGAGCGTTCCCGTTTGCTCGATCCACTTCCGAGTCTCATTTTCATCATCTGGGGCGCCATTTCCGAGTTCGGATATGGACTTTAATTGGTCTTGGTCTAATAACTGGCTTCGGCCTATTTCGAAAAATGCACGGATGCCAACTTTGCGAGCTCTGTCCCAGAAAAGACGATCTCGCTTCTCATTCATACGAAGAGCCTCTTCCCGGTCTTCCTCTGTTGTAGACCATCCGGCAGATCCAGGTAGCGCCCATTTCGGTAAACCCGGCTCCGCGATTACGCTATATCGGCGAAGGATATTTTCGTCTTTCGGCCACCAAGAGCTGACTCGAAGGAACTTAACAAAGAATCGATACTGTTTCACGAGAACTGCAGCGAATACATCTAGCGTAACGTCAAGTACCCTTCCAACATCCATGTCAAATGCTCCAATCATAGCTTTGACTCTTTCAAAAGTATCCTCAACAACTTCGGCAGACGGGGGCTCATTGTTGCTAGTCGTAAACAGTTCCGTTAACAATTTAGAGTATCCTTCAGACTCTTCTCGTAGTAAGTTATAATTTGACTGTCGATAAAGTAGATTCGTCTGTTTACGAATACCCATACGAGCAAAGGTGTCGCGGATTAGGCCAAGGGACTGTAGCAAAGGGGTTTCGAGCTGTTGCCGCATCAACGAAGCCGAGATTCCTGTCGAAAATACAAAGGTACGAAGATTCGAATGTGATGCATCCGCATCTGTTAAAATAGAGAGGGTATCAAGGAAAAGAGAACGTGCATCGAAAATTGGAATAATTGGGCCGCTCAGTTCACCCATGTCGGTCGCCCCATCATCGCCTATAATCTCCTTCACACACGTCCCGCCATCGACTGCAGATATTCGGCCTTCAAAAACTGAATGGATAATTTCCTGGAAGACAGACGAAATAACTGCGGAATCTTTCATATTCCGAGCGCTGATCCCAGCTAAGACGATATTTTTCTTTCCCGTCGACATCCAGCTATCAATGCACTCCTGTGTCACGTAATCGTAAGCATAGTAGGTCGCTTGAGGTTTAGCTATGGCACTAGATATTGGTGTCGATGGCGTCCTACTCGGCTGAGATAGTTCCTGGTGTTCTCTAGGCGATTGCATGACAGATCTCGATGAGGGAGAGCTTTCTTTCTGATGAGAGTTGTGAGCGTCACTTCCTCTCGACACTGGTGTACCGTTCCGATTATTGCCTCTGCTTGTTCTTCTGGCCCCTCTGCCACGGTTATCCTGCGAATCCCGACCTTGGCCATGGAACTGGTATTGTTGTTGCTGCTGGGCCAGGTTGAGATTTCCAGGACGATGAGGAGACGGTCGCGGGCCATCGTTTCCCGCATCTCCGGACCATGACCTATCGCCGCGTTTACGCTTCCCGCCAGCCGGAGGAGCCATGGTGGATGATTTGGGACGCGTCGTCGCTCAGGCGAATAAAATATGTGGTGTCGAAAGAGCAATTCATGAGGCTTTTACCTGTAGTTGTACTGTTGCGAGGACAGAAATGATTCAGTGAGCGCCAGGTTAGGTAGCACGGGAAGATGAAAGGGGAGGATTACTTGTCACGAACTATCCACATGGAATAATGAAACAAGGAGGCCCACAGGCCTTTCACGGCTTCTTCAGCTTTGCGGTGAATCTTGTTTTGTCTCTGTGAATCGCCTTTTGTCAGTTGAATCCTTGCTACGGAGATTTCTCAATCTGGTTTAGCCACCTCGATGTGGAACAAGCCGCAAGCATCGCGCGCTAAGCGAAAATTGGCCTAAAGCGTCTAATTCACCAATCACAGAGAGCATCAACCAACTGCTTGTCAACGGCTGCCTCATCCTTAAACAGTCACAATCGAAAAGTACTCGCCTATACCCACTTTTCCTCCAATGTGGTGGAATTCATGTTAAAGCAACGACTACTTACTGTTTTTATGCTTCGACATACTTCTGTTAAATTGGGGTGCAATAGGCATAAAAAGAAAAGCTGCGGATGAAATTGTGCACACTGCGGTATGGAAACCCCCCTCCCTCAAAAAAAAAAAAATTGTCTATACATGAGCGACCTCGCGATAATAAATTAATTGCAGAATCATTCTACTTTGTGTTGACTACGCCAAAGCGGTAATGTCAAATATTGATACTCCCTAGGGCGATATCGTCAACCACAATCCGTATCACCATTTTAGAGAGTGAAAGCTGGGATAATTAGCTTCTCACTATACTCTATCTGAGAGCCCCTCCCGCAAGGCTAGCATGTAGGTTTTGTCAGTGGCACCAACAATGGCTTCAATCGCGCACATCTTGAGGTGCGTGGGGAGGTTCTATACTGGATAAGAACGAGTTCACAGGATGGCAGCTTGAATATCGCGGCACAACTGGCTCCTACATCACCAGTCTGTCACGATCGCAATTTGCAAAAGTATTTGATTTCACGGTCAACTGTCTTCTCTATTGCTTATCGTTTCATCAGCGAGAAAGCTCACATCCATCTCCCTCTTTGTCGTTACTGGTATATACCTAGGTACTCTTGCTCCTGATGGCCATCTAGCGGGTCTGAACCATCGGCACACCCATGTCGCGTCTTGTTACCCTCGTATAGTTCTTTTGCTCGCGGTTGGTTTTCCTCTGGTTCAGCGCCACAGCAGGCTCTGGCGCAAGTACTTTCACGCCCATCTCTAAGGTTCCTCTGCTAACCGTTCAGCCGTAGTGATGGGCCGCTGGACGCAAGTTTGCGATGGTTGTCCTTGGTGATAATTATGCCTGTGTTCGGCTTCATTAACGGCGCCTTGATTGCCAAATTTTGGTACTACATGCCGTAGTATTTGGTGGGCGACCTGTTGACAGTAGCAGAATCCGTCCTCATGCCGTTATGTATGTCGCTGAGAAAGGCAGAATGAGAGCCGAGTTTACGGATACAATGCACAGAGAGCAGTTTGCGTAAGGATGATCTGCCAGGCCTCTTTCCAATTACACAAATCGTGGTGGACCTAGGAAAGGTCGTGCCGGCCATTGGATTCATAACATTAGTCTGGGGAATACGGAACTACTGTTGCTATTGTTGCAACTCCATCCTGCTCAACGGCTGCAAGGACCAGATTGTGCAGGCTGCGTGACCTGTGGTCTGTTTATTAGTCACATACCTCAGGCCATCACAAGCTTCTTCCTGCATTGGTGTTGGTGATGCTATCTAACATGTCTTCTGAAATTATGGACTTAAGTCCTGTCAGATTGCGTTATTCCGTTGCCAAAATCTACAGCAAGGGGCGTCAATCAATATTCATCCGCCAAAAATTTGCCGGCCGCCGACACAGGCAGCATTCCAATTGACCCTGAATTCGGCAGCTAAGGGGGGATCAGCCGGACGTCACACTTAAAATTAACCACAGCTTGAGCTCAATGGACGGATCGCTTCAAACCTACACACCAATGCACTTCTACATAATTACAACACAGAACGGGAGGCTGGGCATGGCTTGGCTTGGCACAAAACCTAGCTGTCAATGAGATGAAACAGACACGTGAGAAACCAACTTGGAAATGTAGATTGTCTTGATAAATTCTCAAATACACATGGCTATACTAGACAAACACTTGAGATTTTATATACAATAACAAGATTGGTATTAGCAACTTAAACTAGATTGAGTCTCTTGGCCCAACTTCCTAATTGATGAAGGGCATATGCGGTTAGATATAGGAATCAACATCACCCATAAATAAGGAGACGACGATTTCAAGCAAGACCTAGAGCTTTCGCTTCAAGAGTGACAATATCGGGTAGAAGTTCACGGGCATTTGGTCGATGCGGATTCCAACCAAGAAGTTTCCTCGCACGAATCGCATGTGCTCTCGAATTAGTTCCCCATGAGAAAGGCCCGAATGCAAATAAATCTGCTGTTTGCTTGCCATCCAGAATTTCCACCTCTGGGGAGGCGATGAATCCTTTCTCAAAAGCAATCTTCGCTACTGCCTTCTCCACATCGCCCCAAACGAACGACCCATTTTCTACAAAATAATACCCTTCCTTTCCCCAAGTCGCTTTCCCGCCGCCAGCAGCCGCAGCCTCGCCAAGGAGGAGGAATAGATCACTCAAATCATGAACATGGATCTGGTGCCAGACATTCTCGCCTTTGCCTACTTGAAGCCCCTTCTTTCTCTTAAGAACATATTTTGCCAGATTATATATTTGAGCACTTCGAGTATTTCCCGGCCCTCGCCCGGGGCCATATATAGTGGGTGGGCAAACAATGGCTGTCTTCACCCTATCGGCAGCAGCCTCGCCGACTCCCAAGACGATCTTGTCGACGTCTCGATGAAAAGCTTCGTCGGGAAGAGACGTCACATCACCAATACCGTCCCAGTCATCGTATTCTTTCGGACGAAGATCTCCGTAGGTCGAATTGCCTAAATCCTCGAATGTGAGAATACCCGTTCCCGAAGTGTGGATCCAGTAGCCTGGGCGATCGGATGTATGGGCAGCTATGCCCTTTGCAATGGCTTGTGACGAAGCAACATGATCACAGTCTGCAAAGTCTGTTCAAATAAAACAAATTGAAAAATTGAAAAAAAAAAAATTAGCAAGCATTTCCTAAGATATTAGAAGCATGTCATGCAGGGAGGCCGTACGGTAGATGATATCTGCCTTTCGTGCCTCTTCTTCAAGAATCGTAGCGGAATCAAGATCCCCGTACACAAGTTTGGTCTTCGGATATTTGCTAGTAACCAACGCGCCTTTCTCCTGATTGCGGACGAGGGCAGTGAACTCCCAATCCGGATGGGCTTCATTGAGACGGAAGAAGGCATCTCCCCCGATGTATCCAGTAGCCCCGGTCCTTCTCTCGTCAGAATGTCTCTCCGGAATGCTCAGTTAAGGTAGTTGGATAGGCTCATTACTCACACAAAGACCTTAGGAGGTGCCATTTTGACACCGTGGGTTGAGGCTCAGGTATAATTTAGTCTGAGGGTACAGAGTATGTTGAATATCAACCGAATCGCAGTAATTTACGGTTATGGCGATTGGATAGTTTGAGAATAATTGCAAAGTTGTGGTCGCTTTTATACCTGCTGCCCTTGATTTCGATGTTGGGATGGACAGTAGTGGGGTGTGTCTCCCCCATTCTTGGATTCTGGCGTTCTGCCGCGATGATGTCATTGGTGACTTTTAACAGCCATCGAGTACTGAGTCGAACACGTCTGTGTACGTTTTACCAAACACAATGGCTCCATGGACGAATTCTCGACAATGATTAGTTTACGCAGTCGCCATCTAGCTATTTATTTCAATATCAGCCAAACCAACAGAGCACCTTCCGCCGCCCGCCACAAATAGCTGCCGACGCCCAATCTAGCAGACATGCAAATCCTAGCCGCTACTAAACTGTTCTCGCGCCCAGTATTTGAAGTTCACCTGCCTGTGGCACCTTGCGGTCTGATACGGCAATGTGTATGGCCTAGCTTCATCGGAACTAGCCCGTGCTACCTACTACCCCTACAAAGAGCCGCGGAAGCAGCAAATATGCCGCAGATAGAGCCTAGGTTATTTTGAGGACCCCTATCGCAAAATCCCTCAAGAGTAACACTCCTAACAGACCTTTGACACCGGACGACATGGAAAACCCTGAGAGTTACAGTATACGCAGCCACTCTATTTATACTACGAGGTGTCATAATGTTTCCCAAGCCGTACTGTACATCGCACACAGGCATCTCGAAACCCAGTTCACGGGCATGGTACGGCCATTACGAGTATGTAGCGATGGCGAGCTGTACATTCAATGCCTGCTTAAGACCATCGAAGATAACTGAGAATGATTCGTCCAAGAGAGGAGTCGCAATAACTTTACTGGTCTCCTGAGCCTTTTTGTGAAAATCGCTACAGACTCAGAAGGTCAAAGAGGGACAACAGGCACGTAGTGTTGAGTTTCGGGGGGGAATTCTTGCAAAGATCTAGGGATTTTCGAATAGAATACCATATTGATGAATTACACGGCGCGGGATTGAAAGCGCATAGTGTGAGGGACGGCTCTTGAACCAGAGTCTCAATGAGCTCAAGGTTGGAATACGTAGTAGTTTTATGAGAAGCTAGAAGGATCCGCTTTTATCACTGTCGTTAAACTTCTCTCGATTCGCCGACAGGATTGCATATGTGTTGCAATTGGGCATATTTCTCTCATGTCATAAGACCTCTCCGAAGCACTCACTCTGTAAACTCGCCAAGGCGATATATGCCTGCACTGGGCCTTCTTTAAAATTGTGTCAACCGTCACTATCAGCCCATCCAAAGAGAATGTGGGTTTGAGACGGTGATGTGACTTTTAAGGGGAAAATTGCCATTGTGGGTCCGATCCACAGACACACTTCGCAAGGTGGGGTTTTGGCGTCGTATGGCTAAGCGACCATGAATGCTCTGATCCCACCTCGATCCTTTTGATGTAGCTAACTAACTTTGTGGTTAAACCTTTGCCCAAAGCTCAACAGCTACTATATATTCCTGGTATCCCGCAGAATGAGAGAAACATTTATTCAAACTCCATCGGGAATCGCGCCAGCTATTTATTTCACTCTCAGAGGAGAGCGAGCTCAAATTCAGAAACGATTTCTCGAAAATAAGATTTCTAAGCAACTTGATAATATCCAAGATTAGCTAACTACTGGTACATTACCTAGTTACGGATCCAAGATGTTGTTCCCACGTAATACATCTTGTATGCTTCCCGCAACCTCGTATTCTTGACATCTGGTTTCACGCCCTATTGAAAATACCCCGCGTTGAGCAAACTTGAAGCTAAGATGTGAAATTTTGCCACAGTATATTATCCGCTCGGGTTCGCCTCCATAATTCCATTTCCAAGTTAATTTCATTTCCATCATGGCTGCTTGACGGGTTCCAAGAAATCAACACCATTCTAACACATATATACAATATATTCCCTTCGTTATTAAAAAAAGAAGAGAAGAGGAAAGATATATACCCCCCGAAGTAATATTTCTTCAAAAGTTGAAAAATAAAAACAACAAAATAAAATAATAATGTCCACAACCACATCAACAGCCACAAACTCCCCTCCAGTCCTCGTGGGCGGCTGTGCATGTTCCTACATCCGCTATGCGTCAACCTCCCTCCCCATCTCTTTGTCACACTGCTTTTGCGTTGAATGTCGCAAGACCGCGGGCGGACCTTTCCAAACATACGTCCGCTTCCCCACAGCAGCCATCACATGGCTGAACGACCGCCAGCCCAAATATTTCTCGGCTAGCACTTTCGCCCGTCGTGGATTCTGCGACAAGTGTGGCTCCAGTTTGGTGTTCCAGATGAATGAGCACCCTGAGAGGATTTCGTTGGCCGGGGGCTCCATTGATGATTGGGACGTTAAGTGGGGACAGAGCGGGAAAGGGGAAGGGGAAGGAGAAGCGGAAGCGGGATCTAAGGAAGATGGATGGGATACGTTGAATAAATCAACAGTGTATTATTGGGTGAGAGAGAAACCGTCTTGGTATAAGGTACCGAATGATGGCTTGGTGAAGTATTTCACGGATCCGGATATTGAGGAGCAGCCACCAGGATTCAGGGGGGAGGAGGGCGGCCCTTTTGGAATGGCTGCACGTAAATAATACCAAGTGTTTGCATTCGGTGTATCTGAGCAATATTTCGCTGTGAGGGAGAAAGGGTCATAGTCTATATTCTTCTATATCCTTTGCTCCAGAAGTTCGATGTGAGGGCTCGTTGGCTATATATAATGCCAGGGAATTCCATCGAAATGCAAGGAGCAGGTTGTCGTAGTCGTTTGCTTCCCCAGACATTTGTTGTCCATACAAACAAGTAAGCTGCAATGCAAGATATCTCAAATTCATCTTCCCTATCCCAAGCAGTTCAGCATAAGTTTCTCCACGTGATCTTTTGAGGGCCTTCAACACACCATGGAACCACATAACACTGAATATAAAAGAAATATCAAAATAAAAACAAATCCTTCTTTCCTTCACCATGAGTCTCCATCAGTGATCACGCCTTTATCTGTTTTTGGCATTCTTTCCCTTGGGCTCAGTTCTTTCATTGGTTTTTCATCATCACATCCATTTCAACTGCTCACCCCTTTTCTCCCTGGTTCTGCCAGCTTGGACTTTGCAAAAACTTCTGCCTCAAGTTTCATCCTTTGCTTCAGAAAAAAAGGCATCCAAATTCAGGTTCAGTATCTTGAAAGCTTTCTTGGTGTCGCAGTTATAATATAGTGCCATCAACAGCGGCCAACAGACATAACCTCTTGGGCCGTTGGGAACACAAAGCAAAGAGCCACTTCTCTTTGTCAACAACTCTTAAACCGTTCAGTATTTCTGTCATCTTGACTTTTGCTTATTGCGAGGCTCCTTTGTCATTCTCCGATCGCTTATATCCCATCTGGACCACGAAAAAAGAATCATTCTTTGACTTCTTGGAGAATCGGTTCATTTAGATCCTCTTTTCGAAAACATCCTTGGAGCGTTTCCTTTCGGGGTCAATTTGCTTTTGCTGTTGGTTCAACCCTGGAGCAACCCACATTCTCGTAACAACGCCCGGGACGCAATCAACTTGTACAGATTTCCAAATTTCAACAGAGAATACCCAACACCAAGGACATTTCATCAAGTGACAACAGAAGTATCCAAGATTTCTGTAAAAATATTTCATTTCTCGAGTGAATAAATTTTCCGTTTTGAGAGACTTCGTTTCAAGAACCGGCCTTTTGCGCTTATTTTCTTCGATTTCGGACACAAGTAAACATCATTTTCAACGTTCATTGCGGTTTGAAAAACCCAAGGACAATTTCTCCCGCTACCTCGTGGTGAAGAAGGAAATGGCTGAACAGGATCCCTCCTTTCTCCATTCTAGAATGCTTGATCCGCTGGATAGTCCTGGACCAATTCCCGTGGAGTATTCTCGACAGAGCCAGTCTCTGGCTGCTGACATACTAGAAACGAATAGGCTAGCAGGCCTCCATCCCACAACAGCATGGCATCCTGAAATCCAAACAAGCCAGGCAAGAGCAGCACTTTTCACCAGTGAAGAGTTCCATCTAATGTCAAGATTTTCATTTCAACCCAACTCGATGCCAAACACTGCACAACAATCTTTTTTCACAGGTTTGCAGGGAAGTGTATCAGATAGACACATTCTTGAAATGGAAAATGGAATGAGACAGGCTCAGCAAGAAGAAAATAGATCTTTGCAGGCACCGCAGCTAAGAGTAGACACCCCGCATGTGCAGAACAATGGGAACCAATTTCCTCTTCAAGGCAGACATTCTCTACCATTCACAATGGGGCAGCAAGCTGAAGCACAGCAAATATATCAGACCTCTCAGCCCCAATCTCACCCTCAAATTCAATCAATGGGTCAAGATATGCAGAGAAACATCTCACAGCAGGGTTTGCAGCAATCTGAGTCAAGACCCAGCACTTCTGAATCAAGAAAGGAAAGGCCTTCAGTCAAGCACCTCACTTGCTGGTGGTGGAATGAGAAGGGCAAGTGCAAATACACTGTGGATGAATGTCTCTATGCACATCATAAGACAGGAAGGGTCGCTGATGCGCCAAGACAAGTGAAAGCAGGTGGTAAGTCACTTCCAAGGCTGTTTAAACTCATTGCAACAGTGAAGAGGGCAGACTCACTTCACTCTTTGTCTGCCACTTGTCTTACTTCCAGGAAGTTCTGGTATTCACTTTCATCTTCACCTCTCTTTCATTTTTCACCCACCCCCACATATCTCTGCTGTGTTGATACACAATACCACCCCCCGCTCTGCTTCTCTTACTATCTATCCAAGTGGCATATTGACCCAACCCTTAATGTATAAGCCCGTGGGCTTTCAACTCCTCTGGAGATAGCAGGAGGTTGAGACCCCTTGCCCCTTGTGTTTCCTCATCTGTGATATGTCCACTCAAAATGCCATTAACTCGACGCTCCCCGTTCGCAATGCTGACAATGAACTTTACAGAGCCCCCGGTTGCGGGAAGGAAGCTGATGAGGGCCCTGAGGGAGGAGGCAGAAGAGAGGGCAAAGAGAGCGCCAGAGCGAGAGATGAGCAGTGAGTTATTCTCATTCCCATCATAGATCCAGTTTTCGAACGCGCCTCAACTGTTGCAGCATTGGTTTCCCTGACAGCTCCTCACTTCCACCTCACCATTCCCCTGACAACATCAGAAAGCAACTAATAACCATAATGCCTTCGTAGTCCTCCAAGCCCAGAACAAAGCCCTTCGCGAGGCCTACACCGCTCTGAGCTCGACAACCTCGCAATCCCTCTCAGCGATCTCCACCCTACGTCAATCTCTCACAAGACTGACCGTAGAAGTAGGTAATGTTGAGAGGGGCCATGCGGGTCTTCTCCCGCACTCCACCACACCAGAATATGGCAAATATCAAGTAGACTCGCATTTGGCGCGCGTCCTGAGAGTCGTTGAAGACGAGGGTCTGCTTGCAGGCGTGGGGGAGCGGCAAACACGGGCACAGGTGGTGCGAGTGGAGGCGTCTTTGGTGGCTGTGGGGTTGGGGGAACTTGTCGAGGACGGGAAGCGAAGAGCAGTGACGTCAAGAGGGTGGTGAGTGGGAAGTGGGGGAATTGTGGGAGTTGTGGGAGCGGGCTGTAGGAGTCAAATTTTCTCGTTTGTATTATTATTTCTTTTGTTTGGTTATTGTGGCGCAATGGGTATGTAAGTGTGACTATAAATCATGAATTCATATTATGAAACAAGGTGAATTTCGTCAAGAAAACAAGTACGGAGCCAGTAGAATATGAATAAAGAGAAAGGTGACGCAGAACGGCAAGTTTTCAGTGGCGGCTGCCAGACGCAAAGGAAAGGAGCAGAGGAAGAGAAGATGATAATATCTCGTCATAATCTACATATCATGCCGGCTCTTAGAATGTACTTGTGGCCAAGCGGCTTGCTGCATTTTTAGCGTCCACTCGATCGTCATCCTCTTCCTCAGGCAGACCAATCATTCCCGACCCGCTGAGTGAGCGGCTATGTGATCTCCCTCCATTAGACTGAACCTCATGCTCAAGAATAGGTGAGACAAAACTTCCACTTATGCTTCGATTTAAGCTGTCACCGCGGCGCGGTACGCCACTCCATGCATCGCCTTTGGGACCCTGACTTGCTGCCAGGCTGGCCCGACGAGCCGCAGGATGAGATTCGCGACCCAGCCGGCTCAGGCCGCCAGAGGCATCGATTGAACGGATGTCTGCCCGGACGCTTTCAAGTGTGCTAAGAGTGCGACGCTCAGCCTCTATTTCCCGGAGGGTATATTCGCGGATGCTGAGTAGCATGTCAGACGTCGTACGCTTGAACCATCGACGCTTTTCTTGCAGGAGGTTAACTGTTACGCGTTGGGTTTTCTTGGTTAAGTATTCTTCATGCGCTTGCGCGTCCTCAAGAGAGCTGATGGCTTCGTCAACCTTTTCAGGGCGAACGGAGGTGCTCCCCTTCAATCTATCAGCGGCGGCACGCTTGCTTCGCGCGGTCTGTTGGGCTTGTATCAACTCCCGGAGCAGGATGTGTCGGTTCGTCAGGGTCTCTTTGACGATAAAGGCATCAGATGAGTGGTAATTTAGAGGGTCACCAAAGGTAGTGGCCTCTGCAGTCCCCTGTGCAGCGTGGTAGTCACCAACTGCTTGAATTACTTTCCCGAGTTTACGGTACGCATTAGCGAGGCCCGGGTGGGTTTCTTGGACGTGCATCTGGCCAACTTTTACACCGAGATCGGATTCTGCGAGAGCAAGACCTTTAAAAAGAGTTAAACGCTGTCGCTACCATATGGGACTTTGTATGCTTACTTTTTCTGGCTTTCACAACACGGTCTATCTTTTGGCCTGTATCCATCGTCCCCAAATAGAACAATTTAACAACAGGGCGTGCATCTTGTAGTTCTGGCGTATCATCTGGAGGAGGTGCAAATTGTTTCAGCACCTTCCGCCGGACTCCAGTCGCTGGCTGTTTCATTCTAACGACGGGGCTATAACCGAAATCACTCTCGACGAAAAGAATCATCTCATCATCCTGCATAAGAGCGTCATTGGCACAAACGTAATTGAACCATCTCTGCATTGACGCTTTCACCCGAATCTCATCCTCATCAGTTCCTGCGCCGGCTGGTGTCAATGGAGGAGGTACGGCTGGCACAATTGCCTCAGGATTGGAGGATATTAAATGATCAGCAAGCTTGATAAACTCAGAATGTGTTCGACGAACGTCGCGGAATTGTGTCGTTCGGAACTTGGGTATGTTTGTCTGTTACAGTAGTAAAATTTAGCAAACCGCAGAGTCTGCAATTGGGAACGGTTGGGACGTACGTGCACGTCAAACCGCAAGATAGGATCCTTTTTTCCAGTCCTCTCCAATCCCGTAATTTTAGCCTGTAATTTGTACTGGGGAGCACTTGGGCGCACTTTATTTCTTGCTCCAGTTTGATATCTAGCCGAAACTTGTGCTCGTGGCGTAGGTTGTTGCTGAGAATTGGAGCGGGGTTGGATGGTGGGTTCTCCATGGATTTGGTCTTCGATCTGGGAACCTTGGAGTCGCTCAGATATATCCCGCGTTGCAGACTCTTCACCTTGATGGGGTTCATTGTCTGAGCCGCCATATGGTGACTGGGGAGATAACGGAGATGGAGGAACGTCAGATGCGGGGAACGTACGATCGGCTCGAGGTGAAGTCGAACCCCACGGGGATGAGTCGACAGGGTGTTCTGGATCGTGTGGAAGTGACGAATAGTCCATGATGGTAGCACTTTGTTCAATGATATTTTGAGGGAAAGTATGATTACCAGACAGGAGGTCGTGGGCACATTAGTGAGAAATCAGGACACGCACGAGGCACCGGCAAGCCACGAGTGATTGTACCAGGTCTCCGGGTCGGAGCTGCGAGAAACAAGAAAAAAATTGCCGTAATTCTGTTATGGAATTCGGTGATTGCTAAGATATAACAGTCGAAGAGATGCTTCACAAGCGCGAGAATGGTGTCTCTCAGCAGAAGGCATCAATAGAAGGTTGAAGGTTGGTGCATGCGGATGGCGCTAATGTCGCTTGAATGTCTTAGCGCCGACTTTTAGACTTCGCGGGTAAATTTTGGTTCATTGTAATTGCAGGAAAACAATTCGTTTGACCAACTCTGCAAGTCGCAGCCAACAAGGATACTAGGATTTATATGTGTCAATTGGTTGTTTGTCATTGCCTTGCTGGTTTTAAATGTCAACGTAGGAACCATTGCGGACTGCATTCCGCTCCCATTCACTCTCCTTTTTGCCAAATATGATCCCAATTGGGTTACCCTCAAGGTGGATCTGTTCAAGGTGTATCCGGAAGAATACTAGGATATTACCAGCAATCTCAACTCCATATTTTCACTCAGTTCTGCGCCGATATTCAACTAATGGAGCTCAGTCGTCAGAGTCCGCAGTGGACCTGGACAGAGTTCGGAATATTGGGATCATTGCTCACATTGATGCTGGTAAAACAACAACAACAGAGCGCATGCTTTATTACAGCGGTGTTACCAGAAGAATCGGAGAAGTTGATGACGGATCCACTGTGACCGATTTTCTTCCGGCTGAAAGAGCTCGAGGCATTACAATCCAATCGGCTGCAATCACATTTGATTGGCCTCCACGACCACCAGAAGAACATACAACACCAACACCTGAAGAGCTAAAGGCTAGAGGACTTCCCAGATCAGCAGTGTCACATACCATCAATCTTATCGACACCCCCGGTCATGCAGACTTTACGTTTGAAGTTTTGCGTTCTCTCCGGATCCTCGATGGTGCGGTCTGCATTCTAGATGGAGTAGCAGGAGTTGAGGCGCAGACAGAGAAGGTCTGGAATCAGGCCTCAACATATCATATCCCTTGTATTGTGTATATTAATAAACTTGATCGCGATGGAGCTGCTTTTGGGAAAACTGTGCTGGAAGTAGGTTCGAAACTAGGATGCTGGCCTGCCGTCTGTCAAATCCCGTGGTTCGAATCTGCTTATGGCCGGTTCCAGGGTGTTGGTGACGCGATTTCTCTCCAAGGTCTCTTTTGGGAGGAAGGTGGCGATGGCAAGAAAATTGCAGTGTCCAACTTGGCCACGCTAGAGGAAACGGATGAGATATTTGCAAGCGAATTGAAGAAAGCGCGGGTCGCACTTGTCGAGCTTCTAAGCGAGCACGACGAAACGATGGTTGAAAATTTCTTGGAACGTAATGAGGACCATCTAGCTGTCAAACCAATTGAGATTTTGGAGAGTCTTCGAAGAACCCTTCTCGGTTCAAAGAAGACAAGAGTCATGCCTATCTTTGCTGGCGCAAGCTTCCGAAATATCGGCGTTCAACCTCTGCTTGATCAAGTGCTGAATCTCCTTCCAAGTCCCAACGAACGGCCGGACCCAGAAATTAGCATCAGCTCCGGTAAAGGAGGCCTGAAAAGCCTATTGAATGGGAACCTCATTTTGCAAGAAAACAAGAAGCTTGCAACGAAAAAGAAGAAAGAAAAAAATGTTTCCGGCTACTCGACGGCCCAAACAGCCCTTGAAAAGCTTGAAGGATGTGCTCTTGCTTTTAAGGTAGTGAGCGATGCTAAAAGGGGTGTTTTGGTTTATGTTCGGGTGTATTCTGGTTCCATCAGCCGAAACGCATCTCTATTTAACACACACCTTAACCTATCAGAACGGGCTCCTCGGCTTCTAAAAATGTATGCTTCGGAAGCAGTTGAAGTGCAATCAATCCCAGCGGGGCATATCGGCGTTATAGTTGGACTGAAATATGCTCGAACCGGCGATACACTACTTTCATATGCAGGAAACAAGACGGCTCCCCCAGAGCCGCTCAATAAACTACAACTACGCCCGATACCTATTCCACCACCGGTATTCTTTTCGAGCCTTGAACCTCACAGTCTAAGCGAGGAAAAGCACCTTCATGAAATGCTAGCATTGGTTTTACGAGAAGATCCTAGCCTCCATGTTACAATTGATGAGAACTCTGGTCAAACTCTGTTGAGCGGGATGGGCGAATTACATCTTGAAATCGCCAGGGACAGGCTAATTAATGACTTCAAGGTCAAAGCTTCTATGGGCCAAATTGAAATTGGTTATCGCGAATGCATATCAGGGACCTCGGCCTCAATAACCAAAATCTTCGACAAAGAAATTGCGGGCCGGAAGGGAAAGGCGGGTTGCATGGTGCTTGCTGAACCCTTCAATCCCGACGAATTCGACGAGGAACATCTCGAAGCACATGAAAACGTTCTTCTTGACGAAAAACAAGATGGAAATCGCATCACAATACTCGCCCCGGGCCTTATCTCCAACAGCAGTAATTCCAAAAACACCAAAATCTCCGAAGACCTCCTTCCCAGCCACCTTAATCTTGCCGTGATAAAAACATCCCTATACAACGGCTGCATTGCTGCGTTATCCCGCGGCCCCAAAAACTCCTTCCCTTTACACAACACACACGTAACGGTCACATTCGATATAAACACTCATTTTTTTGGAAATGAAACTACCCCGTCAGCTCTATCCGCTGCTGCACGCCTTGCCACTCAAACTGCCCTTAAGGAGGTAGCATCAACAGTCGTGCTTATGGAGCCAGTCATGCACGTAACCATCAGTGTCCCAGACGCTAATATGGGCGTAGTTGTGCATGATATATCATCAGCTCGAGGTGGACACATTCTGTCCCTCGATGAAGACATCGAGACCTCTTCCTCATCATCACCCATGTCAAATGATGATGACCTACCCCCTATTGATGTATCCAAGATCTACGTACCTCCCGACCAATTTAGATCCTCATCGATGGCTGCTACTAGCAATAGCTTGAATAAAATGCGGACTATAACTGCTAAGGTGCCACTGAAGGAAATGGTAGGCTATCTGAAGCATTTACGGAGCTTAACTGGAGGGAGGGGAACGTTCGTTATGAGTGTTGATACGTTTGAAAAAATGGAAAGCCAAAGGGAGAGAGCTGTTTTGGCAGCTCTGGGGGGACTTTAACATTTGTAGAAGCGGTTTTCTCTTCGTATCCTTTCCTTTTTTCTTCCCCCAGCTGACAACGGAGCGAAAGTGGGAAGATAGCTCCTACCGCAGTCTGCAGAAGCTGCTTAACACGGGAACTGGAAAAAATGATAATTTTCATTTTGTAACATAGTAAGCCAAAGGAGAAGTTTTTTTTCTCATGTCCTTCAGATTTGGCTTTTCAAAAGCGGTCTAATAAGACCAAGTGCTGTAATTTACATACTATCGATAGCTACGCAGCAGTTTTTGGTTATTGAAATGAATATTTAATTTCCAATACCCCTCCTTGGTACGGAGCTTCTAAGCCAGACCATCAGCCAAATAGTAAATACCAATATCACCTCCGCCGTTTGAACAAGTGTCCGCTTGCTTGATCTTGCATTGCACAGCCGTGGAACCTCCGTAAAGTCACGGAGGCTTGGGTAATGAATGGCATCAGCATATTCGCGAGACACGAAGCTTTTAAACCGAGACCACCCTCCCAATCTATGTCCCAAAAGCCATCACACATTCCGAAGGAGAGGGATTCAGGCGCAATATGCCAATGCAATGGTGCTCTCCACTCGACTCATGGGCCGCGCTCCATGCGTGCAAATTAACAGCCGGGCGTGTTGCAAGGATGAGCATGGTGCTGCGGCTGTCCCTGGTCATGATTGAACGTTTTAACAAAAAGTAGACGTCTGTGTCGACGGTATCGGGAATCTCCTAAAACAGCCATAGAGCTAGTAGCCCTAAGAAATATTTCGGTTGTATGTATCTATTATAACCGCTCATACCAAAAACTGTAGGAATGACACATGGCTTAAGTTAAAATATATTAAAAATTCTTAGGAACCAGAGCAAATGGCGAGGTAAAAGAAGAAGGGGAGGAGAGGAAAACGAAGCACTGGAGAGGTAGGTTGACAACAGAGACATCAATCCACAGAAGAAAAAAGAAAAAAAGTCTGGAAAAAGCAAAGATCCCATTCAATTCACCAATTCTAACCTCGAACAAGGGAAATAAAGAAAAAGGAAAGGAAAAGAATGGGACGGAAGGTAACCGACGAAATCTACCAATTATCATCCCAGCCGCCACCACCGCCCCCATCATCTTTCACCTTTGTACCCACCCCACCACTGCCAGCATCACCAGAGGGAGGTCCCCCCCTTCGCATCGCCGTCGTTCCAATAGCCCCAGGTCTCCTTTTGTTCTCTCCCAAGGCAGCAAAATCATCCCAGAAATCCTTTCTCTCGGGTTCAACCTTTTGTCTTTGGGATCCAAAATCGGAACCAGGCCTACGCGGTGTCGGCTGTTCTGAAGAAGGTCCCTCCACGAAGCGGGTGAAGGCATCCGCGGCCCCGCGTGTACCGGTTGTTACATTTCGTGTTACTTCTGAGGCGGCGATGCGGGCTTGCGCGGCTAGGTCGGTTTCGGCGAGCTGTTTAGTCTTATTTGTTAGTTTTGGTGTTTTTATGGTTTACGTTTCATTATGGGAAAGTAAGGGGAAGGAAGCTAAATAATGCAGATAGAGGGACGGAAGGGTATATTCAAGAGATAAAAAAAAAGAATATGGAAAAAGGAAATACACACCGTCTTCACAGCAGGTTGCAAGTACGAGTCATTAACCGTCTTCGCCCCCTTTCCAACCGTAGTCGCAAACCAACCGAAGCTCTTCGTCAACGCCGCAACGGGATCATTCTGAAAATCATTCAAGCCAGGGATCACGGCACCAGGACTATTGCCATCCTTTTCGTCCGAGGGAAGCGGCATCCCACCCCCAAACCCTGTAAACTTCCCACCCTGCGAGGGCGCTACATTTTCCGGCCTATTCGCATTCTCTGCCCCCAATGATGCAAAATAGGACTCATTTCGCTCTTTCCTCCCTGTACCCGGAACCTCCTGCTGTGTCACAGGCGACATCGACCTGGTGGGTGTTTTACTCTTATCACCACTGGTGCCGCGGGCCCCGCCAATAGCAGAAATAGACGGCGTACTTGCCCTCGACGCTGGCACATTCTTCTCCTCGCCAGGCACATACTCCCTCCCTTCAACCTTCGCTGCCAACCTTGCCTTCCATTCCTCCCCGACTTCCCCCTCATAACGCTCTTTGATAGTCGAGTCCTCAAAGGTCCGACCCTCCGCGACATTCGAGGAATGATGGTCGAAGAAGAACTTCCAGGCATCATTGCCGCCGAGTTCCATGCGCTGGGTCTCGCCGAGCTTGAAAGCATCCATTGTTATGCTGCGGACGAAGGAGATGTGTACGCCCAGGCCTCGGTGGGTGCCAGCGCAATTTAGACAGATGAAAGTGCCGAATTTGGGTGAGGCCTGATTGGCAGAGCAAGTTGCGGTTAGTGTCGATGTTGTGTCAGAATGTGCATCGCATAGTAAAATATGCTGGGATCCATTTGTGTACTTATGTATACATGAGTGGTTGGGGAAGAAACATGGAAGGAAGGGAAAAACGAACCCATTGAGGCGACGGGGCGCCGCAATCACAACATCGATCGTTGCCCTTGGTCTTCTGGATTAGGAGGAGCTATATTTTGCACGGGTCGTGCGGTGGATTCACCGTTCCTGCAATATCAGCCTTGAGTGCTTTAACTGACACTTTATACCACATAGCGCCCGCTCGGCCCCCAGGCCCCAGGGCCCATTCACAAATACTTTTTCTCCCCACCAACAAGCAAGAAATAAAAGAATAAGGCATAACAATCAAAACACATTCAGAACAAATGAAAGCAGCATACCTTACTCCTGGTCTCCGGATCAACCTCCCAAATCTTCGACATCTTCTCCACGCCTTCGTTCCCTTCCTCACGGAGCTCTCACTCCCTCTTTCACACGCGCGCGCTCTCTCCCGCTCTGTGCGTGTATATGTCCTTGACCAACTCCTAGATAATGCCTCCCCAACCCAATGGTCAATGGCTAGATCTTCCTAGTGCCTTCCAAGAGCAGATATATAAATACCCCCCTGGACAACCCCTACGTGGATTTTTTGGTCTTTCTTTCTCAACACGGCGCTATTAGATTAAGATAAAATACCACTTTTCTCCAATCCGCCCTAGGCGCACTTCCGGCGGTCCTCAGGCGCAGAACACGACGGGTCGTAATATACGTAAATGGGGTCCTGCAGCACGTCGAGGTGCAGGAAAGGGGAAAAGATGGAAGCGAGCAGCGGAGAGCGGGAAACGGCGGCGGAATTGGAAGCAGTAAGTTGGCGGTGGGGGAAAAGGAGATTGAGTGGGATGCTATCCCGAACAAGAGAGAAATCTGGCGTATTATTTATTATTGGGCTTGAGACTTCTTTGCTTTGCTATCCTGCGCTTCAGTTCTCAATTTTTCTTTCTGTCAATATTTATTTCTTGTACCCCCTCCAGATAGGGAAAATTCCACCAGTCCTTTCAACTTCAACACGGGTAACTCTGTGGCCGATTCCTCTATCAACTCGCCCCTCGCACCATCTCACAACGAGGGATTTTCTTGTAACAGTGCAAATGGGTCCAATTGCCTTGTCTCCGTCCTTGCCTGTGTTTGTGAGAGGGAGATAGTGTGGGCGTGGGTGTGGGTGTGGGCGAGACATGTAGAGGGGCGGTTATATGACCGCATTAGGACTAGCGTATAATTAATCGGTCAAAGCTTTACAATACAAGTATCGCTCCAACAACTGTTGATGCTTCAATCCATGGATTGCTTGGGACCTTCTCTCGTGATCTCCATTGTTGAGTTGACGTTGAGCTATACGCCATCACTGGCATACTATGTAAAAACACATTGTTCTCTTCTTTCAATCCCCGAGAAATACAAAATAAAAAGGAAAAATGAAAATGGTGCCAAGATTCCAGGTCCCAGGCTAGAACAGGCAATCCTGCGACAGGGGTTCGCGCATATACAGCGGCATGGCATCATCATTTGTGGGCAATTTTTTCAGTTATATTATGTTATTGACAGGTGGCATATCAAGCTCAGTGATTCTACAGACTCGGGTATTTTGGGGCGCGGGATGCATGATAGGATCTATGATGAACAGTGTATTCATTCACCAATGAAGCATGAGGCTCAGGAAAAGCTGATCGAGCCACACAGACGGTCTTTCGTCTATTGCGAATTTGTTATCAGTGGGCTTTGAAATCTATCTCGAAGGCTCCGAAAAGCTAATATTACTTTCGTGGCAATCAACCCTTCCAGCCGCTCATGAGACTGCGTACCAAACTGCTACCAAGGCATTCTCCTCCTTGACCGGAATTTTCGTCGCCTCTCCAGGGGTTTGCTTCATCCCTTTTTTGTCGCTTCAGCATGAAATGATCTCACGTAATATTGGAATATACACCCCCCCCCCCCCCCCCGAAAACAGTGCGGTGAGAAGGGGGGAGAAATAGGAGGGAAAAAAAATACAAATTCATAATATGATTGAAAATATCTTCTAAGATACATCGTAAGAAGTGGGCCATGAGGCCCAAATTTGGGAAATGCTGCAATGGTGCTTTTTCCTCCTTGTCAATTGTTGTGATTGAATTTTTCCCTTTTTTCACATATTTTTGGTCTTCTCTTTCGGTTTTAATTTTTGAAATGGATATGTTTCCCTCATTGACATCCATCCCAAAGTTCGAACCACCCTATAATGAAACCAGGGGAGGAATCTGAAAAGGCCTTAGAGAGTAACGGCAAAAACAGTTTGTAAAACAATATTTCACCATTTAAGCAATTTCATACAGCCCGTTAATAGAATACTTATCAAAAAGCCTTAATCGTCATATTCCTTGTAGAACCCTTCTCAACCCCCCCTATTCATTAGTCGTCGGGCTGGGAAATACTGATTTTAAGCGGTAACAGGTGCATCAGCAGGGGCTTCAGCGGTAGCCTGCTCTTCACCAGAGATGTCATCCTCCTTGCCGGGGCTGTCGATGGCAACTTTGACTGCGATCTCCCGTCCTTCTATTTCCTTGCCGTGCATCTCCTCGACAGCTTTGGTCTGGAGAGCCTCAGAGCCTAGAGTGACAAAACCGAATCCACGGCCCTTGCGGGGCTCACCACGAGCTTGGAGTTTCTTGACCATAAAACGCGGAATGGGTCGAAGTGCAATCTTGGCGGAGACGGGTTCGTAAGCAGCAAAAAGTTCCTTCAACTGTATAGTAACAATGGTTAATATCTCACCGGCCTATTGACGGATTTACTGGGTATGTGGGGTGTACCTTCTCCTCGCTAAGATCGTAAGGAAGGTTAGCAACCATAACCTTTGTCTTGGACGGGATCCCATCTTCTGGCGGGCCACGTTGCTTTTGAACACGAGGACGACTCTTGGCGTCTTTGGGGGCATCACCAGGCTCATTAGTCACATCGGCCAAGGGTGTTCCTTCGGGGGTCCCTTCAGCGTGCTCTCCATTCGGCTCCTTTGCCTGCAAAGGTTTCACGTTAGTTTTAACATATAAAAATGCGGACAGTGACGTGCTGGTGTTAAATGAGATGTCGCTGTGGAGTCTATAAAACATCGATCACAAGGTTACGTACCGCGCGGCCACCGCGAGCCCCGAATCGGCCACCGCGGCCACGTCCACGTCCGCGACCGCGACCATAGCCTCTTTTGCGGCCCTCACCTCCACTTGCACCCTCACCACCGCTAACAGCCTCGCCCTTATTCTCAGCGGGTTCGGGCTTGCGGGCAAGTTGGACGGAAACCTTACGCTCGAGGATTTCCTTGCCAGAGAGCTCAGCAATGGCAGCCTGGGCCTCTTGCGCAGTAGCAAGGTCGACGAAGGCATATCCAACAGGACGGGTAGTGCGAGGGTTCACGGGGATGGAGGTGTTTTCACTATAACAATCGCAGATATGTTAGTGGCATAAAATAACATCGCCATCGATTGCATGAGACAAGATATCTTTGCTCTCAGGGTTTTTATATAAAAGTGCATTCTGCATTTATGCCGAATGACCAACCCCCAACGAAACAAAAAAAAAAATGGAACTGTTTCTTTTCTTGTTGAAGTTGGTATAAAAATAACATTACACAGTGGAGCATGCTAAGGCTTTCCTCTTTTGGTTCCTATCTTAGGAAACAAAAACAAATGCAAAACAGGTAATAATAACAATAATATAATAACAATAAAAGGAAAGTACTAACATGGTGTAAGCCTTGAAGAAGTCCTTGAGTTCCCCCTCTGTGGTCGCATATGCGAGATTCCCAATGTACAGGCGACGTCCCTCATCGGCGCTGGCTGCAGTGGCATCGGTCTGAATAGCACCTACAGGAGTTGCGCCATTGGTAGAGTCGTTGATGGAGACAGAGGCCATATTTTCGGCCAGTTCGTTGGCAGTCGACATGATGGAGGGCTGAGTGTATTTGGGTAACGGAACACGGGATAGTGGATTGAAAAGGGGGTATGTACCGCTGCGAGATTGAACTCAGGACGCTGAGCTGCCTTTGGGGACTTGAGGGGAGGGGGTAGAAGGGTAGCTTAGTGCCCTAGATACTGGAGAAGACGTTGAAGATGGGGGGAGTTGGAGCGTGATCGTATGGTGATGGTTGTCGACGTGATGAGAGAGAGGAAGAGAAGCGAAGAAAGGCGCAGAAGGAGAAGGGGAAAAAACATCAAGAAAAAGGAGGTGATACAAGCGCCCAAAAAGGAGAAATCTCCCCAAACAGGCAAGGCGCGGCCCGGCACTAGCTTACCTCAACCACAGTTTAGAACGCCAGGCTTGTCAAGGCTTCCTGAGGGACGGTTCCGTACGGTATTTTGCTCCTCTCTGGTAATAATTGTGGTTGAATTCTAGTGAAGAAAGCCCCTGCCAAGGCCATTCTGCACCTGCTCAGATGGTAATACCGGATACCGTATTCCCACCCAACCCACAGATCTCATCGTATCTCCTGATGCTTTCCGTTCCAATGTTCCTCATTCCTGCGCTCTCTGGGTGCTGGTCCGATCCGAGGGAGGGCATGTAACTGTATCCTGGACTGAGTCCTTACTCAATACTGTGATTTCCTGACCACTCACTCTGTCAGTCACTACCAAGATATGCAAGGCAAGCTCATAATGTCCATTTATCGGCACCCTCCACATCAGCCCAGCAGCTACCAGGGCATCAACAAACGTGAAAGAAAGCCACAGCGAAAGCCACAGCCCGACCCAGTTACAAGCATCAGTCGGAGTTCCACCTCCCCATTTCCGCTCCAAATTCAATTAAATGGCCAACCTGTAGTCTTTGCATCGCATCACTTCTCGGGTTCTGGGGTACTTTATTGGGCAATCTCCTGAGGACGGCTCCTCTTGCACTGGTCGAAATAGCATCTAAAATCTCCAGCATCTGAGCCTCAGCTTACCTCCATCTCATATTCTCCGTCTGGATACAATATACTGATTTCGGTTTCTACAAGTACTCTCAGCTATGAAATGCGACTTTGCGAAATCAAGTCCATCAAGGTGGACCCTTGCTATAATCCACTCAAAGTGCCTCCGAATAACTGACCAGCTGCTATGCGGATTTCCTTGCCACATCCCGTGTATCTATCTCATTTCTTCAGTATTGCCTGTTGCGGACAATGCTGATTAATGTCCTTCTTTTTCCTTTCTTTCACCTTCCTTCTGGGACAACGTTGCCGAAACCACTCTGCTGTCACCATATGCGGGGTGAGTGAAGGTAACTTGCATAAATCGGCACAAAAGATCCAAAACTATCTAAATGCTTGAGTGGTATTTTTCCAATGAAATTGTTAGGGGGAGGGTTGTAAATCAGCCTTATCTCGCTTCATTCCAACATTGGATGATAGTGAAGTAGGTACATGATCAACAAAATGACTGTGTTATATGTCAAAATGATGCGTGGATGTGTTTATTCTTATCTCTGAATATTCATCCACTCAAACTCTTTCACCCTTTGTTAGGATGAATGTATTCATTCACCGATCAATCCTTTCTGCTCTACTCTGATCTTCCATCCCCCTCTCTCCTGATTGCCACAATTGTTCATTTGGAGTCTTTCCTCTATGTTGATATTGTAATTTTTTTCCACTTAACTTTCTGGCTGCCCTATAACCATATTGAAACTTGAAAATTAACAAGCAATGATCATGAGCAAAGAAATCCCCTTTATCATTCTTGACTCTGATGATGAAGATGAGCTCCAGATCACTGGTACTGCTATTTGTGCTCAGAACAGAATCGATTCGGGCCCCGAATGCTCCCGTGGAGTCTGTAGCCCAACCAACAGCCAGCAAACAGGTAATGGAAACCTATCTCCCATCTCCTTCGTTTTGCGCTGCCTAATCATACTAAACATTACGCAATTCTTCCATAGGGAATGGCGAAGATGGCCAGCGAGTGACAACAGCTGGCAGAACTCACAGAGTCGCTCATCCAATCTCTCCCAGCACGTCAGAATGGCTTCAACCTGCCATTCCCATGGAGCGGAGTCCTTATTTTGGTCTTCTGTTGTCATCACCAACAAACTCCCTTTCGGACAATTCTGGCGGAAAGAATAAGCCAACTTCTCCACATCCAAATAGCGCCCTGGCAGAATCGACTACATCTACTGGACAAGAACTCAAAGCTGAACATGTTTCTTCGCCTTCGCCGTTGACAAAAGAATTCTTTATGGACATGGCAGATGCCATTGCACATATTTTCCCGTATAGCGAATTGGCGCGCAAGCACAAATGCAGTGTGGATAGGGTGAATCGAGCGTTGATTGCCGTCGTGCTTGATCCGCTGATGAAGAGAATTGAGAGACAGGACAGTTGTGGAAACGGCAACGAGGAAGAGGAGGCAGAGCATGCTCAGACTGCTCTGCCAGAAACATGGGGTTCCCCCAATACTCTGATCAACAAGTGGAACCAGCAATATCAAGAAATGGTGTCTGAGCTGCAGAGAGAAAGCGAAGGGAAAGGACTGCCTATGGAATTCGGGCAGATTCTTATTGCGGCGTCGGGGAATGCGGAAGCTTATTGGAAGGAAAGGAATGCAGGGTTTAATGCTTACCAGGCTTTTCAAAATGCAAGGAAGAATGACACGGCTGAAGACAGGCCTGGAGAGCAGGTTGGGGAATATAAAGGTCTCCAACAGCAGCTGAAGAGTGTGGTGCAAACGGCAGACCCAGAGAATCAGTCGTCTTTGTCTGGGACAGCAGTCACAGCTGTTTTTACGTTGGATACTAAGGAGGCTGCGGAAAACGGATCTAATGCGACGGGTCGTAAACGTGCAAGAAGCTCGTCGGAATCTGTCGAAGCAAAGGACATTAGTCATGGCAGGGACAGCAGCAAGTCTGCACCCCCATCACCATCGACAGCGACATCACCCGCGCTCTGCCAAGTTTCTACACCTCCCCCACGGAAGAAGGCAAAAACAATATCGTCAATATCGTGTCAATCCACCCCGACTCAGACAAGTACAGAAGAATCTATCAATTCGAGCCATGGACTATATGACCCCATCCCAAAACACCCATTTGTCACTGATGGGGCTTCTGACACTTACACACTCGCAAAATTTCCCTACAACCGCATCCACAGTACCCACAATCGTCCAACACCTTCTCCTCCCCCATCCACGTCCTCTTCCGGGTCATTATCTCCAACCGCCCAAACGCCAACACCGCTGCCCAGATCCAGATACCTCCCCAACAGCATCGTGAACCTATTCCCAAATCCCAAAGTCTCAATGACCCCCCGGCCCGCTCCACCCCGATCCAACTTCACCCGCTCCACCCGCCGTCATGCAGTCACCGTCGATAAATTCGGCAACTACCAGCGCGAGAAGCCTAGCCAGCGCGAATATCAATCCTCAGCTTATCACATCAGTAGCAAGGACAGACATAACATCCTCCTCCCCCGCCCCAACGACCTTTTCCCTCGCAGACAGTCCGCCAGGGATCAGCCGCGGGAACCTACAGAGAGCGACAACGAATGCGACTTTTATGATCCGTACTACCACGCGGGTGTTGATCGGACGACGAGAGTCTTTACGGAGGGGTTGTGGGAGCAGTTGTTTGGGGGGTTCGGGATGGGGTCGGGGCTGGAGGCCGGAGGAGCGAGGGAGTTGATGGGGTTGGACTTTGGGCTGGAGCAGATTGAAGTGAGCGGACAGGGGAAAGGCAAGGGGAGGATGATTGGGGATTTTGGTGGTGATGTGAATGGGCACGGGGCTGCTGGGGTTGGAGAGGAGAGTGGTTGGGAGGATGACGATGCTGGTGATGATGCTGGTGGAGAGAGGGGTTGGGAGAGTGCGTGAAGCATGGAAATGGACATGGGGAGGTTTCAGGGCGATTGGCACTGAGGGGACTGGGATATGAATTGTTATAGGTGGTAGCCTGGGTAGCATTTGGCTATGGAAGTAGACTATTTCAATAAATTTGTTTAGTTCTTGCAAGGAAGCGAAGGAGGGGAAGGGGCCGATGCGAAATAGTTATGTGCTTATTGTACGTATGCTGCTTTCTATTTCCGTGATGTGATGTTAGATGTTGTGTTTTTATTTTATGGGATGTAGCTCTTGATCTATTTGGCGTTGTCATCCACAAGGTGTGAAAAAAAATAAGGAGGTTCAAGGGTTCCAGGAAGGAAATTATCGAGCTGGGCCAGAAAAATCACACAAGAGGAGGTGGGGGGGGAACGAAATATACTCTGGCATTCGTTTATACAATCCTCATTATTGCTATTGCCCTAATACCTAAACAATCCAGGTACATGGAACGGATATAGCAAAATGCTCCGCACATAATCGGACCGTCCTCTGAAAGCAAAAAGTAAAACATCATTTAAAGCTTATTAATTACATAACAATGTGTGCTTCAAATGGCATCCGTTAACCCATTACATGAGAAACCCGACATTCCACCTCTTGAAGACTTGGGAGGTGCCCGCATAATGATATATATAATAAATAGGAGTGCCGAAAAGCCGAAAAGCAAAAAACACCGGCGGCTCAAGAATAGAAATAAAATAAAAACCGAAGAGCCCCAAAGAAGAAAATCGCTCTATGTGGTATTCATATCAAAATTAACCAAACCATTAGCTGCGCACTCCTATCGGTTCGTATACTGATCATGGAAACTCCCTGATGCCTGCGACCGGCCCCCGGCCGCATACGCGCCACCATAGCTAGTGTCATAATCATGTAAATAGCTAGCATTAGCATCGCCGGCGTTTGTCAACGGCGTGTTATTTAGAGCATTACTGTTATCATTGCCTCTCGTGGCATCGTACATGGACGGTGGTGCAGGGGTTTCATGTGGCATTCCTCCCAAATCGTCCGCCTCGTTGTGCAGCAGCGTATACTCGTCGTCTTGGTCGCGGCGGTATCCAAGAGATGAGGAGGGACCGCCGATGACGCTCACGCCTTCTGTAGACCGCTGGCCGGAGCGGAATTCAGCGTCCCGGTCATCTTCATAATCGAAGTCGTGGGCTGGGTTTGAGGAGAAGGCAGCTTTAGAGTGAGCAGCGAAGGACGGGTCGGAAGCGCCTTCGTAAAGCATTGAACCACTGCGGCGGTATGCTGAGAGGTTGCGAATGGACATGTACGAAGTAACGATAAAAAGGAGGCTGTTGGGAGAGGCTATGAGTTAGTCCTTCTGCGAATTCTCTTCTCTTCTCCTCTCCTCTCTTCCTTTTATGTTGAATCAATTATTTTCATGGCTCGAACAAAATTAAGTCTACTTACCAGATTATCACGCCCAAGATGACAGTTCCTGTGCTTATATTGCATTTTGCAGGGGTACCGAATTTGAACGCTCCGCAGCCGCTCTTACCCTTCTTATCTTTATCATTGTCATCATCCTTGCCAGCAACTTTGCCTGCCGCCACATATGATGCAACAGCCACCCATGAGGCAAACCAGAGGATACCGAAGAGCACATCAATCACTGCGAAAGCGTACGCATTACCAAATCTTTGGGTTCGTGGCCATAAAGGCACTGCGGCCAGGTAGATGAGGGCGGGAACAGTGAGCCAACACTACAGAGGGTCAAAAGTCAGAGAGAGTTAGCAATTTGGTTTCTTTGGAGAAAGAGCAACTTATGTAGGTGCTTGTAACTCTTCAAGTTTTCCTCTGTGAGTAGCGAGAAAACATCAAACATACCAGCGCAAAATAGTATGCCGTTCGACCATCTGTTGGACCATCTTGTGTGAGCACGGCGATTGTAAGAGTCCAGCCCAGAAATATGACAAAGCCCTGCAGGGCATGAAGAAGCATCTTCACCCTAGGGAACTGAAGTGACCCAAACATAATGAAGGACCAGTTGTGGTATGGTACATAAAAACGTTCGTGCAGCCTTCCTTCTCAACTCCGTCAAGCCAGTGGTATGTCCACCGTTTTCCTCACCCAGCCCGAATTCCCTCACTTCGGTATGTCTCGCTGGCAAAACAATGGCGGTGTTTATATAAATGGTAGTTCTATAGTTGGTTAGATGTTTAAGTAGCCGTTCAAGTCAATGATTGAATGTGAATGATGAGTTTCCTTTGCGTGCGTTTTCCGCTTGGGTAAATATGAGGCAGAGAGCTAGCTAATAATGATAAACCAGGAAAGGTAAAAAGCGAAAGGAGACATGAAACAGGAATAACAATGCCAAAGATCAATTAGCCACTCATCTTTCAGGGGTGAGAGGTGTGAGAGAAGGGGAGGGAGAGCTGGAAGTGATGCCTGGGAGGTATTGTGTCTTTGTCTTGCAGATGAGGCTGAGTGGCACAGAGCTTGCGACTGAAGTTGGAATGTTTATTTAGGGCGGACAGCTGGTTGATTTCTCGAGGCAGGCAAGCTGAATCTTGAACACTTAGATAACTAGCTCTCCTCTACACCTCCCAGAGAACTGGAAACCAAGTACCTACCAAACAGCTTCAATCAACTTGCTGGTTTCACAACACTGATCTCAAGGAGCGAGCGCTTGGAATAAAGAATCGTAGCTGCCTGCTCTGGCAACTCAAACCCCTCTCCACAGCAACCAACCAGCTAGTGCAGAGTGCTGCTCCGGGATAATGTGGAGCGGGTACGAGTTATTGGCGTTTTCCACTGCCCACGCTAAACTCAACCTACCAAAGCTGCTCACAAGTGCTGGCATGAGCTTCCAGAACCCTCGAATAGATCGTCAACTGTGGTACAGCTTGGAAGCATTTGCAGAAATTTTCTGCAATCGCATCTAGCATCGAAACCTTCGCGGCTAGTGATCCCTGGTAGACATCGCCAACCGGGGTAATGTTTATGCCTGAGATTAGGGTTTGTGATCGCTTACCATTTTGCAAGGGCCTTCGCTGCGACGAGCTTCTACGGTTCTTCAATAACAAAGTATTCTGGCCACTTATCAGCCACCAAAAGGGGCTGTCACAATCTGACGAGACAGAACCAAAGATCTCGTCTATAAATAGCTAAGATTGACGCAGAAATCTCTAGCAAATCTATTGCAGCCTCAGGGTTGTCAAATCAAAGCTTGTCGTCAACAGTCTCCGCCATCTCGTCCAAAATGCTAGGGAAATGTTGACTGCAAAAGTTCCGCTGTCGTTCCTTACACGCACAAGTACGACGTCTATATAGGAGTATGGCTCAACGAATATATATCATGAAGGAAAGTACACCGGTTACCCAAGCTTGTCAGCTACATGTTCTGATAATAAAAACAGGATGCTGCCAGACCTGATCGGAAGGTAATTTGATATTTGGAAGTGCGGCTTCAATATTTAGTTACCAGTGTCTTGAAAGATCCAGGTAAATCATATTATATTATTTAAAAATATACCCCGTGAGTCCGTTCAACTTTTCTTTTCGTTTCCCGGTTTCTGACAATAGAAATCCAAGCCTCGGACTAATTTATCGTTTAACAAATTAGCCTGATAAACAAGAGAGGCGGCCCGCTTTTAAACTTCTCTGGAGTCTCATCCCACCTTATTTCGAGGGCATGGCTAAACTGATGGCATGCAAGCAATTTGTGTTCTCATTTCTAGGATGCGGCTTTTTCGCCACGAGTCATAGCCACCACAGGGAGCCCTTGTATGACTGGGGATTGAAGCAAGGCTCGGGCCAAGTTTCCCAGATCGATTTTTGCAAAACGGGAGCAGGGGTAGTTTACGGCATTTCCGTTCAAGTTAGAATCTTGATTATCTCTCATGTTTTCCTTCTCTCAAAATTATCACGGCCGTGGGCCATCCTGTTCTGTGTTCGCACCCGATTCCTCTAAATGCCTTTCACATCCATATGGGTTTGCTGGAGCCTCCAATGAGCCGTTTCCTTGGGACCTCACAAGGCTGATCAGATGCTAGGATAGCCCGCCTAGGTACATGGGGTTAGTTTCCCGCATGCCACTCTTCGACGCTATGGTCGTCAGAAACTTCCTTGGGGGGTTTAGACCATGCGAGAACCAACCAGTTGGTGATCGCAATTCATGAATTTATTATTTTTGCTGTGTGTTTGAAGCATTGCACAGCAAAACGGCAGATCAGCAATGGACTAAGTTGGTGGCTGAGGCCAGATTAAACCCTCCAAACAAACCACCAACCGCCAAACAAGATGTCACTGCGAAATGGTTCTGATGACGTTTCCGCGCAAGTGTACAGCCCGTTTCTGCCAAGAATTAGGATAACTCCGAAGAATTGGCCTGTCCCGAGTTCTTGTCCGCCCATTCTATGATCTTTTGCATGATCGTTCCATTGCATAAGGGTTTTTATCATACTCTTAGGCTCCTCGATGAAGTCTTCCAATACTTAAACTCTGAAGTCAGCCAGGCCTCGGGTTGGTGGGTTAAAATTGGAAACCGTCCCTCCCATAGAAGTGAGTTATGCACTCCCCATATTTGATTTGTGGTACCCGCTTGGACTGGGAGTCTATTTGTCAAGTTGCTAGTGGCGGCATATTGCTAGAGTTGGCGTGTCTTTATATCTTATGGAATCGATCCTAATGTATAGAAACTTGATAGAGAGTTTATCTTGAAGTGGTTGAAGAGACTACGAAGGAGGAAAAACGGATGGATAAGTGAAATATACCAATGCTAATTCAATTGCTCTCTTGATACAGATTACTGCGCTTTTTAAATAAGCAAGTAAGCCGTGCGCCAGCAGATTGCCTCCTAATGGAAGCTGTGCTGTGCCTCTTGGCCTCAGAATCGTCTGTTGCTCAATAGATATAATGAAGCAAGTGCAGATAGGGAAATGGGCAAGAATAAGATGAATGTGTGGTTAAAAAGTAAACCTGGCGCATAATAGGCGTGACTGACCCATGATTCTCGCTTTTCAACATGAAAAGGGTGGCCTTGACATGGCTAATCTACATCTCGGGGAAGAAATAGGGTGATGGTGGGCCTTGCCATCCATGAAGATATGACAGACTGCCCTCATGAAGAATGAAGGATGTGTTGTTATGTAGACCCTGCAATAGATGAGAAATTAATTCCCTCTATTATCAAGGTGTTGATGTGCACAATGTGTGTCATCCGATATTGGCAAAAGTGCCCTTCCCCGAGGCTTAGGGACCTGCTGATTATAGATTTGTATGCATATGCATTCCTTGAAATCAGTGTAAGTCTTCTCATTGAATGTACAGTGGTGCATAGAATTAGTTGCACTCCATCTTTCTATGCTGTAACTAGCTGATAAATAAGCTGCCGCCAATAGCCTAAACTCATATCATATCTTTGATGGTTTTTTTCCCTCCCATTTCTAGGATATGAGGCGGCCACTCGTATCGACGGGTAATCCTTTCTCAGACCCAAGGAATTTCAATATGCGGCGGTCAAATCGCCAGTACTTGTTCTTGTGTATTACTTACTCATCCAAACAGTCATCTAGAATATCATATTCTATACCCAAACACCCAACCATCATGGAGACCCATTCTTTCATTGAAGCTGCCCATAATGGGAAACCAGAATTGGTTTCCTCAACAACAGCAACTATGATGGGACTTTCATGTAATGTTTGCTGTAAATATGAGATGTTGTCACAGTCGTCCGGTTAGGGGCATTGAGCCCTGCCGAAGGATTTTCCGGCCGAGAAGTTGAACCCCGTTCAGCTTTTTTGAGTCGCCGCGTTCAAGTGGACCACAACAACAATACTAGTATTGAACATCAAGTCAACATCCCTCGCCGGCTGTCAGCCTGTCATGAAAGTCGAATCGTGATTTTCAGAACCCACATGGTCCTGAAGCTCGTGATTCGTGATTCCCTCCCCTGTGGTGTAATTATCAGTATGTTTGGACGTTTCAGGTGTTGTTCGTCGAGGCATCGACATCTCTTGCTACTGCAGGACATCAACGACAACTGATTGCCCAAAGCGCAGCCCCCGCCGTCCCTAAATTTTATTTAGTGTCAAGCTACCAAGCTCAATCTGCACAAGTTGGTTTGGCGGAATACGAGTTCATGCATGGGAAGGATTATGAAAACATCCGCCGAACCTTGGCAACAGCATGGGTTTTCTCCGCTCCTCCACCGGCATCCATTCCCTTCTCAACTCTCGATTTCTCCATGCCTCATTTCTTCTCGGAGCTTTGATGGGGCGGATATCACAGATGATTAGTTCTTTGAGTTCCCATAGTAGATCCCAATCCGCACAACTCTTCTCGAATTCCTGTTGAGGAATTCTTGTTGAAGAATGCGATTCTCAATTAGATCATGTCTTGCCCCTTTTTTACTCTTTACAGGATGCCTGGGAGAGGAAACTCTTGCGCCGCGATCGTCTGGCGACCTCTGTGGTTTCACGGAAGGCAGAAGTAAGCCGGACTTTCGCCCTCACTGGACTCCATGTTTGTACATGTATCTGGTAGTGATGCTAACTGGTGAAAAAGCTGTCCTGCTTGGTAACTTAGTGTTTTTGATGGCAGGGAAAGTGACTATCCAAGACGGACACAATGAAGCTTTTGGTATTTTGAGCCCTCGTCTACAAATACAATCATTACTAATTGATAACATTAAAGTGAACCAACTCTATTGGCTCGATCTCAATACCACCTTTAACGTTGAAGGCGGTATCTCCCCAAATACTTTGCATAACACAGATATTCCAAGTTCGGCGCCCCATGAATTTTCCGGGGGAGCATTTTTGGCCGCTCAAAATTCCATATACATATATGCTGGCCTTGGGAGTTCAAACAGGTATGATTGGATGTGGTCATACAATGCAGAAGATGGGACATGGAGTCGCGCAACAGTCGCCGGCGGCAAGCTAAATCTGGGGAAACGGTTTGCCGGGCTCTCCGCCATTGCGCCGGAATCCAATCTTTCTTTCTATACCGGAGGCTGGGACATGCCCATCACGGGAACTTTGGTCTTCAACGCGACGGATAGCGCAAACCTTCAATGGACAAACGTGACTAAAGTGGAAGGAAATGACGCGGTCGGAGAACCCCGGATCGCTAATGGTGGGATGGAATATGTACGGCTAGGGAAGAATGGAATACTGGTTGCTTTTGGTGGTTATGATGTATGTGCGATTTTGGCTGTCGCAACACGGATTCTGTTATTTGCCAAGGCTAACGCAATTTGAAAGACATCAAAAAAAGGAACAAATACAACCGCAACGAGCCAAGATTTGAGGGCAATGGATAAAATCGGTGTTTATGACATTGACTCGAGTACCTGGTACGACTTTCTTTAGTTAAAAAGTCTCTATATTCCAAACCGGACTACCGAAGCTGACTAGTTGAACAGGTACGAAATTGAGGCTACTGGCGATATCCCGAAGCCGCGAACTGCATTTTGCACCGCTGTTTCTTCCGCGCCAGACGATTCTTCGTTTCAAGTGCACATGTATGGCGGTCGCAGCCGTACCATAGAGAATGCAACCTCATATAATGATCTTTATGTCCTGACTCTCCCATCCTTTCGTTGGATACGTGCCCCGACGACTGGCCTAGAACCGTGGAAAGAAGATGGCGTTGGTCGCGACAGCCATAAATGTGTCACCTGGAAAGACGGAGAGATGGTAGTAATTGGGGGTACCACTCGGAAGGATGACAAAGTGCAAAAGGGATGCAGTAGAAATTATCCACCAATTCGAGTGCTTGATACCAGCAAATTTCGATGGGAAAAGCAATTCGAACGCGAAACAACATACTCTGTTCCTCGGGTGGTCTCTGATGTGGTTGGTGGCGAGTAAGTTGGTTCTTTCTTCCTGATTTGTATACCTCATCCTTCTTCTCCAGACTAACCACTTTACCGAACACAGTGGAACTGGTAAAGCTACATTGAAGGACCCGGAGGGAGGATGGCCTAATAGTCAGCTTGAACATATATTTTCTCAAACTGTATCCAGGAAACCTGAGATAACAGAGAAGCCGCTCCCGTCAGAACCAACCGGAACTTCTCAACCGACAACTCCCCCTTCATCCAAGAAGTCCTCTAATGCAGGTGCAATTGCCGGTGGAGTTGTTGGTGGCGTTGGAGGAGTCGCCGTTATCGCCGCGGCTATTTTCTTTCTTAGAAGAAGCAAACGGAAGAAGAATACGGGTGATCGATTCAATGCCTCCCCAGCTGTTCCGACAGCTCCTTCGGTTTACTATCCCGAGCCAGACTCGTCCCAGCCAGTCCTTACTGACAAGAAGGATAGCCCATACATGCGCGTCGAACAACGCCCCAGAGAACTGTCAGCCCAAACAGAAGTACCATCCCGGTATGAGCTTGAGTCGCAAAGCGAAGGACGCCCTACTCCGGTATTTGAACTAGACTCACCTATGTCCCCTCCGCAGCCACGCAAAGAATAATTGATTATTCACCACTATTGTCTTTCTTTTCATTTTTTTCTTTTTGTATATATTTCTCTTTCCTGGCGTGAATCTCGCGACCGCCAATTTTCGCATTTTACATACCCGCACTTCCAAAGTGCGCTATTTCCTTTCACAACTTATTTCCGTTTGTTCTGTTCCATACAGGCGTTTTCATCTGCAGGAAAGTCAGCATTTTCATGGTCATCAATAATCAAATCAAGGATACCATTTGTCCAACATCGCCCTGATGCGGAAATAATTTCAAAACCTCTTTCCACAGACCCCCTTGTTCACGGTGCTTTTGCTTAGACATGTGAGATCCAAATAGTTTTTTATTCATCTTCCAGTGCCCTGTTGTGCATTGACAAGGGTACAAGTACAAACACTACAATTCGCACTTGATTTCTTGTCGCTCTGTCTTCTGCGCTTCAAAAACACCTCTGGATTTTCTGTCACCACCACCATACTTTTCTTTATGTCGTCCTCTCAAAACCTAGTTTATCCCCAAGACGCCAGCGCATCAGGAAGGTAGCTTGTTAGAAATAATCAAATTTATAATGCTTACAACTGTTCCACATAACTATTCATACATGTTGGGGCTATTTGAAGATTTCGCTCTAATCTTCACAAAACAAGCGGTTTCCCTTGGGTTACATCCTACGTGCTACCGTAACTGCAATTTTTGTATAAAGGGGCGGTGGAATTCCATCATCCTCAACTCCGTTCGGTTTATGGTCGTTTAGCAGCCAAAGTTTCCGCACTCAATCCTTGTCGCAATGGGGAGCTTAACTTGTCTTGGCATCGGGGGAATATCTTCATCGGCAGTGGATTTTAGGACCAAGCGCGGAAAGGTATCCACGTTATATTGACAAGAATGTGGGCATCGTTGAACAAATTGTATTTTTATTCCAAGAGCGGTTATATCTGCCTCGTCCAGGTACTGCACATCGTCGTTAAACTTCCTCCGATGAACCAATATTTACTGTTGTCGATCTTGTTAACTCCAAGCCATACTGGTGGGTATGATGGGAAATAATGTGCCACCAGGGGTTCCTAGTTCAAATAACCTTGTCCGCTTTTGTCAGTCGCCCGTCTTGCCAGAAGTCCCTCGGTCTCTGCACAATTAATATGTTTTCCGCTACTTGCATCTTTGCCAACCATAACACGTTACAACCGGAGTGCGGGTGGTTTGCAGAAATCCCTTGGTCATTCTTCTTCTCCTTTTGTGCGTGGGTCACGACTGCGCAAAGTGTGTGATCAGCATGGATCCAGGTCATATATCCTTCGCCCTCCCCGGCCCTCGGCAGGCTCGAGATCAAAGAAAATACGTTCCACGGCTGCTGAAGAAGCTGAAGAAGCTAAAGAAGCTGAAAACAGCCGGACTTCTCTGACCGTAGAGCCGAGTCATGATCGTGTAACCGGAAGTTTTCTATCAAAGAGCGTAAGCAACGAATGAGGCGGGACAGCTAGTGCACTCATAGATAGTTCTAGTACTAGTAAATAAATCATGAACGCGGTAGAGGAGAGGATTCGAAGACAAGAAATTGCTAGATAGATAGTAGATGGAGCAAAATTAGTATGCCCTTGCCCAAGGGTACTCCGGCCATATATCTGTTTCGAGTCAAAAATAAATTTGAATTGGTTGCCCCATTGGGCAGCGAGGGTAGCTGAAACTTTATTGGAATCAGCCCCATAAATAGTGTTGGCATTACCGGAAGTTAAGCAGTGAGGATATGGCCAATGAAAAAGATCCCTGCAGATCCTTTTACACATCTGAGTTCAGCAGGAAACAAAAATTCAAGTTGTTATTCGCATGGGCTTGGGTCCCTGATGGCGCCATTACGATGTTGCATACGTTGCATATTCCGAGGCGAATCCCGATATCGGGTAGTTGAAAGGGACAATTTGCTACATAAACAGGTGAGTCCCGCCCATTTTGCTCTCTGCCATGGTATAAAACTATACGCCGCTATTATTTGAAGGTAGAGGATCTCATCCTGTCGGTATTTAGAAAGGTTTGCAACCGGCTCGTGAAATGAGAACTGTCGACCGTCCATATTTGCCAAAACCGGCCGTCCATGTTAGTACTCCCTAAAGTAAACATAATGCATTCGCTAACATCCACTGGGTTCAGGGCGATGACGGAAGAGAAATCGAATTGCTGCGCTATATATACAACCTGCCTAATTTTGAAGAGCTTCGAGGGTCTCCCCCAAATGTCATAGCCGCAATCGATCAATATGCGAGACAGAAAAATTACCTCATGAACGTCGGCTCGGCTAAAGGTTCCATCGTCACCGACTTGATAGCTGCAGCTAAACCGAAGGTAATGGTTGAACTAGGAGGCTATGTAGGGTATTCTACCGTCCTCTTCGGGGATGCAGCTCGCCGCGCGGGAGGGGAGGTATACTATAGTTTGGAAAGAAACCCTGTTTTCGTTGCAGTTTCTAGAATGCTGTTGGACCTGGCTGGGCTTGGCGATTTTGTCAAAGTCATCACTGGAACTAGCGATGTCTCTCTTTTCAACCTGAAGAGCAGCGGCATGATTAGTCACATCGATATGCTGTTTCTGGACCATTATAAACCAGCATACGTAGCTGATTTGAAGCTCTGCGAGCAGCTTGGCATGATCCTGCCTGGGAGTGTTTTGGCAGCAGACAATGTCATCTCTCCTGGCAACCCACCATACCTTAAATACGTGCGGAGCAGCGTCGAGGAAAAGAGAGCGACGGCGGCCAATTCAGCACCATCAAGAGGGTACGATGTTGATGGATTTTCCACTACCGTCGTCAACCGCTATGGAAACACAAGAGATAAGGCATTGGCGGCAGTTGACATTTTTGGCAACCCAAATTTGATCTATGAGAGCAAGCTGGTAAATAGCTTTGAGCCTACCGGAGAACCTGTGAGTTTCTCATCCAACTCCAACGTGATCAAAATTCCATGCTTGCCTCGTAGCCCTTTTTGTGACCGAGGAAAAGGTGGAGAACCTAACATGCTGACTTACCTTTACAGGATGGAGTGGAAATAACTCGATGCGTTGGAATTGACAAAAGGCCTGATAGTAAACTCTAGGGTGGTTAGTGATACCAAGCGAGGTCTTGGAAAGAAGTAACAGGAGATATTGATGGCCCGATGAAACATCGGAGGTTGGTGTTCGGGATGACGCCAAGTTTTCAAACACGGCAAGGCTCGGGACATTACACTAGTGGTGGGGTTTACTCCGCGTTAGTTGCCCCTGCTATTTTTCAGACGTCAGAGATCTCGCAAGCCGAAATTAAATTCAGTAGCTAGTTTACTAGGGTGATCCGTTATTGGTGTGAATTTACAGTGCTGAGGAACTGTGGAGAGTGCTTCTCAACCTCGCTGAACAGAGCAAGGTCCCTCATTTCGTGAATCAGTTTCCGGTCTGGTGATCTGATAAGCATTCATATCCCCATACAATTTTTTTTTTTTTTTTTTTTGAATTCAGATATAATATATTTGGGCCCTCGATTCTGCATTTGACGGACTTCAAAGGCTTATAATTTCGTCTTCCGTTCATGAGCGCTGTGCCGGAATTCACTCTCTAAGTGGTGGTGCAGAGAACTCCAAAACCTGAAGATGACAAGGACTATCCAGGTATCAAAAGCTATACGCCAGCGGAATCGATGGTCAAAGATGCTGGAGTTGATGGAGCGGTCATGACAACTACGCCTGGTACTCATTTTGCTCTCGCCGAACTGGCATTGGAAGGTGGAAAGTATGGTATGTCGTCTGCGAGTCTACTCCCTTACATATATATCCTTGGGCACATATTAAACTCTGAATTGGGTTTCCTATTGCTCGCAGATGGGATGCTGATTTTGCTGCAACCTCGAAATTGGTGAAAAACGGTGCTCTTGACCGAGTTGCTGAATTTGAAACTCATTTTGATCGCCATCCCCCTGAGATGCCCACGACTGGTAGTTGGAAAACGCAAAAAATTCCTGGAGGTAGCACAGTATACGATCAGGGAGCAATATTATTGATCAAGTTATCCATTTGCTTGGTCTCGCGAAGAGAACAACTAACTCTGTTGCTTCCCAGATGGAGAACAATGACTCCGGGTACGAATATGCGCTCACTTCACTTCCCCACTATGATCAGATTTTAGCTACTACCAGGGGAACGGTAAATATCAATCCTGATGAAAAGCATTTAAGATTCTTGGTTCGAGGGGACAAAGGCAGCCTCAAAAGACATTGCTTCCCTTTTGGCCTTGCTCAGCTGTCGATTGAAAGTACGAACGAAGCTAATCCAGTACCAGTCCTGTCTCGACATCCGAGAAGAGCGGCTGAAAGCCGGACTTATGCATGGAGGCCAAGGTTGTGGCGAGGAACCTAATGGCAGATACGGTGAAGAGTCCAAGCTGCGACACTCCCGTGCTTGAGGCCTACCACTCGACTAATTTTGGGCCGATTGAGCAAAGGTATACCTACAAAAAGTACTGGTACTAACGGTACGTTGAATACTGAGGCCCAAGGCAATTCCATTGTTGAACCTCCAACATATGATGAGTTCTACCGCAAACTCGCGAAGGCGATGGCTGTTGAAAGTGACATCCTATTGAGCGCTTGACAGGCAAGCAATATCATACGGCTTGTCAGCTCGCCAGGGAAAGTTTCAAGTTAGGTAAAACATTGAACGTTTGACTTGTATTCGACTGATGTTGCGTGAATTACTGCCTCAGGCCTGTTCGGCATGTAGTAACGTACGCAGATACACGAATACGACGGGGCTTTAAACTTATCAAGGGAAGCTGGGCAAGATACCTCTTCGTGTTATTCTCGTTTCATTGCGTTACTCTTGGGTAGACACATTGGTAAAATAAACTTTTTTCGCTCCCGAATGACAGCGATCACAAATTTGGGCTCAAACTTAATGTGCTTTCGAAAAAGCGTTTGTAAGTCCCGGAGCCAATGTCGTTTGATATACGAATCATGAAATGTGACATGTCAATACCCGATCTGCATCTCCCATTCATTCATCTGTTTACCACATGCATACTAAGTAAGCAGGGTTTTGCCTCGACTTGGTGGCGGGAGTGATCATAGCACCACCTTTTCTCAGGATACAGCCTCGAAGTGATCCATCCGTGGTCGCTCGCAGTCGCTCGAATAACGCCTACATATGCTATTAAAGCGTCATCACAAAAAGATGAAGGATAGGTTATGGACGCTGCAGCTACATTCCTGCACTATCGGTGAGCCTTGACAATGAAGCTTGAAATCTGCGGCGCATTTTCTTTCTTCTCACCCCTTTTGAGGACAGATCCGTTTAATTGAATATTTGTCCATTTTCCTTTTCCAGCAATTACATTGTGCCAAAAGCTCTCTTGCACGTCTACGGAGGGCGCTATCAAAAGAATTGCACCGGCAAAAAGACAACTAGACAGCGTACGGCAGCCTATAGTGACAAATGTGTCAAATAGGTTTTTTATACTAGTGTTACAGTGTACACGCTCCAATTATATTCATTTTATTTGTAGTCAATTAGAGCTTATTGGTTAGATATTTTAGCTCTATATTATCTTATGTCATCAAGACTCACTAACCCTATTGGTTATATGACAAAATAGGGGTAAGAATAGAGGTAAGAATAGAGGCAAGAATAGTGGTCAAAGATCTGTGAGGAGTGAGATTTCTTACAAGAACAGCAACTGAGCTCTGTTTATAAGAATCTGATCAAAAGTTGGCATGAGTGGTAGCTTATGAATCATCTAGAAATCAGTTAGATAGCATTCATTTTTTGATTGAAGATTTTACAAACAATTGTTTGTATTAATATCAAACTTTACAAAGTATACTATAATTAGACTGGCCGCCGGGACCATGAATTTCACATTTGGTTTGGTTTGGTTTGGTCCCAGTCCATTTCTTGGCATAATTTTAGTGGGACCAGAATCAGAATGGGAGTGTAAAGTGACTAGAATTATCAAAACATGAGTGAAATGGGACTAAAAAATCTTGATATTCCATGTAAAGTGACTGACTATCAAAAATAAGAACATGATCTGGGACTGATCATGATTTTGACTCAAGTTTGGTCCCATTCTGATGATTATATAATACATCAATCTGATGATATTATTGGTGGAGATATTACCCCTATCTTGCTTAGTGCTGCTGCCAATCTACCCGCCGCTGCCAACCTACCTACCACTGCCAACCTATCTATCGCTGCTAATCTATCGCTGCTAATCTATCGCTGCTAATCTATCGCTGCTAATCTATCGCTGCCAACCTATCTACCGCTGCCAACCTACCTACCGCTGCCAACCTATCTACCACTGCCAACCTATCTATCGCTGCTAATCTATCGCTGCTAATCTATTGCTGCTAATCTATCACTGCTAATCTATCACTGCTAATCTATCGCTGCTAATCTATCGCTGCTAATCTATCGCTGCCAACCTATCTACTGCTGCCAACCTACCTACCACTGCTAATCTATCACTGCTGCCAATCTATATAGGGTAAATCATGGTCCCATTTGGTCCCATTTTATAAAATGGGACCAAATGGGACCAGGACCACTAATTTATTAGTAAAACATGATCTGGGACTAGATTTTTAATATAAACAGTGTAAAGTGACTAATTTACTAAACACTATATAGGACCAGGACTAAGATATCTAATAATGGGACTAAGGAAAAATTTGGTCCCAGTCCCATGCATGGTCACACGGCCAGTCTAACTATAATCTATCAATCATTCTACTAATCAATCTCAACACTGATGCCAAAATCTTGTCTCATTTGCAGATAAATCAAGATAGTTTGTTTGTATTTCAAGTTCATTAGAATGACTCTTCTCCATCTTCATCACAGTGTCTTTCATCTTCTTCTTCATCTTCTTATCTATCTTCATTAGAGTGTCTCTCATCTTCTTTACAGATTTCTTCTCTGTTTCTGATTCTATATTATATTCCAATTTCTCCAACTTGAATAACTTGAATAGGTCCTTCTCTATCTTGATTATCTCTGATTTATCAACTTTGGCTTTGAATTTGATTTTGGTTTGAAGTGATCAGCTTTGTTTGATACAACTTAGATTGAATAAATTGACAGAGAGAGTATATTTATATTTGATCATCAATGTAGAGATATTCTTTTCTTTAATTTTGATATTTGATGATTTGACTTTGACATTTGTTGGTTCTGATGATTGTTTGATGGAATGATTGAATTCATTATAGATAACAAGACATATATGAATAATTGTAGTTGTTGAGATTGATGAGTGCACTTTCTTAAATAAACTCAATAACTTCTTCAAATCTAACTTTCAAATATCAGAAGTGAGTATTACTGCATCATTCTTTTCTGTAATCAAAACAGAAATAAATACATCAACTGAAGAAATAACAGAAAGAATATTCTTTCAGAATGTATCAAATCTGATAGTTATAATTTCTAGAAAATCTTCTATAATAAAAAATTCACAATCTGAGTAGATTTCATTCTGAATTTTATCTATATAAAACTGATTAGAGTTACTCTTTAATTGAAGATTTTATACTTACAAATTAACTTTCAGTTGTAGTATGTTTGTAGTTTTGCATCATTGTATTTACACTTTCAAATATGAATAAGTAATTTGTAGAATTTTCATAATAAGAAGAGCTGATTCAGCTCAGATTTGACAATAGATTTCTTTGTGAGTGATGTATATTGAATTGATGTATCAGCATTGAGAATCATTTGTTGAACTTTCTGTGTTTTTTGAATGACCAGTTGATATACTTGCTGAGAAGGTTCAGAATTAAGAATTATTGCAGAGAGTGATGATATTAGAGCTGAAGAACTGAGACTATCTTCAATGACAATGATTTCATCATTTGTTGAAGTGATGATGAAGGATTTTAGTATGAATGGATTGGCTTTATCACAATAAGAACAGGCAGCTTCACTAATACAGTGTATTTCATGAGAAAATCCAGAATGATTGAGACAGAATGATGTTTATATAGTGAAGGAAATCAAGATAATAATAAACAACAAAGCAAAACTGAGGAAATTTTGTGTGTGTGTGTGAATGTGTGTGTGTGTGTGTGTGTGGATTTTGGCAACTTGATTAGTATATTGATTAGTATAATAGCTAACTGCTTTTGTTGACTCTAGACTATCTATTACAGATTAGCACATCATATATCTAGATGTGATGAGTAATAAATAATATATCAAATCAATACATAAACTGTCTGTGTATAATCAACAGAATATTGTTATATTAATCAAGTAAGTAAATTCATGATTGAAATATCTTTTAATAGTATTAATAACTCTAGATTTGAATATATAAATAGAGATGATAATGATATTACAAGATATAGAGTGTTCAGTGTATATATATATACTGTGATGTATATTCATTGCAATTATATATATTTATATATATAGTTATTCTATATTAGTAGATTTCAAAATTCACAAAGTATTAAATTTAATATATACAGCACAATTAATAAAGTAACAATGTTAAAAGATATATTCTTGAGAATATTAAAGAGTGATTATTATAATACTTATTTGTATCTGAACTAATTACAAGTTACAACTTCAATATATCAGACTTATCATTCTCACTATTCTCATTATAGATTTCTATTTTCATTATATTATTAAAATTCATCTCATACTTCTGTAATTGTTCTGTCAGTCAGTTTCAAGCATCAGATGATTTTTTGAATTCTTATAGAATAGAAGATTGTTGAGATTGTATATGATTGTATACAAGTTATCATAGCTGAAGATATACTATTTTATGTATGTGCTCATCAGCTTCATTGACAGCTGCAGCAGTGATTCTTTCAGAAGGAAATTTCAACTTTGAAATATGATTCTGATATCAATTCTTTGTCTTCAGCAGCAGATACTCATTGATATCTGTCAAGTATTAGTATTCATATGATATTAAATAAATAGAAATATTAGTGATAGAGATATTACATACCTCAGTTTTCAAAATGTATGTGAAGTTCTGAAAGCACTTGTGAGTCTGATTTTAAATCAAACTGTGGTGTATTATCAGAATGATAATACATCATTCAGGGCTGTTCATATACTTCATCAGATTATTTATATTGAGTGTGAATTTGATAGTTATTTCAGACTTCAATATAGTTTGCCATCTTCTGTTGAATAATTGACATATAAACAGCAAGAAAGACAATATGATTGAATATAGTATTGCTGTGATATAGACCTCTATCACTGAGATCTAGAAAATAGCACTGAGAGAAATATTAGTATGAAGATTAGTATAATAATTAGTGGAAAGAATAGAGAATTTCATATTCTTCAATAATTTATCAACTGTTTTGTAAGTTGTTCTCATCAAGATTCAATTCACTGATTTAGTGTACTTGTTTCAAATCAATAGCAATTATTCAAAGATGTATTTGAATTAGTTGTTTGATGTAGTTTGAGTTGTGCAGTTGCAATCATTGAAGTCTCAGTTTCTTGATCTGAATGAATAATCTGAGGAAATGTATCAGTGATTTGAAGAATATTAAAAAATTGTCAAAGAACAGAAATAGCAGTTCAGTTGGTGATTTCAATATATATTCAGACAA